AATCCTATCAAAACAAACATTTACAGCTCCATCCATTGTCCCAAACCCAAATCGTACCAAATTTTAGTACACCTATGTCTGGAATTTTCAAAAAAAAAAGTTAAAAAGCAGTAAGTTCGGCCGGGCCGAACTTTGAATACCCTTCACCATTTGGAACGAATTTGAAAATAAAATCCTTAAAAAATTCTGTTAAAATCTGAAAAATACCGAATATAGCCGTTATATTGGTGTCTATACGACGTGGACCCCCAGAGGTATTGTTTGTCATAAGTCATTACCAAATTCAAATTCCGAACTTGAAATAAACGGTGAATAATCTAGCTAAAACCGTCAAAATATCGTATATAGGGAGGTACCGTTATATCGGAACTGTGCGAAGCCCTGTACCAGCGTAGACAATTTTCTGTCATAGGCTGTAGCATCCATTACGATCTTCAAATACGATATTTCAAACAATTTCGGTGAGTATTGTACCTAAACTCGTCAAAATACCGAATATTGGGAGGTATTGGTATATGGAGCCTATACGAAGACCTGAACCAGCATAGACAATTTTTTGTCTTAGGCTGTAGTATCCATTTCGAACTTCAAATAGCAAATTTGAAACAATTTCCTTGAATAATGTCGCTAAAATCATCAAAATACCGAATCTCGGGAGATACCGTTATATGGGGACTATATGAACACGTGGACCTACATGGCCCATTTACAAACTTAACCTGCCTACTGGAAAAATAAACATGTGTGTAAAATTTTAGTCTTCTATCTCAATTCGTTCGAAAGATAGCGTGCTTACAACAGACAGACGGACACCGCTAAATCGACTTAGAATTTTACGCTGATGGAGAATATATATACTTTGTTGGGTATTTGACATGAATATTTCGAGGAGTTACAAACGGAATGATAATGTTAATATATAGTGGAGGGTATAAAAAGCTTTCCTACACCCCATCGGAGACCCTTATACCAAATTTCACACTTCCAACTCCATGCGTTTAACCAATAAATGGATTCCATTTTTAGTACCTTTTGGTACTTTTAGTAAACTCATGTTCGAATTTCCAAGAATCCAGCCTTATCACGCCCCTACATAGCAAATTTTTTTTTCTAAATCAGCTACTCCGTTACTCAGCACTCAACACTTTTATATAGGTGTCAGGTGCAAAAGGACGTCTTACTGAAGGGTTCTCTACTCGTCCATATCAAGGTTCCCTGTCCATTCCGCTGATCTCTATATAACGTCCTAGATCTAAGTACGTCTAGATCCAATATCGTCTTCCTGAAAAAATAACTGGCCTATACCAGAGCTCAAATTTTATCGTTTTTACTCGCGAGTAATACATACTCACGAACGGGAGTACTCGAAGAGTACAAATTTTACACGAAGTTTTTTCTCCTCGCATATTAAAAATAAAACAACGGTATGACAAAAACTAAAAGAATACTCGGCAAGGTTAGAATCAGCTCAAGCGAATTTTACTCCCACTCGAAAACTATCACAGCATACTCTCGATTTTTCGAGTGGCATAGAAAAATAAAGTATTCTAGATTTTGTGAATTTTAAGCAAATTTTTCGATCTTTTTTCTTCTATTTAATTGAATAATTGTTCGACCTGACCTTTAGCTCGAACAATTATTCAATTAATCTCGATTTCTTTTTTCGTACTCCTAGGAGTACTCCCGCTCGAATTTGAGCGAGTTTCGCTCTAGACTCGAATTTGAACGAGCATTTGGTTTCTCTGGCGTCATGAACTCGACTTTGTTGTCGCCTAGCAACTCGTCTTTGTGGAATCACTTGTCTGTGCAGAGATGATTCACTGTCCCCTTAGCCACCGCATCTACGCCTAGAATCTCTGAGCAAGGAGTTCGCCTATATTTAGATTCTCTGGGTGACAATTTCGTCTACATCTAGACCTTCAAGTCGACCAGTTCGTCTATATCTAGATTCTCTGGGCGACTAGTTCATCTATACACTGACTCTCTGGGCCATCACTTCGTCTGTATTTAGACTCCCTGTCATTCTGCTGGACTGTTTCCGACTAGTGCCCCCGGGGCGACCAACTAGTTAATGTCTAGACCATCTGGGCAACCAGCTGGTCTATGTCTAGACTCTTTTGAGCAACCCGCTCGTCTATGACTAGACTCCCTGGGCCACCAACTCGTGTATTTCTTGACTCTGGACGACAAGCTTGTCTAGGTCTTGACTCTGGTCTTATATGTGTCTTGACGACCAGTTTTTCGGTGACTAGACTACCCGGGCGACCCAAATGTTAAAGTCTAAACTCTCTTGGCAACCAAGCAGTCTATGCCTAGACTCTCTGGGCGACCAGTTCTTTAATGTCTAGACTCTCTGGTCAACCAAGCAGTCTATGCATAGACTCCCTGGGCGACCAATTCTTTAATGTCTAGACTCTCTGGACCACCAGCTCGTATATGTCTAGACTCTTTGGGCAACACACTCATATATGACTAGAGTCTCTGGACGACCAATTCGTCTATTTCTTGACTCTGGGCGACCAGCTTGTCTAAGTGTTCTGGGCTTGTCCATGTCTTGACGACCAGTTTTTCTGTGACTAGACTCTCTGGGCAACCAGGCCGCCTATGTATAGAATTTTTGAGCGCATATTTCTTTAATGTCTGGACTCTCAGGGCAAACAGCTCGTCTAGACATAGGACAACCCACACGTCTATGTCTAGACTCTATGGGGGACCAATTCTTTAATTTCAAGACCATCTGGGCAACCAGGCTGTCTTGGTCTTGACTGTGGGCTAGTATATGTCTTGACGACCAGTTTTTCTATTACTAGACTCCCCTATGTCTACACCCTCTGGGTGACCATTTCTTTAATGTCTAGACTCTCTGGGCAACTAGCTCGTCTATATCTGGACTTTCTAGAAGACCAGCAGGTCTCTATAGACTCTCTGATCAACCAGCTCTTTCTGTGAACTCTCTGACCACCAGCTCCTATCTGTGGCCTATTTTACCCACTAGATCTTCTCTAAAGAATCTCTAGTCCACCAAATCCTTTTTGTGGACTGTCTGATCCACCAGCTCCCCTCTATGAATTAGCTGGCGCCCAAACTGGTATCTATTAACACTCTGGTCCACCAGTTTTTCTATCAACCAGCTCGGCTCTGTGAACTCTCTGGCCACCAGCACCTATCTGTGTCCTATTTTACCCTCTAGATCTTCTTTAAAGAATCTCCAGTCCACCAAATCCTTTTTGTGAACTGTCTGATCCACCAGCTCCCCTCTATGAATTAGCTTGCGCCCAAACTGGTATCTAATAACACTTTGATCCACCAGTTTATCTATCAACCAACTCTTCTCTGTGAACTCTCTGACCACCAGCTCCTATCTGTGGCCTATTTTACCCACTAGATCTTCTCTAAAGAATCTCTAGTCCACCAAATCCTTTCTGTGGACTATCTGATCCACCAGCTTCCCTCTATGGATTAGCTGGCGCCCAAACTGGTATCTATTAACACTCCGGTTCACCAGTTTATCTATCACCCAGCACTTCTCTGTGAACTCTCTGACCACCAGCTCCTATCTGTGGCCTATTTTACCCTCTAGATCTTCTCTAAAGAATATCCAGTCCACCAAATCCTTTTTGTGGACTGTCTGATCCACCAGCTGCCCTCTATGAATTATGTGGCGCCCAAACTGGTATCTATTAAGACTCTGGTCCACCAGTATATCTAAGTTCTTTCCTTTATTAGTTTATCTTTTTTTGGATTGCTTCGTCTCTGGGCTACTGGCTTGACTTTATAGATTCTCTCTCTCTTTCGTGTTCTTCCCTATGGAATCTCTGGCCCCGCAAACTCGTCTCTATTTACTCTCTGATCTACCAGCTCTTCTCTGTGAACTCTCTGACCACCAGCTCCAATCTTTAGACTATCTTATCCACTAGCTCTCTATAGATTCTCTACACCACCATATCCTCTCTGTGGACTCGCCGACCCATCAGCTCCCCTATATGGATTAACTGACGCCCAAACTGGCCACCAGCTCCTATCTTTGAACTATCTTATCCACTAGCTCTTCTCTATAGATTCTCTAGACCACCACATCCTCTCTGTGGACTCTCCGACCCATCAGCTCCCCCATATGGATTAACTGACGCCCAAACTGGCCACCAGCTCCTATCTTTGAACTATCTTATCCACTAGCTCTTTTCTATAGATTCTCTAGACCACCAAATCCTTTCTGTGGACTCTCTGACCCATCAGCTCCCCTCTATGGATTAACTGGCGCCCAAACTGGCCACCAGCTCCAATCTTTAGACTATCTTATCCACTAGCTCTCTATAGATTCTCTACACCACCATATCCTCTCTGTGGACTCTCTGACCCATCAGCTCCACTTTATGGATTAGCTGGCGCCCAAACTGGTATCTACTAAGACTCTGGTCCGCCAGTATATCTAAATTATTGGGTCTAATAGCTCATCTTTTTTGGATTGCTTCGTCTCTGGGTTACTGGCTTGACTTTATAGATTCTCTCCCTCTCGAGTTCTTCCCTATGGAATCGCTGGCCCCGCAAACTCATCTCTATTTACTCTCTGGTCTACCGAACAGTTCTTCTCTATGGAATATTTGATGCACCAACACGTGCTGATGGAATCCCCTAGCCCTTAAGCTTCTCTCAATAGATCCCTTGGCCCCTTTGTCTCCATTAAGCTTGGCGCTTTAACTCTTTGGGTCACTCTCTCTCAAAATCTCTTTTTTAACGACTCCCCTTTGACTCCTTCATAAAGAATTGCCTTTGGAAACTATGAATGTATTTTTCTGACTTCTTTCCATAATCACTCCCTCTTGGCTGGCAGCTCTACGTGGTCTCACATCACTACTTTTTGTGGCAATCATTTTTTATTTCATTGTTGCTTTTGTTTTTATTGTTGGCAATGGCAATATATGATTGTAGAACATTTTTGTTGATGTCGATTTTTCATGTGATTATTTCTCATTGTTGTTGTTGTTTTTATATCTTTCTAGGACACTGTGGCCACACCAGCCCCTGCGAACAATTGTGCTATGAAATCCATGATGGCATGTACGAATGTGATTGCATCGAAGGTTATGAACTCAATAAAAATGGTTATAGCTGTCAAGGTAGGTACAATAAAATACCAAGTTGCCGGCGAAGAGGGGGTGGGGGGAGTGACGGCATGGCACACCATTATCCATATCCCTTAACTATCATTTGGATATAATTCAATTCCATGCCGGAGTATAACAACCCCATCTCCCCCTTTGATGTGTATCGTTGATATGACTTACAATCACGAACTCATGTCGCATGTGTGTATGTGTTTTTTTCTCTCTCTCTCTCTCTTTGTCTCTATTTTTCTCTTTTTTATGGTCGTGATGGATTTTTATGACAGTGATAAATTCAACGAACAGCAGTGATGGCCACAGCAAATCCGATGAAGATGTGCTGTATCAAAAAGGAGCATCGTTTAGTGCCAAATTGGCCAATGACAATGCCGACGATAACCACATAGGTAATAACCAATTGAATGGAGGCGGTGGCGGAGGAGGCAGTAGTGCGTCGGATGGTGGCCTATCATCGCCGTTCAATCGGGACTCTGATGAGGACATTATCGATGGCGATGATGAATCGTCGTATATCAGTGACGATTTGGGAGGTCTAATGGCCCAGCGCGAGAAAATCAATTCCAATGATTATTACATATCAAATGAGGGCGAAGAGGGAGAGTTAGATAGCCGGGGTATGGAGCGAGATATAAGTGAGGATGATTATGACGATGAGCCATATGAACGGCAACGGGCCACGATCACCACAACCAAGCCCATAGCCTTGATGTTGCATCGCAATCGCAAAGCACCTGCTGGAAATAAAAATCAGCCAAGATCATCGGGCCCATCGACGAGGGCAACAACTACAACCAGTGCACCATCCTCAACAACAACATCGAGCACAACAAGCACAACAACAACGGAGACGACGATGCTAACGAATGAGAATCTCGATGAACTGGATGATTATTATGCCAAGCAGGACATGTCCATTTATGATGATGTCAATAATAATCAATTAAATTTAAGGCCAATCAATCATTTAACATATCAGCAGCAACCACAACAGCAGCAACAACAACAAAAGAGACAACTGCAACAGCAACACCATCAAATGGAAGCACAAACGAACAGCAATCACCAGCAGTCGCAACAGCAACAAAAGTCGCAGCATCACAATAGCTTTAGCTATAGTAGTCAAAATAATAACAATAACAACAACAATTTATTTAAAACTGCCACAGCAGCACAAACAGCTTCGACAACAAGTTATGCAACTGCCACAAGTGGCACAAACAACAACAAACAGCAGCAACAACAACAACAAGTATCAACAAACATATCATTAAATCTAAGTTCAGCCGAAACAAACGAGTAAGTAGAAGAAGAAACGTAAACAAGTAAGTTCGGCCGGGCCGAACTTTGAATACCCTCCACCATTTGGAACGAATTTGGAAATTTTCAAAAAATTAAATCCATAATAAATTCTGTTAAAATTTTTAGAAATACCCAATATAGCCTTTATGTTGGTGTCTATACGACGTGGACCTACATAGGCATTGTTTGTCATAAGCCATTACCATATTCAAATTCGCAACTTGATATAAACGGTGAATAATGTAGCTAATATCCTCAAAATATCGTATATAGGGAGGTACCGTTATATCGGAGCTGTGCGAAGACCTGGACCAGCATAAACAATTTTCTGTCATAAGCTGTAGCATCCATTACGAACTTAAAATACGAAATCTCCAACAATTTCGGTGGGTATTGTAGCTAAACTCGTCAAAATACCGAATATCGGGAGGTACTGATATATGGGGCCTATACGAAGACCTGGACCTGCATAGACAATTTTCCGTCCTAGGCTGTAGTATCCATTACGAACTATAAATACCAAATTTGAGACAATTCCGGTTAATAATGTCGCTTAAATCATCAAAATACCGAATATCGGGAGGTAAGGGTATATGGGGGCGATACGAACCCCTGGACCTGCATAGACAATTTTCTGTCCTAGGCTTTTGTATCCATTACGAAGTCTAAATACGTAATTTAAAACAATTCCGGTGAATAATGACGCTTAAATTATCAAAATACCGAATATCGGGAGGTACGGGTATATGGGGGCTATACGAAGACGTGGACCTGCACAGATAATTTTCTGTCTTAGGCTGTAGTATCAATTTCGAACTTCAAATACCAAGTTTGAAACAACTCCGGTAAATAATGTCTCTAAAATCATCAAAATACCGAATATCGGGAGGTACTGATATATGGGGCCTATACGAACACCTGGACCTGCATAGACAATTTTCTGTCTTAGGCTGTAGCATCCATTTCAAACTTCAAATACCAAATTTGAAACAATTCCGATAAATAATGTCTCTAAAATCATCTAAATACCGAATCTCGGGAGATACCGTTATAAGGGGACTATACAAAGACGTGGACCTGCACAGATAATTTTCTGTCTTAGGCTGTAGTATCAATTTCGAACTTCAAATACTAAATTTGAAACAATTCCGGTGAATAATGACGCTAAAACCATTAAAATATCGAATATCGGGAGGTACCGTTATATGGGGCCTATACGAAGACCTGGACCTGCATAGACAATTTTCTGTCTTAGGCTGTAGCATCCATTTCAAACTTCAAATACCAAATTTTAAAGAATTCCGGTGAATAATATCGCTAAAAACATCAAAATACTGAATATCGGGAGATACCTTTATATGGGGGTTATACGAAGACGTGGACCTGCACAGACAATTTTCTGTTTTAGGCTGTGGTATCCATTACGAAATTCAAATACCAAGTTTGAAACAATTCCGGTAAATAATGTCTCTAAAATCATCAAAATACCGAATATCGGGAGGTACCGTTATATGGGGGCTATATGAAAACGTGGACTTACATAGCCCATTTACGAACTCAACCTGCCTACTGGATAAATAAACATGTGTGCAAAATTTTAGCCTTCTATCTCAATTCGTTCGAAAGATAGCGTGATTACAACAGACGGACAAACGGACATGGCTAAATCGTCTTAGAATTTTACGCTGATCAAGAATATATATATATATATATTATATATATTATATATATTTCGAGTAGTTAAAAATGGAATGACAAAATGAATATACCCTCCATAGTATGGTGGAGGGTATAAAAAGTAGAAAGAGAAGATGGAGGATAAATAAAAATTGCCTTAGTCGGCAAAATCAAATCTTTAAGACACAGCAAATTTCACAGAAGTGTAGAGCTCCCAGTTGGGTGGTAAAATATTTTAAGACCGTATATGTTTGAAAAATCATAGGAAATTCGATATTGAAATTTTGATTCCTGAGAAAATGAAACTAGGGCAGGGTGAGGCAAAATTGAGTTTTTTTTTCTGGACGAAGGCTTTAAATTTTTGAACGGCAAAAGAGTTGTTTTTTTTTTTTCTAACTTTTCCATTTTTTGTCATGTAAAGAGAACGCAATGTTTATACCCTCAGTCCTATAGCTAGAGAAGGTATATATCATTTGATACGGCCAAAACGCACCTCATCAAAATAACGGGTTTCGACCCTGGGTCTCTTTGTACCAAATCCGTTTCAGAATATTTGGAGTGGATCTAAGGGTGTCCGTCCTGAATCAAATATGCCCCAAAAGGAATTTGAAATTGGGTGTAGGAATAAGGCTGGAATCCCGATATTTATTATTAAGGTCTCTTTTGTTGTCAGCAGATTAAATATGGAGGTAGTTTTGAAAATGCGCCCTACATTTTTACAGAAAGTACTGATTACTAAATAACAGTAAATTTGGTATTGTGTAAAGGAATAAGGCAGGAATCCAAAAATTTGTTTTTTAAGGTCTCAGTTGGTATCTATGGTTAAGATATGGAGGTGGTTTTGGAAATGTGTCCTATATTTGTATAAAAGCTACTAAATGACACTAAATTTGGAATTGGGTGAAGGAATAAGGCTGGAATCCTGATATTTGTTATTTAGGTCTCTAATGTTGTCAAAAGTTAATATATGGAGGTGATTTTGGAAATGCGCCCTATATTTGTAAGAAAAACTACTTAATAATACTAAATTTGGTATTGGGTCAAGAAATAAAGTTGAAATTCCGAAATTTGTTATTTAGGTCGCAGTTGGTGTCTATGGTTAGGATATGGAAGTAAAACCGTTATTTCGGTGTGACACGTTGCGGCCGTATCAAGTGATATATCCGTCTGCCTGTTCAAACTTGGTACATCGTACCTATATTGTCAAACTTAGATCGAGTTCGGAGCTGGGCAATATGTACAGTATGGAAGGTATATTAAGTTCGGCATTGCGTTGGTAACACATCGAAATAATAATTTTAGACTAACAAAGTATATATTCTTGATCAGCGCAAAAATCTCAGACGATTTAGGCCTGTCCGTACGTCCGTCTGTCCGTCTGTTGTAGTCACGCTACAGTCAAAACGAATTAAGATAGGAAACTAAAATTTTACACAGATCAGTCTTTTGTGTGAAGGCAGGTCAAGTTCGAAGATGGGCTATATTGGTCCACGATATCGTATTGCCCCCATAAAGGGGAACCCCACGATATTTGGTATTTGCAAAATTCAAGAATTATCAATTAGAGTTCTTTGTGGGTACTTTACAGCCTGTAGGAGAATTGTTTATATATAGGTCCACAATATCCTATATCCCCCCATAAAACGGTACCTCCCTATATTCGATATTTCGATTGTTATAGCCATATTTTTCAATGGAATTGTCTGAGAATCCACATCAGAAGTTGCTTCTGAGTACTTCACCCCCTGGAAGAGAATTGTATATATAAGTCCACGATATCGTATATCCCCTATATTACGGTACCCCCCGATATTCGGAATTTTCATGATGATAGGCATATTTTTCAATGGAATTGTCTGAAAATCCACACCAGGAGTTGCTTTTGAGTACTTCACCCCCTGGAAGAGAATTGTCTATATAGGTCCACGATATCGTTTATCTCCTATATAGAGATACTCCCCGATATTCGGTAATTTATTAATTGTAGCGACAGTTTTGACCGGAATTGTACTATATGCATATGCCTGAAAATTGTCTATTGCTGGTCCACGTCTTCGCATGGGCCACATATAACGGTACCTCCCTTTATCCGGTATTTTGATGAAATTAGCAACACATTATTCAACGAAATTGTTTCATATTTCGTATTTGAAGTTCGGAATTCATACTACAGCCAATGACAAAAAAATTACTTATGCTGGTCAACGTCTTCGCATATCCCCCATATAACGAATTTCATTTAAGTGGTATTTTTCGACGGATTTTTTTTCGAAATTTTCACGATCCTTCAAAATGGTGGAGGGTATTAAAAGTTCGGTCCGGCCGAAACTTAGCTTAGTTTTGTACTTAAAAACTTAACATTAGTAAAGCCACCTGCAATAACTTCAGTCTCCACCTCTTTGTAATCACCCAATACTGTATAGAATAGAATATTCGGTACCTTATTGTAAGTCACGCACACTTTAGTACCAATTTTCAGTATCCATGTAAATATTCAGAGCATTAGTCAAACCATTATTTATCAGTATTTTTTTAGGATTCTTCGTACCCTTTTAGTACAAATATTCCTAATTTCTTTTGTTCTGAAGAATTTGAAATATCGAGTTTTTGAGAAAACCCCTAAATATCAAACAATATTTTTTTCTGCCACAGAATTTCTGCAACACGTGCAGCCTATAAAACCTACAATATTCCCCCTTTAAAAGGGTTTTTCTTTCAGTTGTTTCCTTTATTTTCCTTTTCACATGTTACACACGGATGTAACCCTGTAACCTATCGTCCATTGTGAGCACCATAAAAATGAAATTCATATTTTCCAACTTTGACCTGAGATATAATTTTATTTAAGTGGAACTAGCAGCAAAAGGTCAAAGTGCATTTAATATCGTACAGAAACACAGACACAAGCACGCACTCACTCACACACACACACACACACACACTATGATACAGTTACAAATGCCAGCACTACATAACGTTTGTCCTAAAGCAAAAATGCTTTCATAAAACTTAATTTGTTTAACTGGAATTTCAGCAGCAGCATCAGGTTTCACATTGTTTTTCTTGCTCCTCTTCATCTTCATCTTTTTTTTTTTTTTTTTTTTTTTTTTTTTGAAGCAGCAGCATCAGCAGCTGAAGAAGAAGCACAAGCAGATAAAATCTCATAATCCTCTTTTTTCATTATCATAGTTCTTAGAATTTAGCATTGTCTTTTGATTTTCTTCTTTTATTTAATTTGTTTTTATTGTTTTGGTTGTTTTTGTTGTTTGTGTGCGTGTTCTCAAAGAAGAACCACAAATATCCAATGAACTGTTCATAAAAAGAAACAGGTGAAGATTTTGAAAAAAAAAGGAAAAAACTGAAAACTGTTTACAACTTAGAACAATGAACCCTTGAACTTTGAAATGCATTTAAATATTCGTTGAAACTTATTTTTATAGCAAGATTACAAATGATAAAATTTATCGGAAAAATTAATACTCAGCCGCTGAGAATACATTATTTCTCTCTAGGAAAATTTTATCCTCAGCCGCTGAGGACAGATCCGTTTAGAAAAATTTCATCCTCAGCTGCTGAGGATAGATTTTCCGTCCAGCGAAATTTCATCCTCAGCCCCTGAGGATGAGATTTTCCGTCCAGGAAAAATTTCCTCCCCAGCCCCTGAGGATGAGATTTTCCGTCTAGAAAAAATTTCATCCTCAGCCCCTGAGGATGACATTTTCCGTCCCTGAGGATGACATTTTCCGTCTAGGAAAAATTTCATCCTCAGCCGCTGAGGATGACATTTTCCGTCTAGGAAAAATTTCATCCTCAGCCGCTGAGGATGACATTTTCCGTCTAGGAAAAATTTCATCCTCAGCCGCTGAGGATGACATTTTCCGTCTAGGAAAAATTTTCATCCTCAGCCGCTGAGGATGGCATTTTCCGTCTAGGAATATTTTCATCCTCAGCCGCTGAGGATGGCATTTTCCGTCTAGGAAAATTTTCATCCTCAGCCGCTGAGGATGGCATTTTCCGTCTAGGAAAATTTTCATCCTCAGCCGCCGAGGATGGCATTTTCCGTCTAGGAAAATTTTCATCCTCAGCCGCCGAGGATGGTATTTTCCGTCTAGGAAAATTTTCATCCTCAGCCGCCGAGGATGGCATTTTCCGTCTAGGAAAATTTTCATCCTCAGCCGCCGAGGATACAATTTTTCCGTCCAGGAATAATTGCATCCTCAGCAGCTGAGGATAGAAAAATTTTCATCCTCAGCCCCTGAGGATGGCATTTTCCGTCTAGGAAAAATTTCATCCTCAGCCCCTGAGGATGACATTTTCCGTCTAGGAAAAATTTCATCCTCAGCCCCTGAGGATGACATTTTCCGTCTAGGAAAATTTTCAACCTCAGCCCCTGTGGATGACATTTTCCGTCTGGGAAAATTGCATCCTAAGCCCCCGTGGATGACATTTTCCGTCTGGGAAAATTTCAACCTCAGCCGCTGAGGATAGATTTTCCGCCTGGGAAAAATTTCATCCTCAGCGAATTAGGATACATTTCTATCCTCATCTGCTGAGGGTAACATTTGCCGTCTAGTAAAATTTTGTTGTTGCAAAATCGTCAGGCAAAATCCCATTATTGTTGTTTTTATAAAAACAACGTTTGTTTATGAGTGGAGAACGATGGTAATGTTTACCAGGGGGTAAGGCAGGGAATACCTAGGTTTCGGAAAGAGCCACCAATCCTCATCAGTTCCCTTGTTTCTTGTCTGGGATATTCTCCCCAGAAGTTATTTAAAAAATAACTTCTATGACAAAAAACATTTTTTTACCCAATTGACGAGATCGTAAGCTCAATAGAAGAGGAACAAAAGAATTACATAAAACTAAAATTCTTTTGGAAAATCTTCTAAGTCTTACAACCGCACTTATAAACATTTACATCTGCCTTACCCCCTGGTAAACATTACCATCGTTCTCCACTCATAAACAAACGTTGTTTTTATAAAAACAACAATAATGGGATTTTGCCTGACGATTGTGCAACAACAAAATACTATGGTATCCCAAACAAGCAAGCCAAACTCTGTCTAGTAAAATTTTCATCCTCGGAATTTTTATCCTATATTTTTGGATCATATTTTCCAATTGGAAGATTTCTTCTCTTAAAAAATATATTTTTTAATTTTTCCTAAATTTAATATTTCCCTAATTTCCTTATTTTTCCAGAATTTGTAATTTAGAATGTGGAATTGATGGCATGTGTGAAAAATCGGAGGGAACGAGTAGATGTCTATGTCCGTTTGGCAAAACTGGCAACAACTGTTTGGAAGGTAAGTAAACACTCTCTTATTTTCATTAACCAGAAGTCATTCTCTTCTTCCCCTACAATACAAACCGACCTATCCGACCTCTTCTTCTTCGAAAAAAAAAAAACGAAAACACTTGTCTAATAGACTTATTTATGGCATTTTCATGATCTACCATGGAAGACAATGATTTTCACTTTATTCGGAACATTAAAATTGTCTCCTCTTAGCACCGAGAGGGCACTTACAGTGTCTTTGCCTCCTCCTTAAACAACAACCGAAATAAGAACCAAGTCACCCGGTTGCTGGCAAAAAGGCAAGTCAAGGTTGTTGTGAACACAGACATACACACGCACAACGTCAGACATACTGACATTACTTCCATGTATATGTATATATACCAAACCTTGACCATTCTACACTGGCCCTGTGTTTTATGACTTCCGCTGTCGTTTAGTTTCATTTCAGTTTCCATGGAACAGGCATGTTCATGTCATAAACATGAACTAATTTGAAAATGTCTACAAAAATATTTCCGACAACTGGAATTTTGACTACCGTCGTCAGGACGGAGTTGCGTCAGCAACATGTTTATAGGTTTTTATTTATTTTTTCCGAAAAAAACAACAACAATAATATCAACATCTACTGTTTTGTAGTTGTAAAGGAAAGTCCTGGTAATTCTTTGGGTGTTTATTTTTATTATTTGTTCCATGTCCGCTTTAGCCAGGCTAAAGCGGTATTGTCTTTGTACTGTGTACTAACTGAAATAAAAGTCCAAGTCCATGAATTAAATGTCGTTGTTGTTGCTACTGTTGTTTTTTTACTGCATTCTATTGAATGTCTTGGGTTAGGGCAAAAATAGAAATTAGTTTTGTAAAATGGCCTTGGAACGAAAGGAATTTGTTTGCCTGGCAGTATACAAATTTAATAAATGGAGAAAGAAAATACTGGATATAATATTACTCGTTTGCATATTGTAATAATAATGAACGGGTAGAGGACCTGGGTGACGTATACGCTGTGACATCATTCATACGCACCGACGTACCACAAGAAAATATTATTTATGGACATTCCCTAAGCTTTACCGTATTTATACAAGAGTAAAAATCTTCTTCAAGTCACGAACCCAAAGTACCAAGCAAGCCAATTGATTGGAAAAATGTGGCTAAGTCCTTTATAATACCAATATCTTGGGACAAGCAATGTATAACACCTGCTAAAAATTTCGAAAAACATCAAGGATTTTTTTAATTTTACCCATAAATATTCCAAAACATAAAATTGGAAAATACAGACAAGACCTGAAACCTGAAGTAAAATTTGCAGAAAATTGAAATTGCTAAACAAAAACAAGTAAAAAAGCAGTAAATTCGACCTTGCCTAACTTTAAATACCTTCCACCATTTGGAGCGAAAAAATAAAATCCGTTAAAAAAATTTACCTAAAATCATCAAAAGACCAAATATAGAGAGGTTCAGCTATATGGGCGCTATACGAAGACCTGGACCTGCATAGACAATTTTCTGTCATAGACTGTAGTTCCCATTACGAACTCTAAATTTGAAAAAATGTGGCTAAAATCTTCAAAATTTATATATATATAGGATTATATGGTGAATATAGGAAATCATGGACTTATATAGACAATACTCTTCCGGGGGTAAAGTACTCAAAAGGAACTCCGTGTGTGGATTTTCAGACAATTCCATTGTGGCTACAAATTGTACCAGAATTGTAGCTTCCTATCTTTATTCGTTTTGACTCTAGCGTAATTGCAACAGACGGACTAACAGGGCTAAATCGTCTTAGAATTTTACGCTGATCAAGAATACATGTACTTTGTTGGATCTAAAATTATTATTTCTATGGAGGGTGTATGGTGGAGGCTATAAAAACGATTTTTTAAATAATGTCACTCATTGAAAGTTCATGATCGGCCTTAAATTCATAGTCGATCTAAGGTTGTCTGTCTGTCCATCGTGGAGTTTTCAAGTTTGGCAAAAACGTTTGTATTATGTCTAGGACGATTCGTATAGTTCTCCGTCCTCGTTTAGGTAATGCCCCCATATAACCGTATCCCAAGATAATATTGTGCAACAAATGTTTTAAATAATTACGGAGAAAATCCAGCAGATTTTGAAAATAACCTGAATAGGGTGCAAGCACCTTACCTCTTTCACACTTCGGAGTGTTGGAATAAATTCCTCGGAATACGTGAATTTTAGGTGTATTGCCAAATATACAGCAATATTGCAGAATTATTTGAGAACTTCACACTGGTCAACAAAGAGTTCTTTTTGGTCCTTTTTTGAAAATATAGGTAAAAACTCCCTTTAAATGGAATTAAATTCCACTATAAGCTTCAGAAGACGTCAAAAAAGTATCAGTCGGTTTTGCCGACAAATGTATACCCCCAGCCAATGTTCTAATATTTAAATATATTTTGACTTCTGTTTTGTTTATTCAAATATTTGGCCCTCTATGGAGTAGGTTCCGAAGAAATGAACCAAATTCATCCATTTTGTATCGGAACTAAATAAATATGATATAAATATTGCGAAGTGCCAGGTTTGGGCTATATCGACTTCCACTCTATATGAAATATGTGATAATTTAAAAAAAAATTAAATTGTGCCTGGGGCACCAGATATAGTCGATCAAAGTATTCCACTTTCAAACTTCATCTAATACAGATAAAAATATTGATATGGGCAAAATTACAAGAAAATCGAACATTTATATCCAATTTTATGCGAAATCATAAATCCCATATTCATCTCAGGTTTCTGATTGAGTGAAATATTCAGATATAGCAAGTTATGACAGATAAAAGTATTGACCCTTTGTGGGTGAGGTACCAGAAGGAGTTCGCAGATATACACTGGTGGCCAAAACTAAAGCAACTGAAATTACAAGGAAAATGAATTCCCTGTAATTTTTTTAAAAATTAAGAAAATGAGAAAGTTTTTCTTGTTTTAAATAAGGTACTTTATTCACTTTTTAAAAACCTAAAACATAAAACCAAAATTAATTTTTATATAAAAAATAATGTTTGGTAAAGTCAATTAACCCGATTTTGGCTTGGACAAAACAAAAGCAACTCTGTTGTATATTCATATAACCGCTTCAATTTCAGTTGTTTTTACTGTGATATTTATCGCTTTTTGCTTCCTTCGACAATTTCGCTTGTCATAAATCCCTTTTGAGAAGTTTTTTACAACAGTATGTGTTTTTCTTTTCGTTTCTTAAGTACTGCCCAAAAAAATTTTAAAAATGGCTAGAAGCAAATACAATACCTGAATAAAACAGCAAATTATCAGTGACTATCAAAACAACATATTACAGAAAATGATTTCTGAGAAATATTTCATAAATATTTATGTGATTTCATAATTATGTCTGTGCACTAAGTCGGTTTTTCGAAACTGGATCAGTAGTAACAGTCCATAACGGATGAAGGCCGTGAAGAACTTCAGCCCATACTGATCCACAAATTGTGAGAGAAATAAAAAACAACTATTTAAGAGTTCAACAGGATTGGTGAGAGAGCAATCATTGGATATAAGCTCGAGATCAGTGCGTAGACGAGTAGTGGCAGCTGGTCTGCATGCCCGTAAGACATCAAAAAACCATTTATATCTGAAAAAATCAAAAAGGCTTTCGGAAACAAAAATATTAAGTGGAATCAAGCTCAATGGAAAAAACATTATTTCTGGGATGGGTCTACGTTTAATGTTAAAGGCTCAGATGTGAAAAATTTTACGGCGAGAAGACCAAAAAATGAAGGACTCAAGCCGCAGTGTTGCAAAGCATGAGGGTGGGTCAAAAATGGCGTGGCGCTGTTTTTCTTTCTATGGATTTGGGCCTGTCCATAAAATAAAGGAAGTTGTGGATCGGTTTGTTTACAAAGATGTGGTGGACATCACGTTGTTCCCTTACGCTGAGTAAAATACTCGGCTGAGTTGGGTGTTTCAGCATGACAATGATCCCAAACTTGTATCAAAACTTGTCAAATATTGGTTGCGGGAGTCAAAAATTGTTGTTTTGTTATGGCCGGCACAATCACCTGACCTAAACTCCATAGAAAACCTTTGGAGTATCGTAGATAGGAAGATCAAGCGAGATTCGGAAATAAATAAGCACAACTTTTTCTAAAGAATTCGGGGTGCCTGGGAAAGCACACCCAAGGATCAAATTGAGCATGTTATAGATTCAATGCCTCGTAGGTGTGCAGCTGCTATCAAAAATAATGGTCATGCTATCGACTACTAGCCAAAATTTAATTATTTTAAAATAAAAAATCAAAAGTTGCTTTAGTTTTGACCAAGCAAAAATTGGGTCATTTTAGTTTTCCACATATTATTTTTCGTTCAAAATTATTTTTGTACTTTTATTTTTAGTTTCTTAAAAGTGAATTAAACCCCTCATTTAAAACTGGAAAAATAATTACGATTTGTTTATTTTTGTAAAAGTTACAGGACATTTATTGTCTTTGCGATTTAAGTTGCTTTAGTTTTGGCCACCAGTGTATATCATCTTCACAACAGATTTTGTGTTAGCAAAAATGTTTGTATGTGTAAAATTAGAAGAAAGTTGCATTCTTATTTCCATTTCTTTGAGCGTTTTGTTAAATGTCTAAAATCAGCTCCATATCTCAATTCCAGATATTAACACAGACCTCAATATGAAATCTGAGGATTCCAGCTCTATCGCTTCACCCAATACCAAATTTAGTACTTTTCGTACAAATATAGGACGCATTTCCAAACCACCGCCAAATTTCAATAAAAGGTACCGTCATCATCAAATTCCAAAATTTGATCTTTATTCCTTCACCAAATATCAAATTTAGTACCTTTTAGTACTTTTCGTACAAATATAGGATGCATTTTCAAAACCACCTCCAGTCTACACGTGAACAGCGACCCTAATATCATATTTCAGATTTCAAGCATTATCTATTCGCCCAATACCAAATTTTACCAAGTATAGTACTATCTAGTACTTTTCGTATAATTATAGTACACATTTCCAAAACCACCTCTTTATCACAAGCCTACCACCAACGGAGACCTCAATACAAAATTTCAAATATCCAGCTTCATCCGTTCACCCTAAACCAAACTGTTCCAAATTTAGTACTAGTTAGTACAGTTCGCAGATTTAGTACACATTTCTGAAAACACCTTCATACATCAAACTTACAGCCCTGCTGCTTATACCAAATTTCAAGTTTATGGTACTTTCCGTTGACATTATACCAAATGTTACCAGTTTAGAACTTTTCGTAACCTTAAGGTTTCCTTTGGTACATCTGTCCTACACTCCATCGGTGACTCTCATTTTAAATTTCAGATTACTAGTTTATTTCGTTTGTCCAATACAAATTATTCAATATTTGGTGGACCATTCGGTATTTTGCTGATTTATGTTATACTTTTCGCCGGAATTGTTTTAAATTTAAAGTTCATAGGGGGAACCTCTTCCTACGTCAGAAAATTCCCTATCCAGGTCAATATTCTCGTGTTTCCCTCATATAATGGTACCTTTCGTTAATCGGTATTTTTCCGATTTTAGTCATATTTTTCAAAGGGTTTTCTTAAAATGCGTATACATACTTTATGTTGAAACTCATACGCACCCTATTACATAAGTACATGTACGTAAGTGCATTTTAATAACCTTTTCTCTAACTTTTCTTCCAGACATTAAGGTACGAGTACCGAAATTCTCCAAACACTCATGGTTGGCCTTTCCTGCCCTTAAGGGTGCCTACAAACATGTTCAGCTACGCATTGAATTCCGTCCCGAATCCTTTGATGGTATTATTCTATTGAGTGGAGAACGCGACGATTTGACGGGAGATTTTATGGCTCTGCTGTTGAATAAAGGATTTGTGGAATTTTGGTAAGTAGTTGATGATGAAAGAGAGAAGGAGAACATAATGGAGAGAAAATATAAAAACTATGACCATTACCATTCTCTCAGGTTCGATTGTGGCAGCGGGGCTGGCAGCGTGAGATCGCGTGAGACCATCCTCCTAAACGAATGGAATTCTGTGGTAATCTATCGTCATCGTTGGGATGCCTGGTTGGTATTGAATCATGGCACGAAGGTGCAGGGTAGATCGACGGTAAGTCTATTTTATTTATTCGGAAATTTTATAATTTACAGTGCGGAATTATGAAAATATAAATTGAAAACGATGGGTAGAGTAGAGTGTCAATCAAGTTCGATCAAACGAACTACACCTTTTTTTGTAATTTATATAACTTTTGATTCATTTCGTAACAATTAATTTGTATTTCGAATTATTCCAATTGTAATTCAAATGATTTCAATAATTCGAATGATTTATTTGTAATTCGAATGATTCCAATTGTAATTCGATTGATTTCATTTGTAATTCGAATAATTTCAATTGTAATTCGAATAAGTTCATTTATAATTTGAATTATTCCATTTAAAATTACAAATTGAATCATTCGAATTACATTTAGAAAAATTTGAATTACAAATGGAGCAATTCGAATTATAATTGGAATAATTCGAATTACAAATCGAAAAATTCGAATTACATTCGTAATTCAAGAATTACAACTGAAATAATTCGAATTACAATTCTCAAATTAAAACTGAAATAATTCAAACCACAATGCATATTCTCGAATTACAATTCGAACGATTCGAATTATTAATTTACAATTGAAATGGTTCGAATTACATCGGAAAACGTGTAGCTTCTATAGTTCCGTTGACTCTGGCTATTTGAATGAAAAGTCTACGTATGAGTGATATGAAGTTTACCAGATTGGTGTACCAGATTGACACAACTCTAACGGGAGGCCGGTTTCGGTATAACGATACGAAAGTGAATACGGAAGAAAAGTAGGAATCTTAATGTTTTATTTTAATTATACCCTCAGCCATATGGCTACAGGGGGTATATATCATTTGATACGGTCAAAACGTGCCTAGTCGAAATAACGGTTTTAGACCGTAGGTCTCTTTGGACCAAATCCGTTTCAGAACATTTGGAGTCGATTTAGCGATGTCCGTCCGTCCGTCTGTCTGTCTGTCTGTCTATCCGATTTGGTTCAAACTTGGTACATCGTAATATTTTTGTCAAACTTAGATCGAGTTCGGAGATGGGCAATATCGGCCCACTCCTTCTGGTACCTCCCCCACAAAAGGTCGAAATTTTCAAAAAATATATTTTTTGCACAGGAAGAGAAATGATAATCCGAATTTGCTCCAACTTTGCAAATCCTAATATTTGCGTCAGTGCTAGGTCAGGTGTGAAAATGGGCAATATCGGTCCACTCCATCAAGTACCTCCCCCACAAATGGTCAAAATTTTGAATAATTACAACTCTCATAAAATGTGATGTAAGAGTCCGATTGTCTTCAAATTTCACACATCCCAATATTTATATTAACCCAAGCTCTGTTAAGATAGAATATATCGGTCCACTATTTCTGGTAACTCCCCCATACAAGGTCAAAATTTTCAAAAAAAAAATATATTTTTTCTGCGCAGAAAGAGAAGCGGTAATCCGGGTTTGCTCCAACTTGGCAAATCCTAATATTTTCGTCAGTTCTAGGTCTGGTACAAAAATGGATATTATTTATCCACTCCATCAAGTACCTCCACCACAAAGGGTAAACATTTTGAATAATTATAATGTGATGTTAGAATCCGACTGTCTTAAAATTTCACACATTCCAATATTTTCCTAAATCCAAAATCTGGCGTTAAGATGGAATACATCGGTTCACTTCTTCTGGTATCTCCCCCACAAGGGGTCAAAGTTTTGAATAACCAAAACATTTATAAAACCTGAAATCAGGCTCTCTTTATACTTCACACATCCCATTATTTCCACTAACAAAAGATCCGTTGTGAAGATGCGATATATCGGTCCACTCATTCTGGTACCTCCCCCCCCCCCACAAAGGCTCAAAATTTTGAAAATCCATGTAAAATTCATGACTTGGTACATCCCAAAATTTCCATTAAAACAACATGGTCCAAAGCTAGCACGTCGCAATATTTATATCATATTTATTTAGGTCCGACAAAAAATGGCTAATATTGGCCAATTCCTTCGGAACCAACTGCATAAAGGTTTAAACATTTTATCAATCAAACCAGAAGTCAAAAGATTTTAAAATAATCGAACATTGGCTGAGGGTATACATCTGTCGGCAAAACCGACCGAAACTTTTTAACTTGTTTTTATTTAAATTCAAAAACCCGCCCTAAAATTTGAAGCCATGAAAACATCTTATGATGGGAGGTTATTAAATTTGTCTCTTGTTTCCCATAGGGCCTCTTCTCCCGCATTACCTTCCGTGAACCGGTATTCCTAGGTGGCACTGGCAACATCACTGGCCTGGCTAATCGTTTGCCAATTACATCGGGCTTTTTGGGTTGTATACGTCACTTCATTGCCAACGATCAAGAATATAAATTTGAGGAACACCCAGCGGGAGATGTTACCAAGGGTTTTGATATACGTAAGTACATTTTGAGAATTTTTCAGATTTCATTGATTTATTTCATATTTTCTTATTTTATAGAGGATTGCATTACGGACAAGTGCTTCAAATATCCCTGCCAACATGGTGGCAAATGTCTGCCCTCCGACCAGGGAGCGGTGTGCCTATGCCCCATTGGCTTTGTGGGAGATTTGTGTGAGATACGTATGGATTTACAGGTATTTTTTGAGAAAAAAAATCGAAAATGTATTTTTTTATTTATGAATAAATGTATATTTTTTCTTTCTTTATAGGTTCCTTCATTTAATGGCTCCTCCTTTTTGCGTTATGCCCCCTTGGGTGACAGTGTTTTGATATGGCTGGAATTGAATGTAAGTAACTAAAATGTAGTACTTAGTGTTTTTAGCGGGTTCTATCTCCTGTGGCAGAAAATTGTCTATATATGGGTTCACATTTTCTTTTAGACCCCATAGGGCGGTACCTGCCGATTTTTAGTATTTCATGAACTTTTGACACATTTTTCAACGGAATTGTTTAAAACTCGAATCGTTGTTTTCATAATGGGTTCTCTCTCTAGTGACAATACATTTTCTATATACAGGGTGAGATAAAAAAAACTGCAACAAAGTCAAATGCTACAATTTTTACATTTCTCTTTTTAAATTTTATTGAATGAAAGCAAAAATATCGGAAATATTATCAACTTTTAGAATAAGTTTACCTTTGGCACGAATTATGGCCTTCTAACGGCCAGTGAAACCGTCTCCCGCTGCCCGAATGTTGCTCTGCGGTATTTTGGCCCATTCCCGGCGAAGCGCTTGCTTGAGGTGATCGACACTTTGGCATTTTTAAGTGCCAATCTTGCTTTCCAACATACTCCAGACACAATAGCCCAACGGATTGGTATCCGGAGATTTTGGTGGCCATTGTGCGCTGAAAATAAAGAGAGGGAGCTAATTTTCTAAACATTCTTGGGTGGCGGGTGCTGAGTCCTGTTGGAATGTCCGAAGGTCTGCGGCCAAAATGTTTGCGTGTCCAAGGCTTTGTTCGGCATTTCTTCTGATGCCACGTTCGATTAATACGAACGGAGAGCGACCATCGGCAGTTATGGCGGCCCACACCATCACCATGGCCGGCGCTTAAGTTCTGGTGGTCAACTGAAAGTGCACATTTTCAGCTGACCTCTTTAGCAAAGAAACACGATAACGAATGTTTTCTCATCGGAGAAAACCAAATTCGGCAGTTCACCACTTTCGGCCAAGCGAAGCAACTCTTTAGCTCTTTTGAGTCTATTATATTTCCGTTGCGCTGTAAGTTCTTGTACTTTTTGGAATTTCAATGGCTTTACCCCGAGCTCCCCCGATTCTTTAATATTTGCCGAATGGAATATTGCGATATGTTCAACTCACGAGCAATTTTTCGGCCACTGCGACGCGGATTTCGATCGAGTCGCTTCTTTATTTTTCGAACCATTTCTGTTGATGTTGCTGTTCTGTTCTTCCGTCCACTTCCTTGACGTCGGTAACGAGCGATGGTACGAGACACAAACGATTTATTCACATTTAAATGCTGGAGTACTCTAACGATAGCCACTTGTGGTTTTCCAGCCAAATATGAGGAAATCGTACCATCACGCTTGAATTCCATCACGAATAACTTTTTTCTGGAAAATTCTCACCAAAAATTTTTTGTTCACTTGTAAACAATATAATGAGCTGTCAGTGGAATAATTTTAACAGCTGTCGGACGAGTGGCTTAGAAATGAGAGCAGTCTGAAGTTGGTTGCAGTTTCTTCCACTCACCCTGTAAGTCCATATAACTATGCCTTCCTATAGAAGTTATTTGGACGATTTAGATAAGATTTTCTAACAGAATTGTTTAAATTTCGGTGCTTAGATCTTATAACGAGTTCTATCTCCTGTAGCAGAAAATGCTTTCCCATAGTCTCCATACAACTGTACCTTCCAATATTAGGTATTTTAGCGACCTAAGCCACATCTTCAAACGGCAGTGTTTCAAACTTTCAAACCTTTGTCATATAACGATATCTCCACATATCCCTTATTCTGATGATTTCAACCACATTTTAAAACGAAATTTTTTACAATTTGCTACTTAGGGTCCGGTTCTACCTCCTTTGGCTTATATTGGTTCACGTTGTCATATAGCCCCATATTTCGGAACTTCCAGATATTCGGTACTCTGATGACTTTAGCCGCATTTTTCAGGAGAATCTATTAAAATTTGGAATGTAGAGTTTGTAATGGGTTATGTCTTCTGTCACAGAAGACAGCTCGAATAGGTTCATTTCTTATATCACCCTTAAAGCGGTATTTCCGAATATTTGGTATTTTGGCAATTTTAGCCATATTTCTCAAGAGAATACTTTTCAAATTTGGGTAATAGCAATAGGTAACAACTACTACAGCAGGAAAGCGTTACCATCGTCCTTACGGCATTTCTAAGATTCTTTCCAACCGATTACACTGGAACAAATCTAATTGGATCCGAAATTCATTCACGATTCATTTATTTTTAAAGGGTTTCTTTACCTCATGGTGGAGGGTTTTTCAAAGATCGGCACGGCCGAACTTGTTATTATTTATTTATTGTATTTATTAATTTGATTTTTTTTTTTCTATCTTCCAGGTCATCCTCAAGCCCGAACAAGCCGATGGCCTTATTTTGTACTCGGGACCCAAACATCATGGTGATTTTATTGCCTTATCCCTGAGCAATGGCTATGTGGAGTTCTCCTTCAATTTGGGCAATGGTCCTGCCGTTGTAAGGTGAGATCTCATCACATTTCCAGCAGCGTTGTTCTTTTCTCAAATTTGTTTTTGTATTTTTGTTTTAGAAGTGAATACCCCTTGTCCATTGGTCAATGGCATACCATAAGAATATCACGAACGGCACGTCTAGCTGTCCTTAAGGTAAGTGCTTGCAAAAGAAAATATTATTAGTAAATATGTGTTATAAAATGAAAAAGGTAAATATAACACCGCAAGTAGCAATTTGGAGGACATGGGGACACATTGGAGCTATAAGAGTAAACTAATTAAAAATTTTATTAATTGGTCGTATACTTTACGACACTATTCATACGCTCACATATGCGTCGGAAATTAACTCGGAATCTAACAGAATTTCGTATCCATTGTAGAATCCCAATAGGGAGTGTTCCTATGAAACATTCCTTTGATATGAATGTTGTCAGACATTATTCAAAAGGTCTTTGCAGCACAGTGGAGTCTCAAATTATTCCAAATTAAGAAATTAAATACTTCAGGATCTCTACAGAAAGATATAATCCAAAAGCCATGGAATTGCTCACCCATTTTATAAAACCCAATGGATAGTACACTTTTTAAGCTACAGTACTCAATAGTTGGACGTTTTTGACCAATGTTAATTTTTTAGAAAATTTTAGTACGAACTTAAAAAATCTCCCTAATAGACCAACCAACTACGTAAATACAACATTTTCGCCACATAAGCCTTCTATTAATATTCATATCGATATCCAAAAGTCCACAATTCACTCATCGTTAAAATGTGATTTTGTACCCAATACGGCTGAAGTTGAAAAATTTAAAAGTGAAAAAGTTACCCAAATCCTCATATTAAACATGGTCGCTCCGGGAATCGATATATCCTCCTTCCATTGGATAAATGTTTATATGTATATTACTAGCAAGGGCCCGCTACTTCGTCAGCGAAAAGTCCACCTTAAAATTATAAATTCGTTCCAACAGTTTGTGTTATGCCTTTTTAGTACTCAAAATTCATAATTTCTTCCGTTTGAGAATCTGTCCTTTAAAGTTTTATATATTTTTGAAGTGTTTCCTTATTCGGAAAGAATAATAAGAAAATGTTTACCATTTGCACCAAAAAGTCTTGAAAACCCTAAAAACCAACAGTGACCTCAATATCGCATTTCAAAATTTCAGCTCCATCCTTTCATCCAATACCAAATTCTGTACCATTTAGTACTTTTCATACAAATATAGGTCGCATTTCCAAACCATCGCTAAATCTCAAATACAGATCTCAACATAAACCTCAATATCAGAGTTTTGCCACTATGTGCTCACCCAATACCATATTGTACCAAATATAGTACTATTTAGTACTTTTCATACAAATATAGGTCGCATTTCCAAACCAACGCCGAATCTCAAACACAGATATCATCAATAATTTAAATGTCAAATTTCAGAAGTGTATCTCCATCCCTTTACCCAATACAAAATGTAGTACCATTTAGTACTTTTCGTACAATTAAAGTACACACTTCCCGAACCTCCTCCATATGTTCAGGCTACACATGAACAGCGACCCTAATACCAAATTTCAAAGTTTTGCCACTGCCAAGCTAATATCATATTGTACCAAATATAGTACTATTTAGTACTTTTCGTACAAAAATAGAACGAATTTCCGAACCACGAACGAATTGAGATAGAGTCCCAAACACAAAATACCTTCAGTAACCTGAATATTAAATTTCATAATTTTACCACTACAACTTAGGTATAGTACATTCCGGTACTTTCGTACAATTACAGTACACATTTCTGAAACCACCTCCATATGTAAAAGCTACACATGAACTGCGACCCTAACACCAAATTTTGGATTTCAAGCAATATCTGTTCACTCAATACCAAATTGAACCAAATATGGTACTATTTAGTACTTTTCGTACAATTATAATACACATCTCCAAAACCACCTCCATATCTTAACCACAGACACCAACGACGATGTGCATTAAATTTCAGGACTTCAGCTATATCCCTTCACCCAATACCAAATTTAGTACCATTTAGTACTTTTGGTACAATCCATCCGAAACCATCACCATATCTCAATTCCAGCTACCAACCGCGACCTCAATATCAAATTTCGAGATTCCAGCTCTATCCCTTCACCCAATACAAAAATTAGCACTATTTAGTACTTTTCGTACAATTATAGTACACATTTCCGAAACAACCACATCCAATACCAAATGTAGTACCATTCCGTACTTTTCGTACAATTAAATTACATACTTCCCAAACCACCTTTCCCATGAACATATTTCAAGCGCTATCTGTTCAATTGTACTAAATATGGTACTATTTAGTACTTTTTTTAGTACTGTGGTACACATTTCCAAAACCACATCTTTATCACAAACCTATCACCAACATTTCAAAATGTCAGCTTGATTTGTTCAACCTAAACCAAACTGTTCCGAATGTAGTACCATTTAGTACAATTCGCACACTTAGTACATATTTCCAAGCCGCCTTCATACATACATACAAAGCCACCTTCATACCTATGTTTCAACCTTGATTCTCATACCAAATTTTAAGTTTATAGCCTTATCCGTTTACATAATACCAAATGGTACCATTTTAGAAGTTTGGTACCATTTAAGAACTTTTCGTAGGCTTTTAGTTTGAATTTTTAAAATCCCTTTGGGGCATCTCTCCTTCAATCCATCAGTGACTCTTATTCCAAACATCAGAATTCCAGCTGATTCCATTTTTCCAATACCAATTCGTTGTTTCGTACATTTTAGTACTTTTTTGTACACTTTTAGTACAAATTTCTAAAAATCCAACCATATCGAATGGCACGCACCAAGACAGAAGCTCGTGCAAAATTGCAGGATTTTAGCTTTCATTCTTGGTCAGTCAGCCACTTCTTTATTTCTCTAACCATAGTTCTGAACAGCGTCCTTCAGATTTAATCCTTCCCTCAATCCTTGCGATTTAATGTCGAAATTTAAAATTTATTTCCTCAATCTCGTTCCCCTCCTCCCAGGCCAATTGATGGGTCTCATTAAAAATGACTTACTACCTCTGCTACCATCTTTATCTAATATTTATTTGATTTACATCTTTCCTTGGCACCCTTCCAGATTGACCAACTGCCCGAGGTAATGACGATTTCGGCAAATGGCTTTTGGCATCTTTCGCTGCCGGAGAATCTCTTTGTGGGCGGTGTGAATCACATCGACAAATTGCCCATGGACTTGAAAAATAAGCCCTTCTTTGTGGGTTGCATTCAAAAGGTAAGTGGCGATGCTAAAAATACATTACAACAAAATAACAATAACAACAAATGCAACAACAACAACAACAATCATTAATAACATTTCATTTATTGGCCACCCAACAGATTGAAATAAATGGCCATCCATTGTCGATTATCTCCGAGGCGCTGGGTGGCACAAACATTGGCAATTGCCCGCATGCCTGTGTGGCAAGGCCATGTGGCCCATTGTCCGAGTGTGTGCCACAAATGGAGGGCTATGAGTGTCGTTGCAGTGCCTACAATGAACAGTGCAATAACAACAACAGCAATAGCAAGAAAGGCAAAACCCGCATGGAAGAGAAGACAAGTAAAATCCAATCAAAAGTAAAAGCCAATAAGGCTGTCATTGCCCCATCGCTGGGCCACAATGATTTCAGTGTTAAGGACAGTGCATTGAGGCAGAAACAACAACAACAGCAGCAGCAGAAGCCACAACAACAAAAGGGCCACAAGAAACCCAAGAAACAACACTTGTTGTGGCACAAAACAAGCTATAAAGCCATGCAGCAGCAACAGCAACAGAATCTGAAACCCAGTATTGCATTGGCAACCACAAGGACCACCAGCACAACTCCAACAACTCCCCCTCCACCCAGTACCACAACACCAACCACCACCACAACAACAATGAATTGGCAGGACATGGAAATCATCAATAGGGATATCCTAGAAACCCAAGAGACCCTGGAACGCATCATGGAGAAAATGAAAACCGATGAAGTGGTGCTCGACGACGATGAGGATGAGGACGAACAGGATGAGGAGGCTGATGAAATAGAGGATGATATGATATTCCGGGATATTAAGGCCATGCATGAACAGCAGGAGTTGGAGCAGGAACAGGAACAAGAGCAAATGCAGAGACAAAGAGAACAACAGCAGCAGCAACAACAACAAAGGCAGCAAGAAGAACAGGAACAACACATGAGGCAGCTGGCCAAGGAGGTGGCTAAATATGGACATCACAGCAGCAACAACAACAACAACATGAAAACGAATCAACGAACAAACCGCAATAAACGTAAACACATGATGACGACAACAACAACAACTGTTCGCACAACAACACCCACAACCATCAGTACCACAACAACAAGGACGATGACGACAACCACCACACGAAAGCCTTACAAACAAAAACAACAACAGCCACACTCTTCGTTTTATGGCTCTGCGAAACCGGATCCCCACCACAAGACACCCGTCCTGGATAAGCCGCAACATAAATTGAGTCGTTTGCCGACACACTACGAAAGCTTTCAGACCCAAACCGGAAGTGACATCTTAACCTTTGAAGATCCGGTGGCACTGGAAGAACAATGGCAGGACTTTAATGCGGCTTCTTCGGCATCACAGTCCTCCTCCTCGAGTGAAGAGCATAGCGAGGAAACGAAGCAGGCAAATAGTGGTGGCTATGTTAGCCTGGATAGTAACAGCAACAACAACAACAATGATGATAACAACGACAACAACGAAGGAGCCGCCATTGAAAATACCAGCGAGGATACCTTTGTCATGGACGAGTCCTTGTTCGATGAAAACGATGGCACCGAGGATTATCAACGCAAACAATTGGCCCAGGATATGAAACGGATTATGGCCAATACCAAGGGTCATTATACGCCCAAACAGCCGAAATTGGTCATCACCGAATATGATTACAGTGGTGAGGATGAAATGCCATCACAGGATCATAACAACAAGGAGAACCAGCGGGAGGCAACAAATAAACCACAAGCACCAAAATTAATGGACACCATGCAGCAGCAAAAACCTCTGCAATATCCTCAACAATCCTTATATGATGCCCGGAAATTTGACGACTTCAATATTGTGGAACATTCCAATGAGGACAAGCATGCGGATAATGGAGGAAATTCCAATGAAGACAATAGCAACGATGATGATGGGGACGACGACGATGAATTTGATTCCCAGGAATTTGAGGAAGTCAAAAAGAAACCCTCCGCTGATCCCACACAAACCCACACCGATTGGAGCCTCTTGAGTAAATTTGATCTACCCTCAAATGAAAATCGCCCACCCATTGGAGTGAGAAAGAATTTCGGTGCCTGTTTTGTGGGTCATGAGTCCTATTTCCATTACAACGATCCCGATACCATGAATCAAATCATCAGCAACAACATCGATTTGAATTTGAGAATAAAAACGCGTTCCGAACACGGAGTGATACTGTGGACCGCCTGTGTGGGTACCATGGATCAGGATTCGGATGATTATCTGTCGCTGGGCATTGAGGATGGGTGAGTTGAAAAGGGAAAATATTTGAGAATTTGAATTTAATGGAAATAATTCTCATTCGCTTTGTAGGTACCTCCACTTCCGTTACAACTTGGGTTCCGGTGAGGTGGATATACGCTTTAATGCCACCAAAATCAGTGATGGCCTATGGCATCGCGTCAGGGCCATAAGGTATGGATGGCTATGGGTATTGTATGGGGATTTCGTTATAAAAATATTCTCTTTTGTTTTAGAAATAACCAAGAGGGCTATCTGGAAGTGGATGGCCGCAAGAGCATTACCCTGAGATCGCCGGGTACATTACGTCAATTAAATACCGATACGGGTCTATATGTTGGTAAGTTATAACGTAGTATATCATTAATAGGAAAAGGAAAAAAGAACCCCAAACAATTTTCCATAAATAGAAGACATCCTAAAGGCCTTTCACTCAGAGGAGACCCATACAAATTCTTCCATACCGACCCTCCTATACATTGAAAGTTTCAGGAGGTCTTCTAAATATATAATGCCTCAAGGTCCACTTGAAGAGGATATTCTAATCACAGATGATCTACAAACTTAATGGTACCATTACATGGGGGCTATACGAAGACGTGGACCTGCACAGACAATTTTCTGTCATAGTCTGTAGTATCCATTACGAACTTCAAATATCAAATTTGAAACAATTCCGTTGAATAATGTCACTAAAATCATCAAAATACCGAATATCGGGAAGTACCGTTATATGGGGGCTATACGAAGACGTGGACCTGCACAGACAATTTTCTGTCATTGGCTGTAGTACCTATTACGAACTTCAAATACCAAATTTGAAATAATTCCGGTGAATAATGTCGCTAAAATCATCAAAATACCGAATATCGGGAGGTACCGTTATATGGGGCTATACGAAGACGTGGACCTGCACAGACAATTTTCTGTCATAGGCTGAAGTATCCACTACGAACATCAAATACCAAATTTTAAAGAATTCTGGTGAATAATATCGCAAAAATAATCAAAATACCGAATATCGGGAGGTATCGTTATATGGGGGCTATACGAAGACGTGAACCTGCACAGACAATTTTCTGTCATAGGCTGTAGAATTCATTTCAATCTTCAAATACCAAATTTGAAACAATTCCGATGAATATTGTCGCAAAAATCATCAAAATGCCGAATATCGGGAGGTGCCGTTATATGGAGGCTATACCACGACGTAGACCTGCACAGACAATTTTCTGTCATAGGCTGTAGTATCCACTACGAACATCAAATACTAAATTTGAAAGAATTCTGGTGAATATTGTCGCAAAAATCATCAAAATGCCGAATATTGGGAGGTACCGTTATATGGGGGCTATACCAAAACGTGGAACTACATCCCCTAATTTTCAATACCAAAAGTCCTGCAGACATAATATACATTTGAGTAAAATTTGATAAATCTACTTCAATTCGTTCGGAAGCTAGAGTGGTTTCCACAGACGGACAGATGGATAGACGGACAGACGGACGGACGGACATCGTTAAATCGACATAGAATTTTATGCTAATCAAGAATATATATACTTTGTGGGGCCTAAAATGTATATTTCGAGGTGTTACAAACGGAATGACAAACTTAATATACCCTCCATACTATGGTGGAGGGTATAAAAATATCGGAAATAGCATCAAATTTTAGAATAAGTTTAGATTTGTTCGAATTGATCACCTTCGGCACGAATTATGGCCTTCAAACGGCCAAAGAAACCGTCACACGCTGCGCGAATGTTGCTCTGCGGTATTTTGGCCCATTCCCGGCGAAGCGCTTGCAACCTTGCTTTCCAAAATACTCCAGACACAATAGTCCAACGGATTGGTATTCGGAGATTTTGGTGGCCATTGAACGCTGGAAATTAAGCGAGGAATCTCATTTTGTAACCATTTTTGGGTTGCGCGTGCTGAGTGCGTTGGTGCTGAGTCCTGTTGGAATGTCCAAGGTCTGCGTTGTAAGGTCTTTAATACACCCTCCAGAATATTTTCGCGATAATATTCGTCATTTATTCTGATGCCACGGTCGATTAATACGAGCGGAGAGCGGCCAGTGGGTGTTATGGCGGCCCATACCATCATCATGGACGGCGCTTGAGTTCTGGTAGCCAACCGAAGGTGCACATTTTCAGCTGACCTCTTTGGCAAATAAACACGATCATTTAGTTTGTTTACAAACTGCTACTGGACAACGAATGTTTTTTCATCGGAGAAAACTAAATTCTGCAGTTCACCACTTTTGGCCAAACAAAGCAACTCTTTAGCTCTTTTGAGTCTATTTTCTTTCTGTTGCTGTTGCGGTATAAGTTCTGGCACTTTTTGGAATTTCAATGGCTTTACCCCGATCTCATTTTTCAATAATTGCCGAATGGAATATTGCGATATGTTCAGCTCACGAGCCATTTTTCGGCCACTTTGCGACAAGGGTTTCTATCAAGTCGCTTCTTTACTTTTCCAACCATTTCTGCTGATGTTGCTGTTCCGTTCTTCCGTCTACTTCCTTGACGTCAGGCTACGCTACCAGTATCACGGTAACGAGCGATATTACGAGACACAAAACATTTATTCACATTTAAATGCTGGAGTACTCTAACGATAGCCACTTTCCAGCCAAATATAAAGAAATCACACTATCACGCTTGAATTCCATCACGAATAACTTTTTTTCTGGAAAATTCTCACCAAAATGCTTATGTACGCTTATAAACAATATAATGAGCTGTCACTGGAATAATTTTAACACCTGTCGGACGAGTGGCTTGGAAATCACAGCAGTCTGAAGTTGGTTGCAGTTATTGCATCTCACCCTGTATATGCCAAGGATGACCTCTAAAAGGTCTTAGGTACCAAAAAGAATCCCGAAAGGTCTCCTCTACATGAAAAACCTTAAGAAGTCGTCTGTATATAAAATACCTTCGGACGGTTCTTTATACTTACAGACCCACTGGAAGTGCTTCCATTCATCAAATAATTTATTTATTAATTTTATTATTATTATTATTATTATTATTATTATTATTATTATTATTATTATTATTATTATTATTATTATTATTATTATTATTATTATTATTATTATTATTATTATTATTATTATTATTATTATTATTATTATTATTATTTTTTTTTTTTTTTTTTTTTTTTTTTTTTTTTTTTTTTGGGAGATATAACAGCTTATTTATATTTATTACTTCTATTAAATAATACCAAATTCTCTACTCTATTTCTCATTTTTCCTCTTTTTTCTTTTTTTCCCACCAGGTGGCCTGCCCGATTCTGTGTACTTCCCACGGCGAAGATATACGAATGGCATCGTTGGTTGTATATCGGAAATTGTCATATCCGGCGAGTTCAAAATGAATTTCGATCCGAATACATTGGGGACAGCCCACAATGTGGAGACGGGCATACTTTGAAACGTCAATGCGTTGATGTTTCGCATAACTTAAGAATAGTTGAAATTTTCATTTATTTTTTAGGATTTTATTTGCCTATTAAAGAAAAGACAAAAACAAAAGGAAAACAACAACAACAACAGAGTACATAGAAACTAGAACAAGAGAAAAAGAGACATTACAATGATATTTTCACAATTTACACGAAAAATCACACACACACACTCTCTCACACAAAGACATAATTATCCTTTAACGAAAAGCATACACCCCCACTCACCTATCTCTTTTTAAGCTGCCTCCCACGCCATAGCTACACAAACAGACACCACAGACACTTGAACACACACACACACTGATATGATAATGAATAAATCAATATGTTTGTATAAAGACGCTTTTAAATAAATAAATTAAAATTAAACAAAACCAACTATATATATATTATTGAAATAACAAAAAAAAAAAAACAACAACAAATTTTATAAAATGGAAACTTTATTTATAAGCAGAAAGAAAAAATGAAAAATTAATGAAAATAGAAAACAAAAAACAACAACTAAAACAATTAATTGAAACAATCACAAACTACTAAATGAAAAAAAAAAAAAAACAAAACAAACAAATGAATGAATTAAAGAGACATGTATGTGTCTCGGCAAATGAATGGTAAAGAGATAGACACACACACACACGAAGACATTTGAAAGGGAGAGGTCATGGCACAGAGCAGACTCATAGAGAGTTGACTCATAGAGAATCATGGCATTAACTGTAAGGTCTTGAGAGAGACTCCTTACGGTTGCTGATGATTCCTTGCGAAACGATTCAAGAAGCCTTGATCTAACCCTTCCAGAGTCTTTTAAAAGTATTATCAACCTGACTTTACGAGAAATGGCAAAAGAGAGCTTGAAATACTTTTTTCCTCGAGAATAAAAAGCAATACAAATACATATCAACTATTCTGTGTTACCAAAGGAACATACATATCCCTATCTGCAAGGATAGGATTTCAATGAGTTTTTAGGTGGGGATGGTGAGTGTAGAAGCTTAAAATTTTCCAATGGAATCAAAAAATTATCCTCATTAGTGGAGGATCGACTACGGATAAATCGTCAACGTTGGTGAGAAAATATATCCAAAAAAGGGGGGGAGAGTATATCGAAATTTTTGAAAGAAATTCTCAATGGGGATAAATTATCTATGTAGTGGTTATACCATTCATGTTGAAGGATGATTATCCATGCGGTGGATATATTATCCCTGTTAAAAAAATTATTCACAAAGGTGAATAAATTATCCACATTGGTGAAAAAAATTATCCACATTGGTAAAAAAAATTATCCACATTGGTAAAAAAAATTATCCACGTGGTGGATAAATTGTTCATGCTGAAGGAAAATTATCAAAAACTATCCACGTTTTTGAAAAGAAAATGTACATATTGGTGAAAAATTTTCCACGTGCTCAATAAGTAATACACGTGGTGGATAAATAATTCATGTTGAAGGATAATTATCCACGTGGTGAAAAAATTATCCGCGTTAATAAATATTCCATGTAGGTCCAAGGATAATTATCCGCGTTTGTGAAAAAATTATCACGATAGCGAAAAAAATTATCCATATTCTTGAAAAAAAAAAATATAAATGTGGTGGATAAAAAAAACTTCTGGATTTATTATCCACTTGTTAAAAAAATTATCCGCGTTGGTTAATAAATTATTTATGTTTGTGGATGTATTATCCATGTGGTAGATAAATCATCCACGTGGTGGATAAATTATCTACGTGGTGGACAATTCATTGACGTGGTTGATAAGTTATTATAAATTATCTACGTGGTGGATATATTATCCGTGTGGTGGATATTATTATTATTCGCGTAGTGGATATATGATCCACGTGGTGGATATATTATCCGCGTGGAGGACAAGTTATCCACGTTGTATATAAATCCACGTGGTGTAAGTTACCTACGCGGTGGATAAATCTTACACGTCGTGGATAAATTTTCTACGTGTGGGATAAATTACCTACTTGGTGGAAATATCATCCACGTTGTGAATATATTATCTACGTGGTGGATATGTTATCCACGTGGTGGATAAATAGTGCACGTGGTGGATAAATCATTCACGTATTGGATAAATCATCCATGTTTCGGATAAATTATCTACTCGGTGGATAAATTATCCATGTTGTGGATAAATCATTTACTTTTCGAATTCACGTGGAGGATAAATAATAAACGTGGTGAATAAATTATCCACATTGATGTATAAATTACTCACTGTGGTAAAAAATTGGCACGCTGGTGGATAATACATTCATATTGGTGGAAAATTACCCAATTTGTAACGACAGATTTTCCATGGGGTAGAGTAGCTCGCCGGGGTCCTAGGGTTTTTTTTTGAGACAGAAAGAGAAAGACATTTTTTCGTTTGATAATACACTTTATTGTTTAGTTAATATGAGCATGGACTGTGCTTATGCTATAATAAATTGAACATATTCTACTAGCCTTCGTTCCGTTGTTAGCAATGGTTTTTCGACTCAAGGTCTGGATAAGTACTCGAGGAATGGGACATGGGAAGCAGGATTTCTTCCTCAGGATTCGGTATAGTTATCGGAGTGATTTAATGCGAAAGACATTGATAAGTACTCAAGCAGAACCTATGAGGGTGTGTCAGGCTTCTTCTATAGGAGATCCAATACCAGAGATCCAGTACCAGAGACCTTAATAAGTTTTCAAGCAATTCTACAAAAATATATTAGTCTACGTCTGAATCAAGCGTTATCTGCAAAGATATACGAAACTACTGCATCAAGGGGCACTCAAGCAATTCTACAAGGGTATGCAAGATTACGTCTGCGAGAGACCTTAATAAGTACCCAATTAGGTTCTGCAAAGATGTGCTAAGCTGTGTCTGTAGGAGACCATACTAAGTATTTAGAGAAAATTTACAAGAGACCTTAATAAGTATTTAATCAGAATCTACAAGAATATGCCATGGTTCGGCTGCAAGAGATCTTAAAAACGACTCAAGCAATTCTACAAGGATATGCAAGGCTGGGTCTGCGAGAGACTTTACTAGGTACTCAGACAGAATCTACAAGCTACTGGTAGAAGAGAACTTATAAAGTACTCAATCGGGATATACAAAAATATGCTATGCTATGACCGAAAGAGACCTTAGTACTTAAGAAATTTTTCCAGGATATGGACACCTTAATGAGTACTCAAGCAATTTCTACAGGATATGCGAAACTACGACTGCCAAGTTCTAAAACAGAACTCAACAGAATCCACGAGGATATGTTAGGCTACGTCTGCGAGAGACCTTAATAAGTACCCAAGTGTGATCTACAATGATATGCAAAGCTACGGCTGCAAGAGACCTTAATAAGTACTCAAACAATTCTACCAGGATATTAAAGGCTGCATCTGCCAGAAACCTTAAAAAGTACGAGATCTAAATGGATATGTGAAACTACGGCTGCAAAAGACCTCAAATAGTATTCAAATAGGATCTACGAGGACATGCTAGGCTACGTCTGCGATAGGCCTTAATAAGTTATCAAGAGCAATATTCATGGATATGCGAAGCAACGCCTGCGAGAGAACTTAATAAGTAATTAAGCTATCTTACAAGAATATGGAAGGCTAAGTCTAAGTACTCATATATGATCTACGACCATATGCAAGGTTATTTTTCCAAGAGGATATGTAAAACTACGGCTGTAGAAGATCTCAATAAGTATTCAAGTGGAATCTACGAGGACCTACTAGGCTACGTCAGCAAGCGATCATAATAGGTAATCAAGCTGGTTCTACAAGGATGGCAAGATACCTTCGATCAGATCTGAAAGGATATGCAAAACAACGGCTGCGAGAGACCCTAATAAGTAATTAAGAAATCCTACAAGGATATGGAAGGCTACGTCTGCGAGAAACTTGAATAAGTAATTAAACGTGATCTACGAGAATATGCAAGTCTATTTCTGTGAGAAACCTTAATAAGTATTCAAGCAACATCTACAAGGATACTAGGGAGTTCCAAGTATTCATGCCCTAAAGACGTGGATAAGTACTCTAAGGAAAGATGTCCGAGGTTAATTTTACTTACCGACCGATGGCGTCAACTCGTTGCCATTCTAGCATTGACTGCCCTTATTCTGCCATCGTCCGCCTTTTTATCATGTGGTACCACTACGTGTTTCGCACTGAAGTTACTCGAACTTGTTTTAAAAGTGTTGAGAAATTTCTGCTGTTCTGTTGTTGTGATAACGATTTACCTGCAATGAGCATATATGACCTCAAGATCAAATCTGAAAAAAATAGTAATTTGCGTTGGCAAATACAGGGTGAGATAAAAAACCTGCAACAAAGTCAAACGCCATTATTTTCACATTTTTTAATTTTTTTGAAAGAATGCAAAAATGTCGGAAATAGCATCAAATTTTAGAATAAGTTTATATTTCTTCGAATTGATCACCTTTGGCATGAATTATGGCCTTCAAACGGCCAATGAAACTGTCACACGCTGCCCAAATGTTGTTCTTCGGTATTTTGGCCAATTCCCGGCGAAGCGCATGCTTGAGGTGATCGACATTTTGGTATTCTTTAGAGCCAACCTTGCTTTTCAAAACACTCCAGACACAATAGTCCAACGGATTGTTATCCGGAGGTTTTGGTGCGCCATTGTGCGCTGGAAATGAAGCGATGAACCTCATTTTCTAACCATTCTTGGGTGGCGCATGCTGAGTGCGATGGTGCTGAGTCCTGTTGGAATGTCCAAGGTCTGCGGCCAAAATGTTAGCGTTCCCAAGGCTTTAATACACCCTCCAGAATATTTTCTAGATAATATTCTGCATTTATTCTGACGCCACGGTCAATTAATACGAGCGACCATCGGCTGTTATGGCGGCCCACACCATCACCAAAGGCCGGCGCTTGAGTTCTGGTGGCCAACAGAAGGTGCACATTTTTAACTGACGTCTTTGGCAAGTAAACACCATCATTTTACAACAGTTTACAAACTGCTGCTGGACAACGAATGTTTTCTCATCGGAGAAAACCAAATTCGGCTGTTCACCACCTTCGGCCAAGCGAAGCAAATCTTTAGCTCTTTTGAGTCTATTTTCTTTCTGTTACGGTGTAAGTTCTTGCACTTTTTGGAATTTCAATGGCTTTACCCCGAGCTCATTTTTCAATATTTGCCGAATGGAGTATTGCGATATGTTCAGCTCACGAGCCATTTTTCCACCACTGCGACGCGGAATTTGATCAAGTCGCTTATTTACTTTTCGAATCATTTCTGCTGATGTTGCTGTTTTCTTGCGTCCACTCCCTTGCCGTCGGGCTACGCTACCAGTATCACGGTAAAGAGCGATGGTACGAGCCACAACAAATTTATTCACATTTAAATGCTGGAGTGCTCTAACGATAGCCAGTTGTGGTTTTCCAGCCAAGTATAAAGAAATCATACTATCACGCTTGAATACCATCACAAATAACTTTTTGTCTGGAAAATTCTCAAATTATTTGTAAAATTTATCCATCCTCTTCAAGGAATTTTATGGGTAGAAAGAAAACCTTCTATTGATATTAGAATTTTCATCTCCATAAATTTTCCATTGCATACCTTTAGGCTTTCAGCTCAACCGGCCCCTTTTAACTCAATTTATCAACAACCTTTAAGGTTTACTTTTTACCACAAAAAAAATGTAACTTGCCATTTCTCAAAAAGTCTGAACGGATCGCTCGAAATGTATTCAACGAGACATTGAACAACAACAACAAAGAAAACTAATTGTAGCTAAATTATTTAAAATAAAAAAAACAACCACAACACAAAAGCAAATTGCTTCACTTATAAATAAAATAAAACAAAATAAAAAAACCTGTGACTGTCAATATTTATAAAAGAAAAAAAAAACGTGAAATACAATTTTTTTAAAACAGAACTTTTTGAAAACCAAAAAAGGGAATTTAGACTAACTAACGCCCCTTAGTTTGAAGTGAAAATAATTTTTAGTTGGAATAAGTTTTGAATAGAATTTTTTTATAATTTTGGCAAGTGATGAAGAAGATAAGCGGATTGAGACAAGAAAAAGAAAAACATTAAGCGCCTATAATTTTTGCAAAATAAAAATATAAATAAATTAAATTAAATAAAAAAACTCACTGCATTACTCACTAACTGTGCTAGAGTTGTTTAAAAAGAAGAAAAAAACCGCAAATAAAATAGTAAACATAAAAAATATATACAAAACAATTGCATTATAATTATACACTTGCATATTATTTGACAACCAACAACAAAACGTATATAGAGACTTTATTATTTATATATGAATTTGAAAAAAAAAGAGAAAAAAATAATTGCAAAAACAAAAGTAAATGGTAACGAGATACATATTAAATGTTGTAGTGTTAGTTATACTATTAAATATATATAAAAAAAAAAACTAAGTCTATTAAAAAAAAAACAAAAATATTATATATATATATATGCAAACAACAAACTGAAAATTATATATGAGTGTAAGACAATTATATACACAAAACACACATATATATAATAATAACAAAAAAATATTTAATAAATGCAAAACCAAAAAAAAAAAACAAAATTAAAAAAAAAACGAATTTTTTATAGCAAAAATTATTTAAATGAGAACAAGAACAACAAAAAAAATCTATGAAAAAAATACAACTACACCTCCTCACTTGACTTTACTTGTGTTTGTTGTTAGTTATTTGTGCATCCTCTGTTCTGTTACACCGACACGGGCTTTGTAAACCAACCAATTATCTTCCCCATTGCTTTTGTCTGTTGATCCCTTTTCCACTATTCCTTTAGAACCAAACGCTAGCGCTAATGTAACTTTAATGTGATCACAATGGTGGGTGTAAATGTCATAGATTTGGAATTAAGTAAAGGGAGAATTTTTTTCGGGTTTTTTGTTCGTTTTTTTTTTTTTTAATTGCTCTCATTCGATTTTTTTTAATTTATTCTTTAAAAAATTGATCTAATTTGTCGACATTTTTTTCATGTTCTAATTCCATCAATTTGGAAATCGGAGTGGAAACAAGAAAAAGCAGCTTAGTTCGGCCGGGCCAAACTTGTTATACCCTCCAACATTCGGAAAAAAACTTAAAATATTAAAAAAACAAGTGAGCAAAGGCTATAGTCGTGCGAGGCCGACCCTACAACACTACAATATGTTCGAAGCCCCCATATATCCAAATTCATTTTGGAAATTTTTTGTTTTTGAAATAATGGCAAAGAGCCCCGCCCAGAGGTTATCCTTAGTTGTTTGACCCGGAGAATTTGGCCAATATTTACGCAATCCGTGGTGTTGTTAAGTATTCAAAACAATTTCATACGATAGTTGTGGTCCATTTTGCAGCTAAATATAATCCAATAGTCATCCAAAATGCTAGACTTCTTCCTTGTCCTTAACTCTCTTCTGATGCGAAATTCCGTGTCGATTAGTTTTCAATTGTGTCCTATAGAGCGAATACAATTTTAGAAAAAAAAACGCACATCTTAAGAACAATAGGCTTTAATTCTGACCCTAACCCTACCCCCATGCAAAATTTCGTGTGGATCGGACGATAATTGCGATATGCATATAATACCCTCAAAACGTAATGTTGGGCGGTGTAAAAATTTAGAAAATTTACAATTCAAAATTGTAAGTGAAATTAAAAAAATCGCATGCGATAAAAGAAATGACAAAAACTAAAAAAAATCGACAAAAAATATTAACTTTTTAATTGGTATATTTTTCCGAATTGACGGGAATTGTGAAAATCGGCACAGCGGATCTTGATTTATAAGCAGAATAAATAAGATCAATTTTCTTACATATATATTCTACCTATTTTGCTATAAATCCGATGTCTTGGCTATTAGCATCACTCTAACGATCAGAAGTGATCTTTTAACGTATTTGTGATTTGGCTGAGATTGAAAATGTTCGCGATTTGGTGGACATTTTCCTATTTTCTTACTTAAAAGTTAGGCTCTATTTTACCCGCTAATTATTGTCCGATGGCCCAAATTGCTAGGTTGTAGGATTGCCAAATTGCTAGGTTTCTGTCCATATCTAAACTCTAACTCCATGTAAATCTTCGCGTCGATTGGTTCATAATTGTGGCCTATAGAGCAACTGCAAAATCAGGATTTTTTCTGGTTTCGGTCCATTTCAACCCCTAAATATCGTGCGATCATCTCCAAAAAAATAGGGTTCTATTCTGACCATAACCCTTCCTCCATTTTCAATTTCGTAAGGATCGCTTCATAATTGCGACCTGTAGCTTGATTACAAATTAACATGGACAGACGAACAGATGGACGGACGGACATACATAGCTAGATCGACTCATATCGGCGTGATAGGAAGATCCATATATACTTTCCTATGTGGGAAACCAATATTTCGAGGTGTTACATAATTTTTGGCCCAATCAAACTTTTAATACCCCCAACACATAGTGTTGTAGGGTATAAAACAATCCGTCGAAAAATACCGCTCAAATAAAAACCTTTATATGGGGGCTACACGAAAATGTGGTGTTGGATAAGTATTTTTTTTTTATAGGCTGTAGTACGCATTACGAACTTCGAATACATAATTCGAAACAATTCCGGTGAATAATGTCGCTAATATCATCAAAATACCTAATAAAGGGTATGGGGGGCTATACTAAGGAGTGGACCTGAATAGAAAATTTTCCGTCATAGGCTGGAGTATCCATTACGAACTTCAAATACGAAATTTGGCGCCATTCCGGAGAATAATGTCGCCAAAATTCTGGAAATAACGAATATCTTGGAGTAGCGTTACATTGGTGCTATACTAAAACGTAGAACTATATATGCAATTCTCTTTCAGGGAATAAAGTACTCACAGAGAACTCCTTGTGTATAATTTTAGACATTTCCATTTAAGAATTTGGTTAAAATCATCAAAATGCCAAATATCAGGAGGTACAGTTATATGAAGGCTATACGACATCGCGAACCTATATAGACAATTGTCTTTCAGGGGATAAAATACTCACAAGGAACTCCTTGTGTGGATTTTAATCCAATTTCATTGAAAAATGTGGCTAAAATCAGGTACAGGTACAGTTTTATGGCGGCTATACGATATAATGGACCTATATAGGCAATTCTATTTCAGGGAGTAAAGAAGTCACGAAGAAATCCTTGTGTAGAATTTCCTACGATTCAATTGAAAAATGTGGTTAAAATCATCAAAATACCGAATATCGGGAGGCAGCATTGTTTGGGGCTATACGATATAGTGGTCCTATATAGATAATTCTCTTTCAGGGAATAAAGTACTCACAGAGAACTCATTGTGTAGAATTTTAGACAATTATATTTACAAATGTGGCTAAAATCATCAAAATCCCGAATATCAGGTGATACAGTTATATGGTGGCTATACGATATCGTGGTCCTATATAGAAAATTCTCTTTCAGGGGGTAAAGTACTCAGAGAGAACTCCTTGTATAGATTTTCAGACTATTTCATTGAAAAATTTTCCTAAAATAATCAAAATATCGAATATCGGGAGGTACCGTTACCTGGGGTATATATGATATCGTGGGCCTACATAGACAATTCTCTCTTCCAGTGAGTAAATTACTCAAAAGGAACTCCTTGTGTAGAATTTCAGACAATTCAATTGAAAAATGTGGCTAAAATCATCAAAATACCGAATATCAGGGTACAATTATATGGGGGCTATACGATATCGTGGTCCCATATAAACAATTCTCTTTCAGGGGGTAAAGTTCTCAGAGAGAACTCCTTGTGTAGAATTTCACACAATTCCATTTAAAAATGTGGCTAAAATCATCAAAATACCTAATATAGGGGGTACTGTTAAATAGGGGCTATACGATATCGTGGACCTATATAGAAAATTTTCTTCTAGGGAGTAAAGTACTCAAAATACCGAATTTGGAGGAATATCGTTATATGGGGCCATTTGTTATCGTGGACCGATATAGCCCATCTTCGAACTTGACCTGCCTGCACCCAAAAGAATGATCTGTAGCTTCCTATCTTTATTCGTTTTGACTCCAGCGTGATTACAACAGACGGACAGACTAAATCGGGCTAAATCGTTATAGAATTTTTTTTATAAATCCCTATAATCGATGGTCATGCGGAATTAGACACCCTGTAGAAAATGTCAAATATTGGATCACTACTGACTTTGTCCCCAGTACTACTGACCAAGTTCAGACAAACAATATTTTTCCCTATAGGCATTTGGTTTCAGCTTGTCATTCAGAAGTTTCTAACGACTTTGACAGCAATTCTTAGACGGGCCTATGGAACATTGGTATTAGTGAGTCAATTTATAATGAGGTCCCTAGGTTAAGTTAAAGGATGTGCAGTTGTTTTCTAACAATTACTCCACTCGAAGACCTACAAGTCCATTGTGAATTTGAGAAAAGGAAGAGAAGGAAACCGAAAAATGAAAAATATAAGAAAAATGATTTGTTATCCTCGAAGAAGTTAACATGTTGTCTTTAACCACTTTATTCCTCTGGCTGACCTGAAAAATGACATTTGGTTCAGTGTCGGAGAATGAAAGCAGATAGTGCAAAATTTGCTTTCTCATACCGAAGAGAGTTGGACAATGAATGCTCGACCGTTTCAGTTTCCTCCTCATCTTGGCAGAGCCTGTAGTAATCGTTGTCGTCGCCAACCAAGTTAGAAGTCATGGCTAGGTTCATTGTCAATATGTCGTAATAAAATATTCTGATGTTTCTAATGAAGGCAGAACGACTGAATAAACCATCATGGAATCAGACATATTTTATAATATATGTATGTACGTGTTTGTCTACAGTTTTACGCCCTAAGAAGCAACGTAATAAATTTATTAATTTATGACAAACGATTACTTTTTATTATGAAGGCAAAACAATTATGTTATTGCATTTTTGTGTCTGTTTGATATTGACGTGACACTAAATGACAATCATGTCAGCCATAACCGCAATACTACATAACCCAGCAAACATTTGCATAGGTGAACAAAAGAAGCAAGTTGTCGAGTATTCTTGGTGGTTGCAAGATCGGAATTAACCCTAGGAGAACCTATCGGATTTACGATAAAAAATTTAATATGGCAGAAGGTTATCAGGAATTGAACACGGGAATTAAGAAAACGACAAATAGCTTCATATTCATAATTTCTTTACTGAGAAAAGCGTCTCCTTTTGCAACAAAATGATACAGGGTAAAAAAAAGGAAACAAAGTCAAATGCCATAATTTTTACATATTTTTTTTTCAATGTTATTGAATGAAAGCAAAAAATGTCGGAAATAGCATCAAATTTTAGATAAGTTCAAACGGCCAATGAAACCGTTACACACGTTTACAAACTGCTGGACAACGAATATTTTCTCATCGGAGAAAACCAAATTCGGCAATTCACCACTTTCGACCAATCGAAGCAACTCTTAAGCTATTTTGAGTCTATATTCTTTCTGTTGCGGTGTAAGTTCTTGCACTTCTTGGAATTTCAGTGGCTTTACCCCGAGCTCATTTTTCAATATTTGCCGAATGGAATATTGCGATATGTTCAGCTCACGATCCATTTTTCGGCCATTGCGATGCGGATTTCGATCAAGTCGCTTCTTTACTTTTCGATCCATTTCTGCTCATATTGCTGTTTTCTTCCGTCCACTTTCTTGACGTCGGCCTACTCTACCAGTATCACGGTAACGAGCGATTCTGCCGCAATTTCCGACTGAATGAGTCTCAGTTTCACATTTTGGAGTTTATTTCATATGCACGTACATCCCAAATCTACATTTCCATCAATATTTTTTGGGGGTTACAAATTTAATACAATACAAAATTTCCTATACTGACCACACATTGGGTTAATAATGCCTAGGTGGACAATTATCTGTAAGATGGTTCTCTACTCCAGAGAAGCCTAAATACAATTTTTAGGTAAATCAACTGATGAATGTGCTCAAGACCAAAATGGGCCCTACCATGGTAAAATTAAGAAGGTAAAGTCATTTCAAATAAGCAAACCCATCTCTGCATTTTCTGTAATTTACCTTGTTAAATTTCACTTCATAAAAACTAAGTTTCCATCTCTAATTTGTAAACATATGTTTGCATGACTTTACCTTCTTGATTTTACCATGGGCCCTACTCTGAAAATTTTAAATTGTATGCGAAGAGGTTTTCTACCCCCTTAGAAAAAACGATGCGAAACAAGAGCCAAAAAATGAAAAAAAGTTGCCATGACCCCGAAAATAGCTTAAATCATATGATGGTTATACCAAAACCTAATAATATTTTGCAAGGATGGTTTGTTCTCAAATTATCAAAATTCGCCAAAATTAGTATGAAGAATATATACTTGAAATCGGGTTGTACCCTTATCCGGGGGTTATGACCCATATGATGATCGCTTTTGCGATTTAAAGTATCTTGAAAGTTTAGAAAAGAAATCCATTTCTGACTAAATGTCCAATACGCCCTACTCATGGTACAATAAAAAGGTAAGGTAGAGCTCCCAGCTGATTACAATTTTTTTCTAAATGTGTCCGACTTCTGCCATTTTTGTGTATGTATTTGTTGTTTTGAAAAATAAAAACAAAATATTTTCAAATTCAATGATTGGAAGAAAGTAAAATTGCGGGGCGCGCATTAATAATATTAACCAGATTTGCCCTGGAATTGGCAGATTAAACACTTAGGATCATATTTTTGAGAGAACATCCAGGCATTTCATTCATCTTTCGCACTATTTAACTCATTTTAGAAATGAACAAAAACTTTCAAATAAATAAAAACAATTTGCTGCCTATAATTTTGAATTATTCTGACAGGAAGCGGGCATAGCCTCAGTGTTGTATTTCTGTAGTTTTAAGAAGCTGTTCTACCTTCTTATTGTACCATGGCCCTACTATTTTGCATTTTTTATATTCCGCATCCTTCATATTCGAACGAATTGAGATAGAAGGCTAAAAAGGCACACATGTATATTTTGCCAGTAGGCAGGTTAAGTTCGTAAATGGGCCATGTAAGTCTACGTTATCATATAGCCCCCATATAACGGCACCTCCCGATATTCGGTATTTTGATGATTTTAGCGACATTATTCACCGGAATTGTTTCAAATTTTGTATTTGAAGTTCGTAATGGATACTACAGCCTAAGTCAAAAAATGAGACATGTAGGTTCACGTTTTCATATAGCCCCCATATAACGGTACCCCCCGATATTCGGTATTTTGATGATTTTTGCGATATTATTTAACGGAATCGTTCCAAATTTGGTATTTGAAATTCGTAATAGACACTACAACATAAAACAGAAAATGGGCCATGTAGGTCCACCTCTTCGTATAGCCCCCATATAACGGTACCTCCCGATATTCGGTATTTTGATGATTTTAGCGTCATTATTCACCGGAATTGTTTCAAATTACGTATTCAGAGTTCGTAATGGGAACTACAGTCTGTGACAGAAAATTGTCTATGCAGGTCCAGGTCTTCGTATAGGCCCCATATATCAGTACCTCCCTATATTCGGTATTTTGATGATTTTAGCAACATTATTTACCGGAATTGTTTCAAATTTGGTATTTGAAGTTCGTAATGGGTACCACATTCTAAGTCAAAAACTGAGCCATGTAAGTCCACGTCTTCATATAGCCCCCATATAACGGTACCCCCCGATAATCGGTATTTTAATGATTTTAGCGACATTATTTAACGGAATCATTTCAAATTTGGTATTTGAAGTTCGTAATAGATACTGCAGCATAAAAAAGAAAATGGGCCATGTACGACCACGTCTTCGTATAGCCCCCATATACCGTACTCCCCGATATTCGGTATTTTGATGATTTTAGTGACATTATTTACCGTGATTGTTTCTAATTTGATATTTGAAGTTCGTAATGGATACTTAAGCTCATGCCAGAAAATTGTCTGTACACTTCCACGTCTTCGTATAGCCCCATATAACGGTACCCCCCCGATGTTCGGTATTTTGATGATTTTAGCTACATTATAAATTGATTTTTCTGCAAGTTTCACATTTAAATATTGTAATAACTTTTGACAAAAGTTACCTATGCAGGTCCACGTCGTCGTATAGGCATTCGGTATTTTTAAGATTTTATTAGAATCTTTAAATACAAAATAAAATCCGTTTATTTTATTTATTTATTTATTTATTTTTATTTATTTATTTATTTTTTTGAAAATTGCCAAATTTGTACCACATAGTGGAGGGTATTAAAAATTCTACACGGCCGAACTTACAGCTTTTTTTACTTGTTTAAATTGAAATCCATTTTTCCTCAATCTATAAATTCCATATCAAATATAAAATGTGATAAAAATACATATATATATATATATAATTTTTTGTATGCGAATAAAAATATTTTTGAGTTTGTTTTCCAAAATCCCTTTCCGTCCAAAATTAAATAGTTGAGTAGATTTCCAACTTTTCACTCCCTTTACAAAACCTCCGATATGTATGGCATTTACACTCAAATAAATACAAAATAAAAATGAATAATTTCAATTAGAAAAAAAAACTAAAAAGGTTACTCCTTCAATACTAACTAATCAAGCAAAAACAAACAAAAGAAAATGTGTCCTTCATTGATTATACAACAATTACACAAGTCATATATTTCCTATCACAAACTAAACCATACCAAAAAAAAAACGAACACAAAATAAAGAAACCAAACCAAAATCAACGACAAAAACAAAACAAAATGTAACAATCATCATCAAAATGTAAAACCAAAAAAAAACAAAAAACTAAGAAAAAAAATCAATTATTATTGCAAAAAAATTGAAATTAGAAAAAATTTTTAAATGATTTCAAATTGTTTTTTTTTAACCAAGATCATCGAACCAATGTCCTTTCCCACCATCACCATTCCCCTTGGCATCAACTTCATCATCAGAACAAAACAAAACATTAAGTAACTGCTGCAAAATGCTTGAATTTAAAAAAAAAAGCTAAAGCAAACTAACCGCTAATTTGTCTTATGAAGCGATGCAAAAAAATTAATTAATTTAAATATTAAATTGTCAACAACAACAACTACTAAATATACATATATACATTGTACAAGCCCCTAATATTATCAAAAAGGGCAAGCAACCGAACAAACAAAAAACCCAATTATGTTGTAATTAATTCAAAATCAGACAACAAATTCAATCGAGGATAACTAATTTGAAATGAATGCGAAACCCTCAAACAACAACAACAAAAAAATACATAACAACTATAATAAAGACCGACCTATTATTGAAAAAAAAAACACAACAAAAACAAAACAAAATTCAAGAAAAATCACTTGCAAACACAACCACCAAGAAAAAATATATTTAAAAACCAAAAAAGAAAAATTAATTAAATTAATAAAAAATATATAAAAAAAATTAATTACCAAGAGAATTAAAAAAAAGCATAGCATTAACAACAACAACAACAACAATGAACATTCTATGTATGTATGTAGCTTAATGTAAAATTAACAAAAAAAAAAAAAAACAAATTAACTGAAATGAGGAAAACCAGAAAACAACAAAAACAAAACTTAAATGTATAATTTCTTATACTGCAATAATTTGCTAAATAAAGAGACGAAAAAAAACACATCAAATACGAAATGAGTTTCTTTTATATTTTAATGGGAAATATTGTCAGACATACAAGACTGATTGGAATTTGAATTGTATAGGACATGAAAAAAGTTAGGTTTTTGGAAAATTGAAAAAAATTTAAATCAACGACCAGATGAAACGTTTGAAGCTAAAATCTAACAAGTAAAACAGTATCAGACGGTTTTTCCTACAGAGGAATACCCCCAGTCTTGAGTTATGATTATACAAACTCTTGACCCTTTATGGGGGAGGTTCCAAAGCAGTTGGCCAATATTGACCAATTCGTATCAGACCTAAGTTATGACATATATAAGCATTGGAAATTGTGACCATTTGTGGATGAGGTACCAGAATGGGTTGGCAGATATACAGGGTGAGATAAAATAAGTAAAAAAAGATTAAGTTCGGCCGGGCCAAACTTTTAATACCCTCCACCTTAGGGTAAAGGAAACATTGGAAGAAATGTGGCAAAAACCATTAAAATGCCGAATATCGGGAGGTACCGTTATATGGGGGCTCTACCAAATCGTGGACCTACACATGCAAGGTTCCGCCAACGGAGCTAGAACCCATTATGACCTACAAATACCAATATTCAGACAAATACGTGAAAAAAGGGGGCAAAAATCATCAAATTACCGAATATCGGGAGGTACCGTTATATGAGGGCTATACCAAAACGTGGACCTATAATTACAATGACTCGCCACACGAACTGGGACCCATTATGATCTACAACTACCAAATTTTCAGTGAAATTCGTGAAAAAATCAGTCAAAAATCATCAAAATACCGAATATTGGGAGCTACCGTTATATGGGGACTATACCAAAACGTGGACCTATACATACAATGTTTCGCCACACGAACTAGGACCCATTATGACTCACAAATACCAATTTTTACACAAATCGGTGAAAAAATGTTACAAAAACCATCAAAATATCGAATATCGGGAGTTACCGTTACATGGGGGCTATACAAAATCATGGACCCATACATGCAATGTTTCGCCACCGGAGCTGGAACTCATTATGACCAACAAATACCAATTTTTAGACAAATCCGTTAAAAACTGTGGCAAAAATAATCAAAATATCGAATATCGGGAGGTACCATTATATGAAGGCTATACCAAAACGTGGACCTATACATGCTATGTTTTGCCACACATACAGGGACCCGTTATGACCTACAAATACCAATTTTCAGACAAATCCGTTAAATAACGTGGCATAAATCATCAAAATACCGAATATCGGGAGGTACCGTTATATGGGGACTATACCAGAACGTGGACCGATGTATCTCATTTTCAATACCAACCATCCTAGACACAATACCAATTGCTCTGCTAAATTTTGGCGCTCTACGTCAAATAATGTGGGCTGTATCGTGATTTCAACAGACAGACAGACGGACAGACAGAGAGACAGACGGACATCGTTAAATCGACTTAGAATTTTATGCTGATTATGAATATATATACTTTATGGGGTCTACGACGAATATTTAAGGATGTTACAAACGGAATGACAAAGTTAATATACCCTCCTTTCCAAGGTGGAGGGTATAAAAATGCAACAAAGTCATGGCGTTTGACTTTACAATTTTTTTTTATACCCTCTACCATAGTATAGAGGGTATATTAATTTCCATTTGTAACGCCTCGAAATATGCATTTTAAACCCTACAAAGTATATATATTCTTGATCAGCATAAAATTCTATTTAGCAATGTCCGTCGTCTGTGAAAATCACTCTAGCTTCCGAACGAATGGAAGTAGATTGATAAAATGTTGTTTAAATGTATGCAAGACTTTTGGTATTGAAAATAAGCCATGTAGGTCCACGTCTTCGTATAGCCCCCATATAACGATGCCTCCCGATAATCGATATTTTGATGATTTTAGCGAATTTATTCACCGGAATTGTTTCAAATTTGGCATTTAAAGTTCGTAATGGATGCTACAGCCTAAGACAGAAAATTGCCTGTGCAGGTCCACGTCTTCGTATAGCCCCCATATAACGGTACCTCCCGACATTCGGTATTTTGATGATTTTAGGGACATTTTTCACCGGAATAGATTCAAATTTGGTATTTGAATTTCGTAATGAATACTACAGCCTAAGACAGAAAATTGTCTGTGTATGTCCACGTCTTCGTAGGGCCCCCATATAACGATATAACGAAAATACCGAATATCGGGAATTTTAATGATTTTAGGGACATTTTTTCACCAGAATTGTTTCAAATTTGGTATTTGAAGTTCATAATGGATACTACAGCCTAAGACAGAAAATTGTCTGTGCAGGTCCACCTCTTCGCAAAGCCCCCCATATGACGGTACCTCCCGATATTCGGTATTTTGATTTCAACGACATTATAACCGATTTTTTTTAAGTTTCGCATTTGAATATTGTAATGGCTTATGACAAATGTTACCTACGCAGGTTCATGTCGTCGTATGGACCCTAATATAATAGCTACATTAGGTATTTTTAAGATTTTAACAGAAGTTTTAACGGATTTTATTGTTTTTGAGAATTGTCAAATTCGTTCGAAATGGTGGCGCTTTTTTACTTGTTTTTTTTTTTTTTTTTTTTTGATGGGAAATATTGTCGGACATACTTGACTGATTGGAATTTGGAATGTAAAAAGCATCAGAAAGTTTTTGAAAAATTTCAAATGAACGCCCAGACGAAACGTCTGAAGCTAGAATCTTAAAAATTGACACGAGCCTCAGTATTGATGCGTAAGTGCATGATTAGAATGGGTTTTTGGATATTCGTACTAGGAGGGTACTATTCTTTGAATTGGACAAAAGAAACAAAATTTTGAATAAAACACTTTATTGACTGGCTTAAGTCATGGGCTGTCTTCTTCCAAAAAAAAAGACAAAAGAGCGTAGGGCAAAAATCAAACAACCTTGCTTTTCAAAATACTCCAGACACAATAGTCCAACGGATTGGTATCTGGAGATTTTGGTGGCCATTGTGCGCTGGAAATGAAGCGAGGAACCACATTTTTTAACAATTCTTGGGTGGCGCATGCTGAGTGGTGGAGTGCTGAGTGATGGGTCCTGTTGGAATGTCCAAGATCTGCGGCCAAAATGTTCGCGTACCATCGGCTGTTATGGCGGCCCACATCATCACCATGGCCGGCGCTTGGGTTCTGGTGGCCAACCGAAGGTGCATATTTTCAGCTGACCTCTTTGGCAAGTAAACACGATCATTTTGTTTGTTTACAAACTGCTGGACAACGATTGTTTTCTCATCGGAGCGGAGATAACCAAATTCGGCAGTTCATCACTTCCGGCCAAGCGAAGCAATTCTTTACCTCTTTTGAGTCTATTTTCTTTCTGTTGCGGTGTAAATTCTTGCACTTTTTGGAATTTCAATGGCTTTACCCCGAGCTCATTTTTCAATATTTGGCGAATGGAATATTACGAGCCATTTTTCGGTCACTGCGACGCGGGTTTCGATCAAGTCGCTTCTTTACTTTTCAAACCATTTCTGCTAATGTTGTTGTTCCGTTCTACCGTCCACTTCCTTGACGTCGGGCTACGCTACCAGTATCACGGTAACGAGCGATGGTACGAAACACAAAATATTTATTCACATTTAAATGCTGGAGTGCTCTAACGATATCCCCTTGAGGTTTTCCAGCCAAATATAAATATAAATCACATTATCACGCTTGAATTCTATCACGAATAACTTTTTTTTTTTGGAAACTTCTGAGGAAAATTCTTTTGTACGCTTGTAAACAATATAATGAGCTGTCACTGGAACTGTCGGACGACTGGCTTAAAAATGACAGCAGTCTGAAGTTGGTTGAAGTTTTTTCATTTCACCATGTAGAGCTGGAAATTTGGTAAGTGGTAGTAAATTTGGTATTGGATGAAGAAATAGAGATGGAATCCTCAAATTTGATATTCAGATCTCTGTTGGTACCTGAAGATGGTATATGGAGGTGGTTTTGGAAATAAGTGTTATAATTTTACGAAAAGTACTTAAAAGTACTAGATGTGGTATTTGGTGTAGGAGTAGAGCTTAAATCCTGAAATTTGGTATCTGTGTACTATATTGGGTATTGGGTGAAATTATAGATATTAAATTCTGAAATTTGAAATTTAGATAACTGTTGGTATTTGAAGTTGGCCTTTGTTCGAAAAGTACTAAATTGGTCTAAATTTGTTATAGGGTGAAGAGATAAAACTGAAACAATGAAATATTTTATTACGATAACTGTTGATGTCCATGATTGAGATATTAAGGTGGTTTTGGAAATAACTGTACAAAAAATATCTAATAGTACTAATTTTGGGTCACTATTGGTGTCTAGGATGAAGAGATGTAGATGTGCAACGGTTTTAATAATACCCTCCTCGGTAAGCTTCAAAATTAAGGAGTTTAAAGACGTTTTGGTGTAAAAGATAAAAATATTGCAATAAGGACAAAGGAAAAACTTGAATAATATATAAAGTCTGAAAATTTAGTACAATGTATGAAATTTTGAATCGTAGATTGGATAAATAACACTTTGGAGCATCAAACTTATAATACACATTTTTCAAAAAATATTTTTTTATGACCTTCAGAGCAACAATCGTAGATTTAAAAAGAATATCATTTTAGTCCATAGATGCCCAGTAGTGGCTGATTTCAGCAATTTCAACTCACACGTATTCTTACGCTCTTTTGTTTGATCGCCAATCAACCAATAGGAAAGCAGAAATATAAGTGGGAGAGACAAGCTACACAGGCAGAAGTTCTGTGTAATATTTACATTTAATCGAATGCTTTTGATGATATGTTATATATGTTATAAGACATTTAAAAAAATTAGAAATATAATTTAAAAAAAAAAACATTTTTAAACTGTTCATAAAGACATGAATTGTTTGCAGGGGGAAGAAGAAAATACTAAAATAAATGCATTTATCAAGAGTATTACTAAAATATGTACATTCATTAATTTTATATTTCCCAGAAAAAGAAAAAAATGACGACACCCGCCACACATGTGCTTTCGTCGCTATCTTGTTGACGACTAAATAAAATGAATAGAAAAATCTTTTCTTCCAGTGTTATTTCGTCGCTCTCACCAATACTATTACATTGGGCATCTATGTTTTAGTCCATAGATGCCCAATGTAATAGTATTGGTGAGAGCGACGAAATAACACTGGAAGAAAAGATTTTTCTATTCATTTTATTTAGTCGTCAACAAGATAGCGACGAAAGCACATGTGTGGCGGGTGTCGTCATTTTTTTCTTTTTCTGGGAAATATAAAACTAATGAATGTACATATTTTAGTAATACTCTTGATTGTAATGGCGCTTGCACCAACTCGTCATCTAGATATTGTTATTTTTTTTTTTTTTGTATCTATACATCCTTCAAATTCACACTTGTAACGGATAGTAAATTAGCGACCTCTGTTGTTCATTTTATAAATAAATAGAAACATTCCTTTTTCCCCTCGGCTTAGTACTACATTCGTCATTCATTGGGTTTGCCACATTCTTGGAAGAGTAGCGCTAACTATGGTCATCACCGAGACTTCGTGAAATGACCAGAGATAAACCTCTTCCTTTTCGTCATTTACAAAGCAATTGGTCAACATCTTTCACTGCCGCAGAGTCAAGAAAAATCAAAAATTTGTTTCATAGTGAAGCCATTTTGTTTGCCTATTTGTAATTTTTTTTTCTTCAATTTACAAAATTTTTGTAAGTATTTCAAATATTTTTTATCTTCGAATTCGTAAAGAAATATGTACAGGAGATATAATTTCTCTAATTTAGGTATATTGGATTTTTTTCAATAAAACTTTGCCGAAGAACCTGAAAGGTGCATTACCACACGAGCTTTTCAATCTCTTCATGTTGATTGGAGTATAATCTCAGTTGTTAGGTAACAATTAACCCTTCTCAATGTCTGACATAATTTCTCTTTAAAGTAATGATTTTTGCTAGATTGCATTACTGCTGATTAACACATGAGAACAACTATCAAAAGCTCGCTGTGTTTGATTGAAACCAAAGCAAACGATGGGGGCTTGGCATTCATAACCCAGTCACACATATTCTGTTTGTCAAACCATCATAGACACGTTGCCGAGAAAACATTTGCCGAAGACAACAGAAAAGAGGCAATTAAAGGTTATAAGTGCACGATTCCGACAAAAATCTGATTATTATTTTAACAAGTGCTTGTTTGAGGTAAACTCTTGTGGAATTTTGTTTAAGTGGCCACCAATCGAATAACCTCCAGACTCCAGTGCAGTGTTTTACGGTATTGTACCCATATTTTGGGGTTTGCAGCCAATTGTGAGTTATTACGAATAGTTCCAAAGTGAAAACTCCATAATTAAAAAAAAAACTCCATAATTAAAATACGATTTGCCAAGTAACTTAAATTTTGCCCAAAAATCTTGCTTTAAATTTATAATCTTAGTTGTAAGTAAGTGCTAAAACTTTATTTCTTATATTGTAATTGATTTTCTTTTCGTGGTTTGTTTCTTTAAATGAAGTAGTATTTATAAGAATTGATGCATAGAGCAAACCAGAAAAAAACCAGTCTGTCGTATCGCTTGCATTGGGCATAACAAAATCATCACCAAACAAACAATCAACGTTACATACAAACTGTTTAGGAACTGCACTTAATGATCATAATAATTTTGCTCAAACATACTGTTAGAATTTGTTTGATGATGATTCTGTTAAGAGCTCCTGTTCAATGTCTCTGTTAAGCTGTTTTAACATTTTCGATACAAATAACAGACTTGTATATGAGAGAAATGTTGCTGTACCAGATCTTTGCAACATTTCTGTCTCTTGAATGGCTATATTAAACTCTCTTAAAATTTCTCGCAGATAAAATCACTCAAAATAGTTGTCATCATCTCTTATGTATCATCATTGCTGAATTATCATATGTATGCAGTCATTATAAATACAACTCTTAAATTCTACTCTTGAGCAGTCTGTCCACCCACCGAAAGTACTTTCGACGAGGGATCACAGCAGCGTACAACGTAAGTCATCGAACTCATTTTTTTTCTTTTGTTTCTTTTTATCTGATTTTCACATATGTTATGATAGAAAAGAGTAACAAACTGGTGATCAAAATATTTTTATCTGTTCGGCTCAGTTGCTAATATTCGATTTGATAGGGAATTCCATTGAGTAATTATTTATTTATAAAAAACTTGTAAATATAAGTAAACAATATTTAATGGTCATACAAGTGTGAGAAAATGTCAACGTGAATCAAAAAGGGCATAGCTATAAAAAAAATATATTTTTTTTTTTTGCAGCAACATGTTGAACAGATATGTAGTCTCCAGTTTGATATTCTTTTCTGTAGTTCTATGAGATGATCCAACTAAGGAAGTATTTAACATTCTGCCTTAACATGAATTCATATGCAAGATCTGTAAATTTACCATTATTTTCTACCGAGCTAAATAACTTATTTTCGATTTATTTTGCATTTACACAATTTTAAAATAAAGCTCGAAGTTTTCTTCTTTATTATTCAAGAGGATATAAAAGCACAATCCTTACCTATCTCATTTCTTTAAATCAAATGTTACTTTAATTTAATTTTAAGAATATTTAGGATTAAATATCATCTACATGTTTTTATTTGAATTTTTTAGGTTTAATCTAATTTTAAGAGAAAATGTTAGCTACTTTTGAATTATTGCTAAATAAAAAGAATATGTATTCAACGTAAGTTGACAAAAGGTCTGTTTAGTTGCATATCAATGTAGGTGGCTTGTTATGATATAGTAGGGGTTGCAATAATAGCATTAATTTCATTTTGATTTCAACATGTTGCAACCAGGTTGGGTGGGTTTTCTGGCAACACAACATCTCGTTGCTGAAAGTCTTTTGAATCTTTTTTACAACTCTCTCAGTTTCCTCTGTTAATTTCTTCCCCTTTTCTCTACTTTCCGTTTCCTACTCAGTTAATTAAACAATCTCTCGTTTCCTGCTATGTTTTTAATTATAAGTGTAAATAAAAAAAAAATGCACGTATATTTTATATTGAACAGTAGCCAAGTGGCAAGGGGAACGTTGAAGGTTATCGAACCCCCCCACCGACGAGTAATAAGGCTGGATCCGTGCGTGCATCCTCTCATACGATCTCCCAAATAACATCTGCCACATTTCAACCTGTTATATGCTACATGATAAATGCATTTATTTTAGTATTTTCTTCTTCCCCCTGCAAACAATTCATGTCTTTATGAACAGTTTAAAAATGTTTTTTTTTTTTTAAATTATATTTCTAATTTTTTTAAATGTCTTATAACATATATAACATATCATCAAAAGCATTCGATTAAATGTAAATATTACACAGAACTTCTGCCTGTGTAGCTTGTCTCTCCCACTTATATTTCTGCTTTCCTATTGGTTGATTGGCGATCAAACAAAAGAGCGTAAGAATACGTGTGAGTTGAAATTGCTGAAATCAGCCACTACTGGGCATCTATGTTTTAGTCCAAAGATTGGTATACGAATGATAAGGATTTTTTTAGGAATGTTTTTGCTTTTTTCAAGGAAAAAAAATCTAAGATTTGGTCTCTGAAAAAATATTCTTTAAAATATTCACCATAATTGGTCTGCTGGACCTTAAAAAAAATATTCTTTAAAAAGTCCACGATTATTGTTCATTTGGTCCTTAAAGAAATATTCCTTAAGAATCCGCGGTTTATGATCCGCTGATCCTTGAAAAATATTCTTTGACAAATCCATGATCATCGGTATTTTGGATCTTGAAAAAATAGTCTTTAAAAAAACAACGGTCATTGGTCTATAGGTCCTTCAAAAATATTCTTTAAGAAATCCACCATTATTGTTCCCATCGTCCTTGAAAAATATTTTTTACGAAATACACGACTATTGTTTCTTTGGTCCTTGAAAAAATATTACTAAAAAAATTAATGATTATTGGTCCGCTGGTACTTTAAAAAATATTTTTTTTTAATCGTCGATTATTGTTCAGCAAATAAAGGAAAAATATTCTTTAAAAAATCAACAAAAATTTAAAAAAAATATTTAAAAAACTCCATCCGATGGTTCTACTAGACCTCGTTAAGTATACATTAAAAATTACCAATAGTTCCTGGAAAAATATAATTTAAAAAATCTGGGATTACACATTGTATAATAACCGTTAAAAATAATCTATAGAAATTAAATGAACTACATTTGTTGTTGTTGCTTCTTTTATTAATGGGGGGCTACGTCACTTTTAATGGGGCTATACCAACAGGACCATACACCAGTTCGTATGAGCAAAGCAATTCTCCACTATCTGTTAAGAATTTAAGCCGCACCACATACCACTGTCCATAGCGAATAGTGAGTAGTCCAAAGCCAAATAAATCCAGGAGAGAGAATTCCAAATACAAATGAATACAAAGAGGTTTCCAGCAAAAAGTCTCTCCTACAGAAGTCATCAAGCGTTGGCATTTTGTTGGCGCTTCAGTTGCATTTGGACAGCCAGAGTTTTCAGAACATTTGTCGGTTCGGTTGAACGTTCCATTCTTTTAACAACAACTCCAAGATTCGTCATAATTATAACAAAATTCAAACAGCCATGAGTAACAAACCAACTTTGTACTACGCATTGTTTAGTCCACCGTCACGAGCCTGCATGATAACAGCCAAACTGATTGGCCTGGATTTGGATTTGAAGTAAGGCAATTCCAAGAAACATATGCAATTATCGTCGCTATATATATTTATATTTCAGGTTGGTTGATTTCTCAAAAAAACAACAATTGAGCGAGGAATTTTTAAAGGTAAGCACGTACGTGTAGCTGGATCCCAGCCTGATTTCCCAATTATTTTCTATGCGGAAGACGAAAAACAGTCACAAAAACAATTGTTGCATTTCTTCATGTTTACATTTCGTTTTTTTTTTTTTTTTTTTTTGTTTTGCAGTTAAATCCTCAACATCAGATACCGGTTTTTGTGGATTCGGATGGTGAGGTCTATATTGACAGGTGAGTGAGAGAAAGAGTGAGTGTGAGAATATGTGCGTCATCAAGAACATATGTTAGGGAATCGCCAGCGTATTTTTGTTTGGGCGAGAGTACTAAAGTGGGAGAGTAAGAGCGCAAGAGTGTCGAATGCAAAATGATAACAATACACCAAAAGAAAAAAGTGTTTTTAATTAAAATAATCACAGAGGCAATGATTTGCAGGAATTTAAAGAAAAAATCAGAATTATTGGTCAAACTTCGCCATAGAAATGTCTACAAAAATATAATTTTCTGTGCATTCGTTAGAAAATTTTCGGTAATGGCTCCACGATTATTAATCCGGAGGGCTTTCAAAAAAACATTCAAAATTGCTAAGAAAGCCCTTAAAAAATATTTGCCAAAAAAAATAAAAGTTAATTGACGCCGAAAGCCCTTGATTTTTTTTAACAAACGTAGGAATAAACTCGTCGAACTAATAGAGAAAATCTACAACGACATACGATCAGCTATATATAATGGAAAGGAAATCTCAGAATATTTTGAAACTATGAAGGGGGGTAGAACAGGGGTGTCTTTTATTATCATTATTTGTTAAGCTCTACATTAACAATCTGCATGATTATATAGAAAGTGGGTTATCCTAGCAGATGATATAAGAACCCTCCAAAAGCAAGTATAAGCAATCTGGAAATATATATTGCAAATTGTGGAGCTTAGAAGTAAATTTAAGTAAATCGGAAATACATCTGTAATATACAGAGAAAACGCTGTTTCGATCGCTTACAACAGACTTCCACATCAATTATCAGATATTATAGTGTGTAGGAATACATTGGAGCCAATCAAAGTTCTACTTAGTTAATTGGAAGAGTTTTTCTAAAAATTAACTTGACCCACAAAACGCCGACTACGTGAGGAAATACTCTGAAGACTCTTTATCTAAAAGAAAAGTACAACATTGCCAAGTTCATGGATATTTAAAACACGCAGTGGAATGATCCCTCTTTGGGACATAGATTTGATTACAATGACATGAATAAAGAATGACAGCTATGTAATTGACAAGAGATGTAAACCTAACAACACTTCCTGGCAACGTGATCAAAGTACTTGATGGCGAATAAGAAGATTGGTATAAACTTGCAATCTATGTGGAAATAACCTATAGATATACACAACTTCTATTGAATTCTTAATATTAATTTAATTCTTAAAAGAAGAATTTTATATTGTTTCTAGGGAAAGGCAGTTGGTGCTTGAAAATATTCTTTAAAAAATGCCCTATTATTGTTCAGAGAAAAATATTCATTGATAACTCCAAATTATTGCTCAAATGTATTCTTTGGTTGGTCCTTGAAAAATATTCTTTGATGATCCAAAATTATTGCTCAAATGGACCCTGAAGAAGTATTCTTCTGTTGGTCCTTGAAAACTATTCTTTAAAAAGCCAACGATTATTGTTTCTTTGGCCCTTCAAAAAAAATCTTTAAAAATCCATCCGATTATTGATCTGTTAATCCTTGAAACAATATTCTTCCTGGCCCTTGAAAAATATTCTTAAAAAATCCACGATTATTGATCTGTTGGTCCTTAAAATAATATTCTTCCTGGTTCTTGAAAACTATTCTTTAAAAAATCCACGATTATTGGTCTGTTGGTCCTTAGAAAATATTCTTTAAAAAATCCACGATTATTGGTCTGTTGGTCCTTGAGAAAATATTCTTTAAAAAATCCACGATTATTGGTCTGTTGGTCCTTGAGAAAAAAATTCTTTAAAAATTGACGATTATTGGTCTGTTTGTCCCTAATTAGTTATCCATATTAGTAGGAATATTTTGGTCCTTAAAAAATATTCCTGGTTAATTGCTCCTTGAAAAATATTTTTTGAAAACATAAAAGATTATTGGTCCCTTTATTTTTTTATTTTATTTTATTTTTTTATTATTATTATTTTTTTTTTTTTTTTTGTATTTTAGTCACGCCATTATGTGTTTTATGGTTGGCAAATATGCCAAGAATGATAAACTCTATCCCAAAGACCTGAAGACACGGGCCCATGTTGATCATCTGCTTCATTTTGAGAATGGCATTCTATTCCAAGTAGTTATAGATATTGCGGTAAGTATAAAAGGAAATAAAGGCTAAATGTTCGAATCTAAAAATTGGGATATTTTTAGGCCCGCAACTTTTATGGTGGCGAAGGCGAATTCAATCCAAAGACCCTTAAACTTTGTGAAAATGCCTATAGTTTCTTGGAAGCCTTTCTCCAAAAGGGAAAATATGTGGTTGGTAATGAAATGACAGTAGCCGATGTTTCGATTAATACCACACTGGTGACCTTGAATTTGTTGCTGCCGGTCAGCGCTGAAAAATATCCTTTGACTGTGGCCTGGATGGAGCGTATGAAAACGTTGCCCGTTTATGACGAAGTAAACATAAAGGGTGCTGAGATTTTGAGTACACGCGTCAAGGGAGCCATGAGCGCCGCCCGTGAAACTGCCGCTGCTGCTGGAAAATGAAAAGAGGAAGACAATTTGAGACCATCTTCTTGATGTATATGTGTGTTTCATGTAGGTTTAATTTAAAATGAAAACTAAATGTACTTACATTTGTTGAAATTACTTATAACGATGTTCCTAGAATAAAAATATTAAAATAAATAAAAGACAGTAATTGTAAATTTTTTAAAGAATATTTTCAAGGATAATTTCAGCAATCGAGGAATTTTAAAGAATATTTTTTAAGGACCAGGGAACAATAACCGTGGATTTTTAATAATTTTTTTTTCTAAGAACTAATGTAAAATGATCGTGGATTTTTTAAAGAATAATTTTCAAGGACCACTGTAGCGTGGATTTTTTAAGAATTTTTACAAGCATTAAAGGAACTCTTATCGTAGATTCATTAAAGAATATTTTCAAGGATTAAAAGAACTCTTATCATGGATTTTTTAAAGAATATTTTCTCAAGGATTATCAGACCAATAATCGAGAATTTTTTAAATAATAATTTTCAAGGACCAATAATTGTGGATTTTTAAAGAATATTTTTCAAGGATTAAAAGAAGGATTTTTAAAGAATATTTTCTCAAGGACCAACAGACCAATAATCGTGGATTTTTTAAAGAATATTTTCTCAAGGACCAACAGACCAATAATCGTGGATTTTTTAAAGAATATTTTCTCAAGGACCAACAGACCAATAATCGTGGATTTTTTAAAGAATATTTTCTGAAGGACCAACAGACCAATAATCGTGGATTTTTTTAAAGAATATTTTCTCAAGGACCAACAGTCCAATAATCGTGGATTTTTTAAAGAATATTTTCTCAAGGACCAACAGACCAATAATCGTAGATTTTTTAAAGAATATTTTCTCAAGGACCAACAGACCAATAATCGTGGATTTTTTTAAGAATATGTTCTCAAGGACCAACAGACCAATAATCGTGGATTTTTTTAAGAATATTTTCTCAAGGACCAACAGACTAATAATCGTGGACTTTTTTAAAGAATATTTTCTCAAGGACCAATAGACCAATAATCGTGGATTTTTTTAAGAATATTTTCTCAAGGACCAACAGACCAATAATCGTGTATTTTTTTAAAGAATATTTTCTCAAGGACCAACAGACCAATAATCGTGGATTTTTTTAAGAATATTTTCTCAAGGACCAACAGACTAATAATCGTGGATTTTTTTAAGAATATGTTCTCCAGGACCAACAGAATAATAATCGTGGATTTTTTTAAAGAATATTTTCTCAAGGACCAACAGACCAATAATCGTGGATTTTTTTAAGAATATTTTCTCAAGGACCAACAGACTAATAATCGTGGATTTTTTTTAAGAATATTTTCTCAAGGACCAACAGACCAATAATCGTGGATTTTTTGAAGAATATATTCAAGGAACAAAGGAATTAATCGTGGATTTTTAAAAAATATTTTTCAAGGATTAAAGGAATTAATCGTGGATTTTTTAAAAACACTAATCGTAGATTTTTTAAAATTAATTTTCAAGGATTAAAGGAACACTTATCGTAGATTTTTTAAAAATATTTTCTCAGGGACCAACAGACCAATAATTGTGGATTTTTAAAGAATATTTTTATGAATGAATGAAACACTAGGTCTGGGCATTAATCGAGGATTGTTCAATGAATATTTTCCGAATACACTGATTCATATAAGAATAAGTGAACCATGAAAAGAAAGAGTTTCATGAAAATTAAGAGACATTATAAAATACTCTCTCCCTCTTTCTCTCTTATAAAACATCATGTAGTCACTATTTAGTAGTGGCACTCAGACCCCTTCAAGAGCCACCACATTTTGTTGACGCTTTCAGTTGCCTTTGGACAGCCACAGTTCTCAGAACATTCGTGTTTCGGTAGATAAAAAGCAAACGAAAAACATTTCGCATTTGTTTGAAACAAAAATAACAACAAGAATAAGTAAAGAATTCATTAGCATTTAAACAAGAAAAAAACCCAAGCAACAGCCATGAGCAACAAACCAACTTTGTACTACGCTCTGTTTAGTCCTCCGGCCAGGGCATGCATGATAACAGCCAAGTTGATTGGCCTGGATTTGGATTTGAAGTAAGGAAATGCAGTTTCGCAAAACAAAAATAATTATATAATTATAGCCCCCTACACATATAATATATGTATTTCAGATTTGTTGATTTCTCACAAAAAGAACATTTGAGCGAAGAATTTCTAAAGGTAAGTACGTCGATGGGTCTCAGACCGTCACTGCCGAATAAGTTTTTTTGCGAAAGGGGCGAAAACCTCAAAAACATATTGCATTTCTTCATGTTTACATTTTTTTTTTGCAGTTAAACCCCCAACATCAGATACCGGTTTTTGTGGATTCGGATGGTGAAGTCTATATTGACAGGTGAGTGAGTGTGCGAATGCGTCAGTAAGAACATATGTTAGGGCAATTGCCAGCGCATTTTTGTTTGAGCGGGAGCAAAAACGTGGGAGAGCAGTGCAAAAGTATCGAATGCAGAAATAATAACAATACACCCAGAGAAAAATGCGTGTTGAAATAAATTTGAACAAAACGTATAATTCATCCGAGTCCACCTCTTCGTAGCCTCCACCATGTGAAAACATAAATTATATTCCAATTGGTTGTCATAAAAATCTATAAAAATTGGAGATAACATCAATACATAGTCGAAGTGTGACTATAGTGAATATTTTTGCCCGATATTTACGTTCGTTTACCAAACCCAAGAGTTGAGAGATGTGACTGAGACCTTCAAAATACCAATAATTTGGGGAATACCTTTATAGGAGGCCATTTCAAAACCTGGATGGTCATTAACATTTTTTTGCGATGATGAGTGCTACCTATTTAGATTTCAAAATATTAAACTACCACCCAAATTGTGTGGAAAATGTTACCAGGAGCTTCAACACATCCAAATTACAAAATAGTACCTGAAAAAGGGAAAGGGAGACTATACTAAATGGACCTACAATGAACCTTTTACTGCAAACAGATGCTGACCAAGAAAATTTACTCTTTGAGGACTCCAAGGTTATTTTAAGGTAGAGTGGCAAATATAATATTCTATATCTATAAAAGGGGAAATTTTTTACGTTTGTTTGTTTGTAATTTATGGACTCGAAATCCGCACAATAGATTTTCTTGAAAATCTCCAAGCATACCACAACATCGCCTGAAAGTAACATGGGCTATATACATTTTTGAAATTCCACTTGGAACTGGATACATAACATCAGAGTCGGAGATAGCTCCAAAAAAAATAGTTCTTATATGGACATATTTATTGACCGGTTATAGATACAATCTTCACATTTGGAATGTGTAACGGAACTTGGAACAAAAATAAATTTGCTAAATTCTATTGAAATAGGCTCAGATTTGTGTATCCCATATATATTTTCGGCCGATTTAATGTATTTCAATGAAATTTGGAGTGTGTGATGGAATTCGTCTAAAACATTTGTTTGCAAAATTATATTCAAATCGGTACAGATTTGAATATAGCTGCCATATAAAATTTCGTCCGATTTCATGTATTTGATTCACCAATCACGCACATACAGGGTGAGATAAAAAAAACTGCACTAAAGTCAAAAGCCATAATTTTTACATTTTTTTGTTTTAAATTTTATTGAACGAAAGCAAAAAATTTCGGAAATAGTATCAAATTTTAGAATAAGTTTAGATTTGTTCGAATTGGTCACCTTTGGCATGAATTATCGCCTTCAAACGGCCAATGAAACCGTCACACGCTGCCCGAATGTTGCTATGCGGTATTTTGACCCATTCCCGGCGAATCGCTTGCTTGAGGTGATCGACACTTTGGTATTTTTTAGTGCCAACTTTGCTATCCAAAATACTCCAGACACAATAGTCTGACCAATTGGTATCCGGAAATTTTGGTGGTCATTGTGCGTTGTAAATGAAGCGAGAAACCTCATTTTGTAACCATTCTTGAGTGGCGCGTGCTGAGTGCGATGGTGATGGTGATGAGTCCTGTTGGAAAGTCCAAGGTCTGCGGCCAAAATGTTTGCATGCCCAAGGCTTTAATTCACCCTCCAGAATATTTTCGCGATAATATTCGGCATTTATTCTGATGCCACGGTCGATTAATACGAACGGAGAGCAACCATCGCCTGTTATGGCGGCCCACACTACCACCATGGCCGGCGCTTGAGTTCTGATGGCCAATCCAAGGTGCACATTTTCAGCTGACCTCTATGGCGAGTAAACACGATCATTTTGTTTGTTTACAAACTGCTGGACAACGAATGTTTTCTCATCGGAGAAAACCAAATTCGGCAGTTCACCACTTTCGGCCAAGCGAAGCTCTTTTGAGTCTATTTTTCATTCTGTTGCAGTGTAAGTTCTTGCACTTCTTGGAATTTCAATGGGTTTACCCCGATCAATTTTTCAATATTTACCGAATGGAATATTGCGATGTGTTCAGCTCACGAGTCATTTTTTCGGTTACTGCGACGCGGGTTTCGATCAAGTCGCTTCTTCACTTTTCGAACCATTTCTGCTGATGTTGCTGTTTTCTTCGGTCCATTTTCTTGACGTCGGGCTACGCTACCAGTTTCACGGTAACAAGCGATGGTACGAGACACAAAAGATATATTCACATTTAAATGCTGGAGTGCTCTAACGATAGCCACTTGTGGTTTTCCAGCCAAATATAAAGAAATCACACTATAACGCTTGAATTCCACCACAAATAACTTTTTTTCTGGAAAATTCTCACCAAAACTTTTTTGTACGCTTGTAAACAATATAATGAGCTGGCACTGGAATAATTTTAAAAGATGTCGGACGAGTGGCTTAGAAATGTCAGCAGCCACCTCTCACCCTATATCTCTAATTTCAATGAAAGTTTCCACTTATATAGCTATAGAATTTGACCGTACTTAAAAAATTAGTCTGTAAGTCCTTAAAAAATATCCTTCAAAAATCCTGGACTGTTGCTCAATTGGTCCTTGATAAATAATTCTATAAAAATCATCGATAATTGGTCTGTTGGTCCTTGAAAACTATTCTTTAAATAATCTACTATTATTAGAAAATAGTCCTTCCCTAACAATTCTTTAAAAAATCTTCTACTTTTTTCATTAAAAAATCTACGAATATTTATCTTAAAAATGTTCTTTAAAAATCACTTTTATTGGTCTGTTGGTTCTTGAAAGATATTTTCAAAAAAATTTACGTTTATTCGTCTGTTGTTCCTAAAACAAATATTCTTAAAAAAATACCAATCTTTGGTTTCCTTGAAAAATATTCTTTAAAACAGTCTCGATTTGACTTGTTTATTAAAAATCTACGATCATTGGTCTAAAAGTCCTTAAAAATATTTCATTGTTCCTTGAAAAAAACCTTCTTCAAAAAGTCCACAATTTTTCGTCCTTGAACAAAATCCTTTAAAATATTTACTATTATTGGTCTGTTGATCCTTGAAAAATATAGTTTTAAAAACTTTATGGTTATTGAGCTTAAAGTCCTTAGAAATTATTATTAAAAAAACATACAATTGTTGATCAAAGACCTCAAGAAAATTAGTTTTTAAAAAATCCGGGGTTGTTTTTCTGTTGGTATTCAAAAAATTCCTCAACAAGTCCAGAATTATTAGATTAGGTTCTGGTCCTTGAAATAAGTGTTTTATTTTTTTTAATTCACATTAATAGCTCTCTTGGTCCTTGAAAAATATACTTTAAAATAACTACGACTATCCTCGAAAAATATTTTTTAAAAGATCGACGAATATTGATTTTTTGGTCCTTAAAGTATTCTTTAAAAATTTACAATTATAGCTCTCTGGGTCCTTTAAAAATCACTTTTACTGATCTCTTGGTTCTTAAAAAATATTTTAAAAAATGTCTACATTTAGATTTAGATATATATCGCAAATATAATTTCAACGGATTTAATTTTTAATTTTTTAACCTCAATCACTTTTCTCAATTTTATAGCCACGCCATTATTTGTTTTATGGTTGGTAAATATGGCAAGGATGATAAACTCTATCCCAAGGATTTGAAGACCCGAGCCCATGTTGATCATCGCCTGCATTATGAGAATGGTGTTCTGTTCCAAGTTATTAAAGATATTGTGGTAAGTATAACAGGATTGAAATCAAAGCGTATACAATTTAAATAAAATCTCATTTCAGGCCCGCAACATATACGGTGGCGAGGGTGATTTCAACCCCAAGACTATTATTCTTTGTGAAAATGCCTATAGCTTCTTGGAAGCCTTTCTCAAAAAAGGCAAATATGTGGTGGGCGATGAAATGACTGTGGCCGATGTATCGATTAATACCACTCTGGTGACTTTGAATTTGTTGCTGCCAGTCAGCGCTGAAAAATATCCTTTAACTGTTGCCTGGATGGAGAGGATGAAATCGTTGCCCGATTATGACGAAGTTAATGTGAAGGGTGCCGAAGCCTTGTGTACACGCATCAAGGGGGTTATGAGTGCCACCCGTGAAGCTGCAGCTGGAAAATGAAGAGATTGTAGAATGGAGTTTATCTTCTATATATTTGATTTTATTTAGGGTTTCCGGGATTAATTTAAATTTTGTAATTGGAAAATTAAATGTACTTAAATTTGTTGGAATTGTAGCGATGTGCCTGTGAATAAACATTTAGAGTTATGATTGTAAACCAATTTATAATTAGTTTTTATACAGTCGTTGATTGTTTTATATTTTATAAGGACTATCAGAGAGTTATAATCGCGGACTTTGAAAGCTAAAATTAACAAGGACTAACAGACAAATAATCTGGATCAATCAATGACCAACCGACTTAATCGAACATTCATAAAATACATAAAATTAAATTATACTTTTCCCCAAAGAACAACAGGGTTACCTGAATATTTTTTCAAGGACTATCGGACTTATTCTCGTATACTTTTTTAATGAACATTTTTTAAAGACTTTCGATCGTAATCATCGTTTTTTTTAAATAATAAATTTTTAAGTTTTTAAATTTACATTTTTTAGTGACTATCTATAATTGAGGATTTTCTAATGTTTACTTTTAGGGTCCCATCTGACCAATATTTATCAATTTTTTTGAGATTTTTAATAGTTTTCATGGATTAGACCACTAATCATGTTTTTTTAAGGACCAATAATCTTGGAATCTCAAAGAATATTTTTCAAGGATCAGCAGAACAATAATTGTAGTTACTTTAAAGAAGATTATTCAAGGGCCAAGGGAACAGTAATTGAGCTTTTTATAAATTTTTTTTTCAGGGACCAGCAGAACAATAATTATGGACATTTTAAAGATTATTTTTCAAGGACCGACAGAACAATAGTCGTGGATTTTTTAAAAATATTTTTCAACGACCAGCGGAACAATAATTGTGGATATTTTAGAGAAAAATATTCAAGGAACAAAAAACAGTAATTGTGGATTTTTTAAAAAATATTTTTTACGGACCCACAGAGCAATAGTCGTGGATTTTTTAAAGAATATTTTTCAAGGACCAGCAGGACAATAATTGTGGATATTTTAAAGAAGACTTTCAAGGACCAAGGAAACATTAAGTTATTTTTAAAGAATATTTTCAAGGACCATGGAAACAGTAATCGTGGATTTTTTTTAATTTCAAAAACCTATAATCGATTTTAAAATAATATTTTTTCAGCTCCAAAAGGAAAAATAAAATTGTAGAATTTTTAAAGAATATTTTTTCACAGACCAATAATCGTGGAATATTTAAGGCATATTTTTCAAGAACCACTAATCATTTTAAAATAAAATTTTTCAGCTCCAAAAGAAAATGAAATCGTGGGTTTTTTAAGAATATTTTCTAAAATAAACAGACCAGTAATCGTTTATTCTTAAAGGACGTAGATTTTGAGGAATATTTTAAGGACTTTAGAAGCTATAAACATGAACTTAAAATAATATTTTTCAAAGGACAATATACCAACAATCATGAATTTTTTAAAGAATATTTTCAAGGACTAAGCAACTGTAATAATGGAATTTTAAAGAATATCTTTTTAAGGACTATCGAAACTATAATCGTGGACTTTTGAATATCTAAAATCAAAAAAGTTCTGTTATATTCTATAGCTGAAAAATAGAATAGGTCTCATTTATTCTCCGATTAAAACGGGATTTTTCACAAATCATTTGTTTGGGCCAAGCAAGAATAGGTCCATATTTAGATATAGCTCCCATATATATTTTCATCGGATTTCTAATTTATTACACTCCATATGTGTTCAAATAGAATGTATTTCGCCACATCCGACCGATTTTAGCCTAGAAGCAAGAACTTAATATTTGATGAAAATCGGTTCAGATATAGCTGTTGGTCCCATATAAGTTTTTCAATTTTTTGTGAGATTTATATAAGGAATAGTTTTCATGGGTTAATAGACCACTAATCATGGTTTTTAAGGACCATTTTCAAGGACCAGCAGCACAATTATTGCGGATTTTTTAAGGAACAAGAATTGTGGATATTTTAAAGAACATTTTTCAAGGACCAAGGAACAGTAATTGTGGATTTTTTAAAGAAGATTTTTAACGGACCAACAGAACAATAATTGTGGATTTTTTAAAGAATATTTTTCAAGGACCAGCAGGACAATAATTGTGGATATTTTGAAGAAGATTTTCAAGGACGAAGGGAACAGTAAGTTTTTCTTAAAGAAGATTTTTCAAGGACCATGGAAACATTAATCGTGGATTTTCGGATACAGCCTAGAAATACCTCTTTCAAATTTTATCAAGATTGATTTAGATCCCATATATATCTTTATCCGATTTCAGGTTTATTGAGCGTCAAATGGTTTATACGAAATTCAGCCTGGAATAAAGTGTGCCAAAGTGAAAATCGGTTCAGATATATCTTCCATAAATTTTTTCAATCCCAAATGGATTTTGCCACATACGACTGAAGCAAGAACATCAGATTCGGTTAAAATCTGTCCAGATATAGCTATGACTCCTGATTTTATGTTTATGTCCCTCACATTCGCAATATGCACTCCAAAAGATATTTGGTATCAGATATCTCATACAGCTCTGTTCGGATTTGGATATAACTTCCATAATTATCGTCACCGGGTTCCACGGTTTTTGGGCACCAAATTGGATGAATTTTTGAGCATTCAACCGAATTTTTTTCATTTGGTGAAATTCGGCTCCCATTTATCTATACCTCCGATATGTAACTTTTTTATATAATCATGAACTCTATATGTGTGTCTCCGCCCAATTTGGTGGAAATTTTAATACCCTCCACCATGGAAAGGAGGGTATATTAACTTTGTCATTCCGTTTGTAACATCCTTAAATATTCGTCGTAGACCCCATAAAGTATATATATTCATAATCAGCATAAAATTCTAAGTCGATTTAACGATGTCCGTCTGTCTGTCTGTCTGAAATCACGATACAGCCCACATTATTTGACGTAGAGCGCCAAAATTTAGCAGAGCAATTTGTATTGTGTCTAGGATAGTTGGTATTGAAAATGAGATATATCGGTCCACGTTCTGGTATAGTCCCCATATAACGGTTCCTCCCGATATTCGGTATTTTGATGACTGATGCCACATTTTTTTCACGGATTTGTCTGAAAATTGCTATTTGTAGGTCATAACTGGTCCCTGTGCGTGTGGCAAAACATTGCATGTATAGATCCACGTTTTGATATAGCCCCCATATAAAGGTACCTCCCGATATTCGGTATTTTAATATTTTTTTTGCTACATTTTTTCACGGATTTGTCTAAAAATTGGTATTTGTTGGTCATAATGGGTTCCAGCTCCGGTGGCGAAACATTGCATGTATGGGTCCATGATTTGGTATAGCCCCCATATAACGGTACCTCCTGATATTTGGCATTTAAATGGTTTTTACCACATTTCTTCTAATGTTTCCTTTACCCTAAAGTGGAGGGTATTAAAAGTTTGGCCCGGCCGAACTTAATGTTTTTTTACTTGTTATTAATTCTCTCTGATTCCAAATTATAACCGCCCTAAGGTCATAGTATGCATTCAAAGAAGTTCATAGTTGGTGTGATCTACTTCACATAAATTCCCAATATACACGCTTATTTGTTATGGGTAGCTCTACTAAATATACATAGTGGTGGTAGGATAAGATATAGTCGGTCCCGCACGATTTTTGGCCTCTCCCTTCTAGTTACCTTACCTCTTTTCCCCTGCATGATTTCATAACACATCTCATTTTTATATTTTTAAAAATAATTTATTGTGGATTTTTTCTTTGTAATATTTCGAAATACGTCTTTTTTTCGTCTTCTTCCTGTGGTTATTGTTTAAATTTTCACATGAGAGTGTGTGTGTGTGTGTTTGTGTATATTCTGTATAATATTCTATATAGTTAATATAATTATTTACTTAATGATCATTGGGAATTAACTTAGCTTTGTGATTTGATCAAAAATGAAATACAAACAACGAAAAAGAAAAAAATTCTATTGGATCAAAACACGCATACACGCTCGCAATTACAATGTATATATAAAAAGCCATATGATATAATAAAAATAGTTTAGTTTCATTTTCGATTTGTTGGATATTTGTTTGTTTGTTTGGTTGGTTTTTTGTACAACTATACATAGATACATTCATTTAATAATTACATTATGAGTAACACTAGAATTTTTAGTTGTTTTTTTTTTACTTTTAATTTTTGTAAATAATATTATCTTAAATATGTATATGCATGTGTGTCGTATTTGGGTTTTGTGTTTATTTTTTTACATTTTATAGCATTTTGTTATTTTTTTATATTTTACACAATTTTATTGAGGGTCTACAGACGGGGAAGCAGAAGCATCACACTCTCTTCTAATATTTTTCTTTTTTACATTTTTATTTGTTTCTATAAAATATTTACATTGAATATCATAGATTTATAAAAACAACAACAATTTTGGTTTTATGCTGCTGCTTTTTTTTTTGTTACTCCTCGGCCAATTCAATCAAACGTGGTCCAATTCTGCATACCCGTCGTTGTAAGGCCATTCTGCTGGGATGATGTCGTACCGGCCATGGTTGTGCCGCTGGTGCTGGTCGCTGTTACAGAAGTCGTAATTAAAGTGAATTGATCAAGACCATATTTACGTAACAATTCAAAATCTTCATCGGGCGGTGGCATGGGAGGTGGTACCGATTTGGGTAAAGGTGGTGGAATTTCGGATGGGGGTGTTGGAGGTTGTTGTTGTGGCCGCTGAAGCTGTTGATGCTGCTGCATTATGGCTCCTGGCGCCCTTGTCAGCGGAGCATGCTGTGATTGCAATGGCTGTCCCGTCACAGATGTGGCCATATGCTGGGGTGTATAAAATGTGTACAGGGGATTACTTATACTATTATTGGCCGCTGTTATAAAGGAAGCTGGCGGTGTTCTACTAGCAGTGGCTGGCAATGTTGTGGATTTATTGCGTTGACTATTCATTGCTTTGCCAAGCGTGGGCAAGGGACGAGCATTCTGATTCAGTGGATCGAAATCCTCCAAATCGAAGCTACTATTGTGACTATCGTCCAGCGATATTAGATCTTTCATGGATTCTTCGGAAGCATTGGTGGAATGAGAACCGGCATCGGTGCTCGTGTTAGCGCTAGCAACGGTGGTTGTCGTTGTGTCATTGAGGCCCAGTGTCATATGTTGGGGCTGCAGAGAACGTAGGGACTGTTAAAGAGAACCATAACAGAAAGGAGAAAGAAAAAAAGGCAGGAAAAAGAGAGAAAAGCCAAGCCAAAAGAAAAACACATGAAAAAAAAATAAAAAGAAAAATATAACAAAATGTGGTTAGTTAAAGGTTTGGTTCCATTTTTCAAAATAGCCATAAAATAAATAAGAATATTGAAAGTTTAAAAATATTTTTTGGAAAATATTTAAGACATTTTTACAAGTAATTGGAAATATTTTATTTAGTTTATAAAATTACATATATCTTTGGGTGATTACAGAAATAAAATTAGAAATATTTCATTTAATATTCAAAGGATTTCTGGATTTTTTAAATAACACGATTGGAAAATATTGTCATAACCCTTGCAATAACTGAAATTAGGTTCTATCTTTATATAAGGGCTGTATAAAAAAGGTGGATTTATGTTAATATTTTTTTGTAAACAGCGTGTACTCATATGTACTCAAAATGCCGAAATTTGATGAAACTAAAGGAAAAAATGGCCAAAACGTTAAAAATACTTAAAATCGGAGCTATCCTTACAAGGAGACTATTCCAAAAAATGGACCGATATAATCCATTTTCTGTATCAATTAATCTGGTTGTGATCAAAAGATCTCTATCAAATTTCAATTGTCTATCCTTAATATTATGAGATATATTTCAAACTATGAGAATCGCATTGTATAACGTGAAAACTTTATAAGGCCCTTAACAACATTTGGCCTAAGAATCCAAGACTCCTTTGGGGGCTTGACCTAAAAACAAATAATACCAAGTTCACTTGGCATTATTTACAACCCAGACTGGCATTTGTACAGTGAAAATATAAGACCATTTGCAGCAAATTGTGAAAAAGTGTTAAATTTATCAGAAATTAATAATGTTTACTTTAAAAAAAAAATAATGGTATTTTTTCATGGCACATAGCGACTCTCACAATGGAATTTGATGTAGAAAAATTCTTCCTTTGAAATTTTCCCCAAAAATGAAATATAAAGGGAGATTTTGGCTCTAATTGGATACCTGATAAATTAACAGTAAAAAAAGCAAACACATAATTTTCACTTTTAGTAGATTTATTTTGAATGTAATTTTCATAAAAACTATTGTAGCTAGATATAGGGTTTATTCTGAGACTAATAGTGAAATTTTCTGCAGAATATTTCTTCCGTTTTATGCTACTTTCAGGCGTCAACGAGAAACAAGTCCGAAGAAAAAATTTATCAAAACAAAAAAAGGAATCTTTTTTTTTTTTTTTTTTTTTTTTTTTTTTTTTTTTTTTTTTGGAACATTGATTTAATTATTTTTATGATACACATTGGAAATAGAGATTTCTTGTCTTTGTCTTGAAATTTGATGAAGAATATTTTTGTGTTTGACATCATGCTTTTAAAATGATTTTTTGGAGGAGATTTTTGTATGAACTCACATAAAGTACGACTTTAAGTCTAAAATGTGTTTTTAAAAGTATATGAATTCCTGACGTTAGGTAAGATTCAGACTCATGGCGTCTTCGAGGACCTATAGTAGAATTTTATCAAAAAAAATCTGTAGAATATTTTGATTTGCTACGATCCCGTTTAAAGGGATTTTTTAACCGTTATTTAAAAAAGGAACAAGAAGTCTCCTTTGTTGACTCGCTTGAGGTTTAAAAATGTCCACCAAAATAATCCTAGTATTTAGCCGGAGACACTATATATCTAAAAAGACCGGGAAATTTTCAAAAGTGTGTAAAACGGTGGAACTTGTCCCCTCAATTTACGCCATCTTTCGATGTAAACTTTCAAAACGACAATACACGAGTCTTCTTTTTTTAATCTGCTGAATTTCCTCCGTAATTCTATATAACCGATCCATAGGTCTTCAATTTAGGATTTTGAAGAATATTTTTCAAGGGCTGTTATAACACATTTGGTGAAAAATAACCGTGATATCAGATAAAGATATATATAAAAGTTATGTCCAAATCTGAACCGATTTCGATAAAATTTGGCAGAGGTATTTCTGAGCTGTATGAGAAAATATCTTTGTTTTGGAGTGCATATTACGAATGTGAGGGACCTAAACCCCAAATTGGATGAAACATTTTTATAGGAGCTATATACCTATAACTGAACCGCTTTTCAAATTTGAAGTGCTTGCTTCTGGGCTGAATTCGGTCGGATGTGCCAAAATTCAGGTAATTTGGTAACCGAAATCGGTTGAAGATATGTATGGAAGCTATATGCAAACCTGAACCGATCTCGATAAAATTGGCCAAAGATAATTCTGATCAGTATTTCATCTATTTTTACGAATATCTTTATTATACAGTAGATATTACGGTATTGGGGGTATAAACTGTTTATATGGGAGGTTCAGATATAACTGAACCTATTTTCACCAAATATGAAGTACTTACTTCTAGGCTGAATTCGGTCGGTATTACGCATATGGCGCACAATAAAATTAAAACCGGACAAAGACACACATGAGAGCTTTATCTAAATTTGGACTGATTCTCACCACTTGCAATAGGGTTCGGCCTTGGACCAAACAAATGATTTGTGGAAAATTTCATCTCAATCGTACCTAGAAAGACGGGATGGACATGCATAGATCAACTCAGACTAGCAGTCTTCAAGGACTAGCGGACAAAAATTCTTGAATTTTTTAAATATTGTTTTTTTTTTTTTTTTTTTTTTTTGAAGGATTGTCAGTCCAATAGTCCTGGATTTTTTAAAGCATACTTTTTAAATAACCTTAAAAACTTAGAGATAAACAATGTCCCGGAATGTTAAATGGAGTATTTTGAATTTTATATATACATATTTTATAACTTACAAAAATTAATCACACTTTTTAAATTTCCAATTACTTGTCAAAAATTTTTAAAATTTTAAATCAAAAAATATAATAACAATAAACATATAAAGCTAATTTGTTAGTACAATAAAGAGACATTCGAGACAAGGACACATCTGTTTTGATAGGTAGGAATGTTATTAGATCATATATCAAAACACTAATACACACTTGCAAATACTACTACGACTACTGATAGTGCTATATTCTAATCTGAAAAGGAAAGTATTGTTAGTCATTCGTTTCGGTTAATCTTTAAAAGAGAAATATCAAATATATGTGTTAATAAGGAATTCTTATTGGTTAGTTGATTTGTTTTTTGTTAAGAAAAAGAATAAATGATGCCATGTAATTAATAATGATGTCGATAGTTATGATGATGATGATTTAGATGGCCATGATGCATGATTGATGGTTTTTAGGATTAGGTAGGAGGTACAATTTACTTCATTTCAACTACGCCGAAGAGATATACAAATGTTGGTAATGGTGGACAAGTAATGTTTGGAGTGGATGATTTTAAAAACAAATAAAAATTATCTTCACAATAAGGAAAGGATAATTTATATGCTGTTGTAAAGAGTTTCTCTATTGTTTGGAAGGTTTCGTGGGAATTTGTAAATAAAGGCCAAGACTATAATAGTAATGTATATAGGACCGATAATGATGAATTTTTAATAATATTTTTCTAAATGACTATCAGACTAATAATTGAGGATTTTTATAGGAATATTTTTTAATGATTATTGGAAAAAAATCGTGAAATTCTGAAAAATACTTTTCAAGGACTTTGAGCCCAACAATTGACGATATTTTAAAAAATGTTAAGAATATTTTAAGGAAAAACAATTTCCCGAGATCTATTACACTAAGATTTTTATGCATAATTTTCAATTTTTTTAATATATTATTTTTTTTTAAATTAATAATCGATTAATCACATTAATGTTCGATGTCCAGACTCAAAAAGGGAGTGAAAATAGCAAATTAATTAAGGAATGGTTGGACATGTGAAAAATTAGTAAAAAAAATCAATAAAATGAGCGGCTAAGATATCAGTAACGCCGAGACTAAATGGTGCAAGACAATATTTTGAAATTTGACAATGATACCACTGCACGTAAAAGGATGCAAAGAACAATTGAAAAGTTGTACCGCGTTTTATTATTGGCAATGAAGGGATATTGGGCGAAAGTTTTCATTTGGCTTTTAGAAATTTAGTAGCATACTTCTAGGCGTAAACAATTAAAGATGGAACTGATTTCGAACGGCTTAGTTTTTAATTTTTCTGTGTTGTTTTTCATCCGTAGGTAATTCAAAATGACAAATTGTAGACCAAGAACGTACCCAGAAGATACCTAGCTCCTGGTTCCCTCTGTAATGTTTAAAAATTCTGACATATTTTGTAAACTTTAAATGACAAAGACTTTTTTTGACAGTTTCTGGGTTAAATGAAAAATAATTGATTGAAAACAAGTAAAAAGGCAGCTAATTTCGACCAGACTGTAGTACCCATTCCGAACTTACGAATACGAAATTTGAAAAAATTCCGGTAAATAATCTAAATCATCAAAATACCGAATATCGGGGGTACCGTTATATGGGGGCTATACGAATACGTGCACCTGCATAGGCATTTTTTGTCATATGCTGTAGAATCCATTAAAATCTTCAAATACGAAAATTGAAACAATTCCGCGGCCAATCAATAATCTAAATCATCAAAATACCGAATATCGGGGGTACCGTTATATGGGGGCTATACGAATACGTGCACCTGCATAGGCATTTTTTGTCATATGCTGTAGAATCCATTAAAATCTTCAAATACGAAAATTGAAACAATTCCGCGGCCAAAATCATCAAAATACCGATTATCGGGAGATACAGCTATATGAGGGCCATACGAAGACGTGCACCTTTTTTATTTTCTGTCATAGGCTGTAGAATCCATTACGAACTTCAAATACGAAATCAAATGAGAAATCGGAATAGAAAATAATGTTTGATATGCCGGAAATTATTGCTAACGAGCTTACGATCTGGCTATCTGTTCAACACGAAACATACAAATATATATTTCTCATATATTTCGAGCTGTCGTGACAATTTATATATGTGTAGACGATCAACGGAATTTTTGTTAATACAAACCTTGCTTGAGAGGACTTTGTTCATTAAATGAAGGCCACACTTTTTTCTTTTGTAAGTCTTATAGCTTTACTTCCACATTGAAGGTAGACCTAGAAAGCTTGCTGTATGGAAAACTTGAAGTCATTCATTAAAAGAAGAAGAATAAGTTTTGTTAGAGAAGGCCTGACGGTAGAGACGGGTTTTAAATAATTATAATTCATCCGAAGATCCCGAAATATAAGTACAGCTTATTTGGTTGGAAATTAGGATCAAAACCGTTGAATGCCATTAAATGGAGTTTATACCAAAAATACATCCATGGTACAATAAGGAAGTAGAACAGCTTCGTAATACAAATACAGCCTTGAGGATATGTCCGCTTCCTGTCAGGACTATTCGAAATTATACGCAACAAGTTGTTTTCATTAATTTGATACTTTTCTTCATTTTTAATTTGATTTAAATAGCTTGAATGATACATGAAATACCTGGATTTTCTTTCAAATTATCCGAGCTATTCAATCTTTCAATTCTATGGCGAAAATGGTTATTACCTTTTATGCGTGTCCTGCAATTTACGTTTCTCTTCCAATCATTGATTTTGAAAATATTTTGTTTTTGTATTTCAAAACAATAGCTCGATATATAAAATTGCAGCTGATTTAGTTGGAAATTAGAACTAAACCTTCAAAATACCCAAAATCAGTAGGCATCGTTATATGGGTTCTATATCTAAAAAAAAATTGGCAATACTCCGATGCTTACAAACATGCATAAAAATGTAATATAAATTGGACGAAGTAACACAAAATAATCAGTTCGAGAAAACTAAATTTCTGGAAGTTTTATTTTTTATAAGGATGAAATCTCTTGTTAAGTACATTGAGAACCCAGATGACCAAATTCTCATTGGTTGAATGATTTTTTTTTCGCAGAATATTTCGGCCTATGCCAAATGAAGATTGTCATCAAATGTATATTATATATTGCTTTGTTGGTTCTCCAATAGTTGTTATAATAGAATTTATAGTGCCCGAAATAATGTTAAGGGAGTAATAAATAAACACCTAAAAGTATGCAATAAAATTTGTTCGAAATTTGCAGTTAATGGCCAAACTCCTCATCTCAACAAAACTACAATTTGGAAGATTTAAAATTTATTTTAAGGACGAAACCAATGTCAGAATCTAAGAGGTCGGAGGAACATTTCGTCCTTTCAACCACAAATTTGTTTTACTTCTTTCTTTTAAATTTTTGTTGAACCCTAATATTATTTATAATTTACGAAAAAAGAACATAATCTAAAAAGTGTTGGTCTACTTTAAATCAAATGAAAACTCAAATTACTATATATACTACAATTCATTTTAATCTGACAAATTTTGGGGACCAATCAAAAAGCCTTTCCAAACAATAGAGAAAAAACACTCTACAGTTTGTTTTCTTATCAAAACATTCCACTTGGGAAAACTTTACCGCCATAATGAAGATTTTTTTCTTTCATTCAATAATTTTTGCATTGCATTGGGATATACCTCTTTCTCCTTGTCTTTCTTAAGACGTGGCGCCGGTATTGGTGGTTCACAACCGCCACCACCACCACCCACGCTCTGGTGTTGCGGCGGCGATGATTGATAGAGTGAGAAACGTGATGCGGCCGTTACAAAAGAAGCACTCGATGAGGATGATGTCGATAGATTCGATTGATTTGACGAAGACGATGATGAGCTACGCAATGAGTCCTTTTGCAGCAGTTGAGTTTCTGCATAATCTTGCCAGCAGTTGCGTTCCAAACGTGTTATGCCAGCGGTAACGGCGGCTGCTGTTGCTGCCACGGCCTGTGTTAGGGCATTTATACTGCCTCCAGGGCCAGGAGTCGCACCGCCACCGCCATTCGTTTCATTGTCACAAAACATTGACAAAGCCGCCACAGAGGAGGATGTGTTGTATGGAAGAGTTGCAGCTTGTTGTCTTCTCGGCGGTACTGGCGGTGATAGCATATCCGGTGGTGTGTCATACGATGAGTCGGTGGTATTTATGAAACTATTGTGACTGCTGTTGTTGGGTGTGGATGTTGTTAATGGTCGCTGATGGGTTGGTCCACCAACAACACCATTATGAGGCGGATGGGAATGATGCTGATGATGATTGTTGGCTATTGCTGAGGTGGATACAGAGGTAGAAGTGGTGGTAGTGGTGGTAGTGATGGTGTTGTTGCTTTTAATGGAATTCATGGTGTTGCAATTTTCATGATCTGTGGGGGAGGAGACAGTCTGTGCTTGTCGGGCTATGTGGGGTGGTGGTTTACCCTCTACATGGGGATGTGAACCATATGGGTGATTATAATAAGTGGGAGTATTGTGTTGTTGTTGCTGCTGCTGCGAACGCTGTCTTGTTAGCTGTTGTTGCTGCTGTGGCGTCGGCCCTTGCTGCTGCTGCTGATAGAGCTGTAATAAATGAGCTGCTGGTGGAGGTGGCCTAGCTGGAGGTGGTCCCCCCGTTCTTGTGGCATTTATGCGATGATTAGACTCTAAACTATGGCATGGCTTAAGCTGTTTGTTCAAAATGTATTTTATTTTTGGGTATTAAATCATTTAATTTTTGGTTTGATTAGGATTTTTGGTTTGATCATGTGGAGTAGTTTGGTTTGAAAATGAATTTGATGTTTTTTGTTTTGTATGATTTGAAGACGACGAAAACGAACAAACGCCCAAATGTATGCAACATAAGACGAACACAATTAAGAGCGAAAATATTTATCATAAAAAGAAAAAAGATTAACAGAAAAAAATAAAAAAAACGAAATTAAAAAAGATGTTGTTAAGGTGTGAAATTATAGTTTTCTTTTTGGTTATAAATTGGTGTTTGGTGTTGTAGTTGTAGTATAGAGATATATATGAAACATTTAAAGCGATAGTATTGATGGTGACATAAATTAAAATATATATTTCTGAAATCAACTGAAGAAGAATCTATTCAATTTTGATTATGCTATTTATGGTATTGATAGATATTTTTTGGAAATCGAAATAAATTCTGGATTCTAAAATCTATAAATTACATATGTATATCAGAATATACTAGAACAAGGACACAAATAAGGTATATATGATATGATGTTCCTAAGATTACATTTGATTATCATATATCTGTTTTAAATAATCCTATGTTTTTACAATTTTTCTTCAAATTCTAATTGCGCTTCTTCTGGAATGATAATCCTTTTCATAATCTAATAAAATCGACAACAAATAATATTAAAATAGCGCTGCATCCTTGGTGTTAAAATATAGCAAGTCTTGGTCCCAGGCTGTTTGGTTTCGTCACTGGTAACACAATGCAACTGGTAACCGTGAATATAATTTCCCTACTTATCAAAACTTTCGATTTGGACCCACCAATGGAAATCATGAAGTCCAAGTTCATTTTATTTAACCAAATTTTGGTTAGAAATTATGATTCTATGTCCTTTTGAGAGATGAAAAAACTGCAACCAATTTCAGACTGCTGCCATTTCTAAGCTACTCGTCCGACAGATGTTAAAATTATTCCAGTGACAGTGATATTGTTTACAAGCGTACAAAAGCATTTTGGTAAGAATTTTCCAGAAAAAAAGTTATTCGTGATGGAATTCAAGCGTGATAGTGTGATTTCTTTATATTCGGCTGGAAACCACAAGTTCTCAAGCGCCGGCCATGGTGATGGTGTGGGCCGCCATTACAGTCGATGGTCGTTCTACGCTCGCCTTAATGCCGAATATTATCTCGAAAATATTCTGGAGAGTGTATTTAAGACTTGGACACGTAAACATTTTGATCGCAGACTTTGGGCATTCCAACAGGACTCAGCACCATCGCACTCAGCACGCGCCACCCAAGAGTGGTTACAAAATGAGGTTCCTCGCTTCATTTCCAGCCCACAATGGCCACAAAAATCTCCGGATACCAATCCGTTGGACTATTGTGTCTAGAGAATTTTGGAAAGCAAGGTTGGCACTAAAAAATACCAATGTGTCGATCACCTCAAGCAAACGCTTCGCCGGAATGGGCCAAAATACAGCAGAGAGTTTGACTTTGTTGCAGTTATTTTATCTCGCCCTGCATGTCATTTGATACGGCCAAAACGTTCCTTATGGAAAAACGGTTGTAGAAGCTCTTTGGACCAAATCCGTTTCAGGACATTTGAAGACGATCTAGCGATGTCCGTCCGTCTGTCTGGCTGGTGCGCACGATAAGTCTCGAAGGAAGTATCCGATTTGGTCCTAACTTTGTACATCGTTATATTATTATCAAACTTAAATCGAGATCGGAGATGGGCACTTTCGGGCCCACATGAGGTCGAAATAATTTACTGCACAGAAAGGGAAAGAATAATCCGATATTGATCCAACTTTGCAAATCGTAATATTGGCATCAGTGCTATTTCAGGTGCGAAAAAAGGACAATATCGGTTCACTCCCTCTAGTACCTACCCCACAAAGCGTCATAATTTTGAATAAAATTTAACTCTTATAAAATGTGATGTATGAGTCCGACTGTCTTCAAATTACGCACATTTCAATATTTCCATCAACACAAGATCTGTTATAAAGATGGATGAGATCGGACCATTCCTTCTGGTACCTCCCCCACAAAGGGTCAAAGTTTTGAGTATCCATGAAGTTCACAAAACGGGAAATTAACATCCGATTCCATTCCGACTTGGTACATTTCAATATTTCCATCAACACAAGATCTGTTATAAAGGTGGTAGAGATCGGACCATTCCTTTTGATACCTTCCCCACAAAGGGCCAAAGTTTTGAATAACGTAAACAATCATAAAATCCGAATTAGGTATCATTCTCTTCAAATAACACACATCGCATAATTCTTATTAACCAAAGATCTGGCGTCAAGATGGCATATATCGGTCCACTCCTTCTGGTACCTATCCCACAAAGGATCAAAATTTTGTCCATGAAGCTAACAAAACGGGAAATTAACATTCGATTCCATTTCGACTTGGCACATTTCAATATTTCCATCAACAAAGGTGGTAGATATGGGATCATTTCTTCTGATACCTCCCCCACTTAGGAGGGTTTGAAAAACAAAACACTCAAAGAAAGCGAAATAAGCATCCAACTTTCTTCAAATTTCACACATACAAACTTTTGGCCAACACAAAATATGTTGTGAAGATAATAATACATCTGCTAACCCCTTCTGATACCTCGCCCACAAAGAGGTTCACAATTTTCAATACTTTAACTGTCAAACTTTACAAATTGGTTTACCTCAATATTTCTCTCAACCAGAAACCTGCGATGAATATGAAATTTATAATTTCGCATAAAATTGGATATAAATGGTCGATGTCCTTCAAATTTTGTACATACCAATATTTTTATTTGTATTAGAAGAAGTATGAAAATGAAATACTTCGTTTCGCCATATCTGTAACCTCACTCATATTTCCACATTTTCCAAAAAATTGCACTTATCTTAATAGTCGATATAGTCCAAATCTGTCACGTTGTAATATTTATATCAGTCTTAGATCAGACACGAATTGTTCAATATTGACCAACTGCTCCGGACCCTTCCCCATAAAGGGTCTACAGTTTGAATAATCATAACTCAAGACCAATTTTCAATACCAATCTCCCAGACACTACATATTTGTGTGCTCGTTTTGAAAGTAATGCTATTTTAAAATGAAGTGTGACAATTATTAGATATGGAGCAAAGTTTTCCGATTGTGGATCTAATTTCTATTGTAGGCATAAACCCAACCTTGAGCACAGGAACTTTTTCTTGCATTTTTTTTTTTTTTTTTTGTTATCGTCTGTGACCACAAAGACAAGCTTTGCTTTTCCAAGCTATCATTATAACCGAAGTCGTGCACCAATTTTGTTATGCCAACGGAAAATCTGCGCTATAAGTACATATCAATATTTAAACATGTTACATGATTACATACTAAGTTATAAATTACATAATAAGGTATAAAGTGCTCAAGAAATGATAAAAAGTGCTCATTTTATTTCGTATTGCTTACAGATCCAATCCTTTTTTCAATACAAATAATTTCATTGTACCTTCATTGCTTCATTAAGCCTTTTTCTCTCAGCCAATTGTTCTTCGATTTTGAACTTTTTTTAAGAGAATATGACAAAAACCAACATATGAAATAGAATTAAAAAGGAAAATAAAAGAATTAAATAATTATCTATGAAATGAAAGGATATACGAAAAAAATCACACCAATAACCATGTTACACAAGCGTTTTTAGCGGACCAGAGCAAACATTTTATTTTATCAGACAAATTTGATATGACGAAGGAAAGACAAACAATTGACGACAACAATTAAAACTGAGATCTTTTAATTTTGATTTTTTTATGAAATTGGTCTTAAAAACCTTCGAAATGTACATAAAACCAGTTGAATAGTATCCGTCGGTCTTGCAGACAGATGTATGCATCCAGCCTTGAGTTATGATTATTCACACTGTTGACCCTTTATGGGGGAGGCTCCGAAGCAGTTGGAAAATATTTGTCTAATTCGCATCTGACCTAAGTCTGTTGTAAATATTGTTACGTGCCATATTTTGACTATATCGTCTACTTTTTTTTGGAAAATGTGGGAATATGCGTAAGGTACCAGATATAGCGAATCGACATAGTCCACTTCATCTGATACAAATAAAAACATTGATTTGTGCAACATTTGAAGGAAATCGAATATTTATATCCAATTTTATACGAAATCATAAATTCCGATAAATTACATATTCATATCAGATTTCTGCTTAAGAGATATATATATAGACAGCAAGTTGTATAGAATCGCCAACTTGTTTCGCAAGTTATGACAGATATAAGTATTGCAAACTGTGATCCTTTGCGGATGAGGTACCAGAAGGTGTTGGCAGGTATATAGCATCTTCACAACAGATTTGAGGGGAGTTGAATTCTTATTTCTCTTCTTATTTCAAAATGTTTAACCTTTTGTGGGTGAAGTACCAGAAAGAGTGCGTCGATATATCCCATCTCACAGCAGATCTTGTGTTAGTAAAAATAATGGCATGTGTAAAATTTGTAGAGAACCGGATGTTAATTTCAAATTTTATGAATGTTTTGGTTATACAAAACTCTGGCCCTTTGGGGGGAGGTACCAGAAGAAATGGTCCGATCTCTACCATTTTTATAACAGATCTTGTGTTGATGGAAATATTGATCGAAATATTGTTGATGGAAAACCGTTATTTCGATGAGACACGCTTTGACCCTATCAAATGATGTATACCCTCTCTAATCATATGGCTGATGATACAATGATATATTCCACTAGGCTAAGGGCATAATCAACCTGTAAATGGGGTGAGATGAAAAAACTGCAACCAACTTCAGACTGCTGTCATTTCAAAGCCACTCGTCCGACAACTGTTAAAATTATTCCAGTGACAGCTCATTATATTGTTTACAAGCGTACAAAAGCATTTTGGTGAGAATTTTCCAGAAAAAAAGTTATTCGCAATGGAATTCAAGCGTTATAGTGAGATTTCTTTATATTTGGCTGGAAAACCGCAAGGGGCTATCGTTAGAGCACTCCAGCATTTAAATGTGAATAAATCTTTTGTGTCTCTTACCATCGCTCGTTACCGGGATAGTGGTAGCGTAGCCCGACGTCAAGGAAGTGGACGGAAGAAAACAGCAACATCAGCAAAAATGCTTCGAAAATAAAGAAGCGACTTGATCGAAACCCGCGTCGCAGTGGCCGAAAAATGGCTCGTGAAAAATGAGCTCGGGTTAAAGCCATTGAAATTCCAAAAAGTGGAAGAACTTACACAGCAACAGAAGGAAAGTAGACTCAAAAGAGCTAAAGAGTTGCTTCGCTTGGACGAAAGTGTTGAACTGCCGAATTTGGTTTCCTCCGATGAGAAAACATTCGTTGTTCAGCAGTTTGTAAACAAACATCGTGATGATCGTGTTTACTTGCCAAAGAGGTCAGTGAAAATGTGCACATTCGGTTGGCCACCAGAACTCAAGCGTCGGCCATGGTGATGGTATGAACCGCCATAACATAATAAATGCGGAATATTATCGCGAAAATATTCTGGAGGCTGTATTAAAGCCTTGAGCACGCAAACGTTTGGCCGCAGACCTTGGACATTCCAACAGGACTCAGCACCATCGCACTCAGCGCGCGCCACCTAACAATGGTACGGATACCAATCTTTTGGACTATTGTGTCTGGAGTATTTTGGAATGAAAGTTTGGCACTTAAAATACCAAAGTGTCGATCACCTCAGGCAAGCGCTTCGCCGGGAATGGGCCAAAATACCGCACAGCAACATTCTGGGAGCGTGTGACGGTTTCATTGGCCGTTTGAAGGCCATAATTCGTGCCAAAGGTGATCAATTCGAACAAATCTAAACGTATTATAAAATTTGATGCTATTTCCGACGTTTTTTGATTTAATTAAATAAAAATTTAAAAAAAATGTAAAAATTATGGCGTTTGACTTCGTTGCAGTTTTTTTTTATCTCATTGTATAATTTGAAATGATGGGCATACTTTTAGGCATTTAATGTGACTTGAACAACAGATAAAGCAAAGTACAATCGCTTTCCAATTAATATCTTTATACAGCCTTCTCGTATAAGGACTTTTTTAAAGGCTAAGTCTTGTTAGATTTTATTCGAGTGTAGGAGTGCTCGAAGTGTACGATTTTTAAAAGAAGTTTACACTCCACTCTTTAATTTTTTCGTTTCTTCCTAGGATGAACACAATGGACAAAAGGTCTATTTAAATACTGTCGTTATACTCCAAATTCCTATTTACATTCCCACCTTCCTAATATCCTACCTAAAAACCAATTCAGGATGAAGACGATGAACAATAGGGCTTTCGATTTAATGTCCCTGAGTGCTGTTGTCATCAGTTGACGTAAGGATCAAAGTATCATGTTAATTTTGACCAAATCTGCTATTGGTTTTTGTTGTCGATTTTACTATTTATATCAAAGCCTAATAATGATATATCTAAAACATATTTAAATCTGAACCAAACCTAGAAAAAGTAGCTAACATTTTCTTAAAATTGTTGCCTAAATCTATAAACAAAATATCTAAAATAGGATGCACACACAAACACGTTGACAAAGCCTTGTTCAGCATTGCACATCGATACAAAAGAACGGACACTCACACACATTTAACATTTATATGCGCGAAAACGAAGAAAAAGAAAATAAAAACACATAAAAGAGAAAATGAAAAACCCAAAATTCATACTTACACTTCGATCCACAATGGGTGACTTAAAGAGCGGATGATTTTGCAATTCCTGTGACAAATTCATTTCCGACGAACATAGCGAACTCGCCGGACTAATGGTTGGAGATGAAGCCAAATGATGATTGTGATTAAAAGAAATCGGAGAAGATTTCGCATAACCATTCGACTGTATGTGCGTACTGGAATTGGACATGGCCAGTGTTGTTGGACCGCGGCGCAAATGTTGCGAAGCATTGGTGATCTGGTCTTTGGGCGCATACTGGAAGACGGCGGCCGAGGAGCTGCCGATGCGTTTGCAAAACACGGGTGAACTGGGTGCTGAATGGCGGCCCAAATAGGTTTTCAGTGATTTTCCCGCAGACTCCTTGCCACTGGCGGAGGTAACATAACCGCTGCTGCCGACACTGACACCGTCCAGGCGATCGTGTGGTGTATTCGAATTGAGATGTGAACGGAAATTGTTGTTGTTGTGATGTAAATGTGATGACGATGACGGATTTGGTGGTGTTATATCACGTAATTTCGTTTTGAGATCTTTGTAGGCGTGTTTGGCCAGACGGGAGCTTTCTTTGACCTGGAGTAGGAGGAGGAGGTTTTCGATTTTTTTTTTTGTTTTGGATTTGCGATCGATTGTTTGTGATATGCCGAGAAAAAGGGAAGAGATAACAAAGGATACAAAATGTGAGGTTAATATTGAAAATTTTTGTGGTTTCTTTTTTTTGGGAGGGGGAAAGGACTATAGGATTTAGACATTAGTCTTAAAGAAATATCATTAATAATGTAAATGAGAATGAAGGCTGTTTAAAGATGTGACATATTTGAGGTTTTGTTTTCGAGTTAGTAATGGTGTTACAAATTACAAATACCTGACAAGCAATAGTTGTTAGTACAAATATCTTTACTGCTACTAATGAAAATACTCGAATACTCTAACACTCATACTGATAATAACTAGATAGATAAGAATACGTTTTTTTACTATTTAATAATACCACTCACCGATTTTACAGCGGTCTTAACAGCAGGATTAGTCTGCAAAATGTGAATTATGTTTGATTTTGATTTTTAATATTTTTTTTTTAATTAAGGACATTCAAATTGGGAATAATGATGCAAATTTAATCGATTGTATGTGTGTGTGGGGGAGGGGTGTGGGTATAGCAATCAACAAGCAGAATAGTAGTAGGCAAATATTGTTGGATAGCGTATTTTGAGATATTTTTTTTTTATTTGTGATGAGCGAGCGAGCGATCGATCGAGCGTACGTTGTTGTTTTCCGCACCGTTACAATAAATATGAAAAGAATATAGAAAAAATATAAATATGAAAATTATTATTTTTTGTTATTTTTGTTTTTCTATTTTGATATTTATACTTTAAAATACAAAATAATTAAAACTATTTGATGAGGGTTATTATAATTTTGTGATATGTATCTCGATTTTCCAAAAAAAAAAAATATATAATTTTAAATGATGCTTGACACATTACGCCTGATGGTGTATGATGAGCGAGTGTAATGGTCAATGAAGCCTTAAACACCCCAAAAATAAAAATAATTATAATAACTACAATCAAAAAAACACAAAAATATTCAACCAAGCATGAATGAAATGAAAGGGGAGGTGTAAAAAAGCATGTAATAGTGATTATATACCCTTCACCATAAGAACCTATTGGTACCAAAGGAAACAAGTAAAAAGCTGTAAGTTCGGCCGGGCCGGAACTTTTAATGCCCTTCACACAATTTGGAACGAACTTGGAACTTTTCAAAAAAAAATAAAATTCGTTAAAAATTCTGTTAAAATCTTAAAAATACCGAATGTAGCCTTTATTTTATCAAATTACAGAACACAGGGATATACCATAATATGTTGGCTATACCAAAACGTGGACCTGCACAGACAATTTTCTGTATTAGGCTGTAGTATCCATTGCAAACTTCAAATACCAAATTTGAAATAAGTCCGGTGAATAATGTCGCTTAAATCACCAAAATACCGAATATCGGGAGGTATCATTATATGGGGGCTATATGAAAATGTTTACTTGCACAGACAATTTTCTGTCAAATTTGAAACATTTCCGGTAATAATGTTGAAATGTGTGTGGTGTACCATATATGGTGGACCGAAGTATTTCATTTTCTCACTTCATATAATACAGATAAAAATACTGGTATGGGCAAAAATTACAAGAAAATCTAATATTTATATCTGATTTAATGCGATATCATAAATTCCAGATTCATCTCAGGTTTCTGGTTGAGAGAAATATTTAGATCCACGGAAGTGGACGAAAGAAAACAGCAACATCGGCAGAAATGGTTCGAAAAGTAAAGAAGCGACTTGATAGAAACACCCGTCGCAGAGGCTCGTGAGCTGAACATATCGAAATATTCGATTTGGCAAATACTGAAATATGAGCTCGGGGCAAAGTCATTGAAATTCCAAAAAGTGCGAGAACTTACAACGCAACAGAGTGAAAATAGACTCAAAAGAGCTAACGAGTTGCTTCGCTTGGCCGAAAGTGGTGAACTGCCGAATTTGGTTTTCTCCTATGAGAAAACATTCATTGTCCAGCAGTTTGTAAACAAACATGGTGATGATCGTGTTTACTTGCCAAAGAGGTAAGCTGAAAATGTACACCTTCGGTAGGCCAGCAGAACTCAAGCGCCGGCCATGGTGATGGTGTGGGCCTCTATAAAAGCCGATGGTCGCTCTCCGCTCGTATTAATCGACCGTGGGAACAGAATAAATGCCAAACAGAACAGAATATCGCAAAAATATTACAGCCTTGGGCACGCAAACATTTCGGCCGCAGACCTTGGACCTTGGATTCCAACACGACTCAGCACCATCGCACTCAGCACTCGCCACGCGAGAATGTTTACAAAATGAGGTTCCTCGCTTCATTTGCAGCGCACAGTGGCCACCAAAATCTCCGGATACCAATCCGTTGGACTATTGTGTCTCGAGTATTTTGGAAAGCAAGGTTGGCCCTAAAAATACCAAAGTGTCGATCACCTCAAGCTAGTGCTACGCCGGGAATGGGCCAAAGTACCGCAGAGCAAAATTCGGGCAGCGTGTGATGGTTTCATTGACCGTTTGAAAGCCATAATTCGTGCCAAAGGTGACCAATTCGAACAAATCTAAACTTTTTCTAAAAATTGATTTGCTTTCATTCAATAAAATTAAAAAAAATGTAAAAATTATGATGTTTGACTTTGTTGCAGTTTATTTTATCTCACCCTGTATATCGTCTTCATAATAGATTTTGCGTTAACAAAAATGTTTGGATGTGTGAAATTTTGAAGAGAAACGCTCAAAGGCAGCGCAATATGCATCCAATTATTTCGCTTTTTTTTTTTGAAAATCAAAAACTATGTGCTGGAAGTACCAGAAAAAATGGTCCGATCTCTTCCATCTATATAACAGATCTTGTGTTGATGGACATTTTGAGATTTACCAAGTCTGAATCGAATCGGATGTTAATTTCGAATTTTATGAGCTTCATGGCTTCATCAAAATACCGAATATCGGGAGTAACCATCATAACCCGAGCCAGAATCCATTACAACCTACAAATTTGATGGAAAATGTGGTTAAAATCGCCAAAGAATCGAATATTCAAAGATACCATATTATGGGAGCCATAAGAAAAGGTAGACCTATATAGTCAATGTTATACCATGGGATGTAGAACACTTTACATAGTCTTTATAACAAATTTGAAAAAATCGTGGAAAGTGATACTAAACTTCGATAGAAATTGGGCTAAATCGTCATAAAAACAAATCCTCGAAGTTAACCTTTAATGGAAGAACGTGGACTCATATAAAAAATGTTATGCCGCAGAAGGTAGAACCCATTACAGACTCTAAATACCAAATTCTAAACAATTGCCTTGAGAAATGCGGAAATCAGAATACAAGATATCGAGAGGTTACGTTTATATAGTGGATATTGTAGAAAGAGATTGTTGGTATCTATACGTGTATCAAATGACAAATTTAAATCCACTTCGTAAAAAAAATGTTCTGCCACTGGATGTAAAACCCATTACCACCTCTAAATATCAAATTTGAAATAAAATCATCAAAATAACAAAAATCGGAAGGGACCTCTTTAGGGACAGACATAGCTCATTTTTAATACAAATCATTATAAACATAACGTAAGTTATTATGCCAAATTTCAAAACCTCAAATATGTATCTTAATATCAACTGACAGGCGGGCGGGTAAGAGGTTTATGCTGATCACAGGGTCTCCGAAGAATATTTGGAGCTATTGCAACCGGAATGAAAAATTTAATATTTCATTATTACTCCGTTGAACGGCTGGGGGTTTATAACCAGAATACCTCCTTTATGGATTACAGCCCCCAAAAAAGGATAATTCTTTCTCCAGACAAAAAGCAACAAGTATGTATTGTCGGGTATAAAAACGTAATTAGAGGCACCAACATTTCCTAAAACCAACATTTCCTATCGATACTCATATAGAAATAAGAAATCGATGACCAGGAAAACTGAATTATGGACCGCTGTGCAATGGTTGTGAAGAGGGATAGTATTGAGACCACGAGGATTGCCACGGGTAGTGGAATTTCACAGAAGTCTTGCAACCCTAGAGCGAAGCAGGATGATGGAGCATATAAGTGAATGTTATCCGACTGGATATGACATTCATTGCCAGTGCTGGATGTGGGTAACACTGAAACTTTCTTTTGGGCGTTTTTGAGTTTTTTTTTTTTTTTTGAGGTAGGATCCGCTCTGAATGGAAGCGATGGCCGTTGTCAAATTCTCCTTCTAACTTTCAACTGATCAATAAGCTTACCTTTGTTCAATTCTTCGCTTTATCGCACTTGTTATGTTTTCAAAACTAACAAACAATGTTAAAAATCCCAAGAGTTTGGAGGGTATCGGCATCTAAAATCCTAATTTGAAATGAGTTCCTCAATCTTGATCTTCCATGTAATGAGAGGATTTAGCACAATTTGAATACAAACAACAATATCTACGGGTTATGGTGCACATCTACATTAAAGTCATGAAAAAGTGCTGTCTAGAGGATAGTATGAAAAAAACAAAAGAGAAAAAACACCTCTATCCCCCCAAAATGAAAAAAGTTAAGCGATTAGTAAAAACAAGAAATACTTGGAAAAACTACAAAACAAAAATTTGGTGTTAGAGAAAATAATAAACAAATTAAGGGGAACTTAAAATATAATTTTAAAAATTTACGAACATTTTGTTTTTTGATTTGTTTGTTTTTTTGTGGTGATATAAAATATAGGAGGAAGTTTGAGTTTCTGTTTCGATTTGTTTTTTTGTCTTTGTTGATCACAGTTCGTTCGGATGGATGGATAAAGTTGAGAATTTAAGTAAAATGTTGGAATATTTGTTTGTTTGTATTTTGAACGTAAGACTCAAAACTTATTTGTGGTTTATGTGGTTCTACATTAGGTTGGATTAATAGTGTAGGTTCGCTTAGTGAAAACTCTAATTAGACCATGTTTTCCCACATAATACTGGAAGAAATTAATATAAAAACAATATTAAAAAAGAATAACAAAAGAAAAGGTAAAAAAGTACAATAATAACAAGTAAACAATAAACAAGGAAAATTAGTAAAGAAAAATAATTAAAAAACATACTAAACATAAAGGGATTTAAAACAAGTTGGGAAACGGCGTAACTAGCTTATTTTTGGGGGATACAATTGCAATAGATTTAAGCCTGAGCTATTAAATTTTTCAATTTTCAATTGATTTGAATTAAAAAGGAAGAGCCCCATAACAACAAGCGCCTTTAGCAATAAATTTTCCACAAAGATTTTTTTGAGACCCAATTTAAATAATTTAATTCACTTGTTGCCTTTGAGTGTTTTCTTCAATGTAGCCAAATGTGTGTGGTTGTTGTTTTGTTTTGTCTGAGGAAATATGTGCAAATGAGAATGTATACATGCTTATTTCTAGGCGTAAACGGCTTCCACAAAAGCAATGACTATAAAGCCCCGAAAACTATGACCGACACACACACGCAATGCTAATGAAACAAATTTTGGATAATTTAATTCCTAAGAAAGCTCCTCACGAGCAATCAATCCACGTTATCTCACCTTCTCCTTGAGCTGATAGAAGCGGCCACGTTTCTTCAGTTTTTCCGCATAACGTACCGTCTCCTGTTCAAATTCATCGGAGAAACCCAAGCCGGTATTCATCATTTCCAAACGTTCATCGATGAATTGTTGAAATATTTGCAATTCCATCATTTTCGTTAGAAACGGTCGCAAATGTGATGGCCTCGATTCGATGAATTTGTCACGATTAAACGTCTTGCCTGTTTCCCGGAATTCCACAGCATCACGATAGCCTCCGATTAATTGCACCAGAACACCGAGGAATATTTTCGATACCCGATCGCCCATATGCTGATGTGAATGGCTAAGTTGCTTTTTCAATTGTGAAACAATTTCGCTCGGCATGGCGTGCACATCATCGAATGGGCTGTCAAATATTTTCGTATCACAGTCAAGGGTGACGACTTCGCCCAATTCCTCGGGGGTCATCTGGAAGAAACGAAAAAAGAATTTTGGAATATATTTGTATGGAAAAATAATGAAATGAATCCGAATATTTTCTATAGAAAATCTCATCGATAACAATATTTCCTATAGAAAATAGTGTCTATAACAATATTTTCTATAGAAAATAGTGTCGATAACAATATTTTCTATAGAAAATAGTGTCGATAACAATATTTTCTATAGAAAATAGTGTCGATAACAATATTTTCTATAGAAAATAGTGTCGATAACAATATTTTCTATAGAAAATAGTGTCGATAACAATAGTTTCTATAGAAAATAGTGTCGATAACAATATTTTCTATGGAAAATAGTGTCGATAACAATATTTTCTATAGAAAATAGTGTCGATAACAATAGTTTCTATAGAAAATAGTGTCGATAACAATATTTTCTATAGAAAATAGTGTCGATAACGATATTTTCTATAGAAAATAGTGTCGATAACAATATTTTCTATAGAAAATAGTGTCGATAACAATATTTTCTATAGAAAATAGTGTCGATAACAATATTTTCTATAGAAAATAGTGTCGATAACAATATTTTCTATAGAAAATAGTGTCGATAACAATATTTTCTATAGAAAATAGTGTCGATAACAATATTTTCTATAGAAAATAGTGTCGATAACAATATTTTCTATAGAAAATAGTGTCGATAACAATATTTTCTATAGAAAATAGTGTCGATAACAATATTTGCCATAGAAAATCTCATCGATTACAATATTTTCTGTAGAAAATCTCATCGATAACAAGATTTTCTATAGATAATCTTATCGATAACAATATTTTCTATAAAAAACCTTATCGATAACAATATTTTCTATAAAAAACCTTATCGATAACAATATTTTCTATTGAAAATCTTATCGATAACAATATTTTCTATAGAAAATATTGCCGATAACTATATTTTCCACAGAAAATCTTGTCGATAACAATATTTTCTATAGAAAATATTGCCGATAACTATATTTTCCACAGAAAATCTTGTCGATAACAATATTTTCTATAGAAAATCTTGTCGATAACAATATTTTCTATAGAAAATCTTGTCGATAACAATATTTTCTATAGAAAATCTTGTCGATAACAATATTTTCTAAAGAAAATCTTGTCGATAACAATATTTTCTAAAGAAAATATTGTCGATAACAATACTTTCTATAGAAAATATTGTCGATAACAATACTTTCTATAGAAAATATTGTCGATAACAATACTTTCTATAGAAAATATTGTCGATAACAATACTTTCTATAGAAAATATTGTCGATAACAATACTTTCTATAGAAAATATTGTCGATAACAATACTTTCTATAAAAAATCTTGTCGATAACAATACTTTCCATAGAAAATCTTATCGAAAACAATATTTTCTATAGAAAATCATGCCGATAACAATATTTTCTATAGAAAATCATGCCGATAATAATATTTTCTATAGAAAATATTGTCGATAACAATATTTTCTATAGAAAATCCTTTCGATATCAATATTTTCTATAGAAAATAACATCGATAACAATATTTTCTACAGAAAATCTAATCGATAACAATATTTTCTACAAAAAATCTTTTTTTATATAAAATCCAGTCGATAACAATATTTTTAAGTTTAGTTTCTGTCCTTGTTTTATGGATATTACATTACTGACCGTTTTCAATACCAAATGTGGCACTCCTATCAAATATGGCATGGGAGCACTTAAATAATCTTTGAGCTTCATGGGCAGCACGGGAATGAAAATGTGCTGCCACACCATGGGATAGAGAAAGGCATTGGCCGCCTGGATGCAGGAAGACAAACGATCCAAACGTGTGGAGGTAAAAATGATGCGTCTCTCAGCCAACATGGCTGCAAATACGGCTATCATATTCTTTGGATCCACAAAATTATAATATAGATTAAGGTTGTGCTGAAATGGGGAAACAAAAGAAATTCATTAAAAATCATAAATCCATCCGTCGCCGTCCAAGGAAAAACTTACATTTTCTGGTATACTAGGCAACTGAAATGGCTTGGGTCGTTCAAATATAAATTGCTGCAATAGAAAAGGGATAATTATTTGGGCTAATTTTAAAAGTTTGTATTTTATATGAGCTTACACTTTGACCCTGACTATAGACCAATTTCAATTGGCTACCCACATCGGGTACTCCACTGTTGTAGGCCTCGGTTAGAAATTGTTGAAATTCTTTTGGTTCGGTTCTTCTTAGTTCCGCTAATACTCCTAACAGTCTCAAAAATGTGTCATGCCATGGCAAGAGTGTGATAATGACCATTGTCGATTCGGTCTTTGGATCGTGTCGGCAAAACCCAAATCGCCATTTGGAGTCGTCTGTTGTCAGTACAAATGAATATGACTGTACGGAATCACTGCAAAAAGGAAAATAAAACAAAAACAACATGAGTAAATACAAATTCTATAATTAGTATTGTGTCACTTAAAATCTAAGTGTGCCATCAATTAATTTCTAATATTTTTATAATACCCTCCCTAACCATTTTGATAAGCTGTTTTATCTTAAAACAGATATTTTATCTGAAACAAGATATTCGAAAGCAACGTGCGTGGTTTATCAGGAAGGTGTTGTTATAAGCAAGTTTTTATATAAAAATTATTGTTATCGACAACATTATTAAGATTAGTTAAAGGGGAAAAAAAGTAAAAAATATGGCTTTTGGCAGAATTCTTTAAAAAACATGTTGTTATCGACGCTATTTTCTATAGAAAATATTGCTACCATTACAAATTTCAATAGATAATATTGTTAACGATACGATTTTCTACAGAAAATATAATTACCGATAAAATTTTCTTTTGAAAATATTGTTATCGGCACGATTTCTATATCGTTATCGACAAGATTTTTGATAAAAAATATTGTTATCGATAAGATATTCTATAGAAAATCATGTAATCGATAAGATTTTCTACAGAAAATCATGTTATCGATATGATTTTCTACAGAAAAACAATGTTATCGGTAAGATATTCTATAGAAAATATTGTAATCGGCAAGTTTTTCCATATAACAAATTGTTATCGATAAGATTTTCGATAGAAAATATTGTTATCGATAAGATTTTCTATAGAAAATCATGTAATCGATAAGATATTCTCTAGAAAATCATGTTATCGATAAGATTTTATATAGAAACTATGGTTATCGATATGATTTTTTATCGAATATATTATTATATAAGGAAATATTGTTATCGACATGATTTTCTATAGCATATATTGCTGTCGATATGATTTTCCATACGATAAGATTTTCAATAGAAAATATTTTTATCAATAATATTTTCTATAGAAAATATTGTTATCGACAAGATTTTTAGTTGAAAATATTGTTATCGACAAGATTTTCTATAGGAAATATTGTTGTCGTCAGGATTTTTGTTGAAAATATTGATATTGATACTATTGTTCAAAGAAAGTATTATTATTGGCGTGACTTTCTATAGGAAATATTTTTATCGACATGATTTTCAATTGAAATATTGTTATCGAAACTATTTGCTTAAGAAAATATGGTTGTCGATAAGATATTTTCATAGAAAACATTGTTATCAACACATTTTTTTTAAGTTAATATTGTTATCGACACGACTTTTTATAGAAAATATTGTTATCAAAATGATTTTTTATGAAAGTGTCGTTATCGAGATGATTTTCTATAGAAAATATCATTATCGTCAAGATTTTTAATAGAAAATATTGTTATCGACATGATTTTCCACAGAAAATATTGTTATCGACAAGATTTTCTATTGAAAACATTGTTATCGAAAAGATTTTCTAGAGAAAATATTGTTATCGTCGAGATTTTTTATTGAAAACATTGTTATCGACAAAATGTTTATAGAAAATATTGTTATCGACAAAATGTTTATAGAAAATGTTGTTATCGACAGGTTTCTGTAGACAATATTGTTATCGACAGGATTTTCTATAGAAAATATTGTTATCGACATGATTTTCTATAGAAAATATTGTTATCGACAGGATTTTCTATAGAAAATATTGTTATCGACAGAATTTTCTATAGAAAATATTGTTATCGACAGAATTTTCTATAGAAAATATTGTTATCGACAGGATTTTCTATAGAAAATATTGTTTTTGACAGGATATTCTATAGAAAATATGGTTACTGACAGGTTTTTCTATAGAAAATATTGTAATCGACAGGATTTTCTAAGGAAAATATTGTTATCGACAGTATAACAAAGGAAAATATTGTTATCGACAGGATTTTCTAAAGAAAATATTGTTATCGACAGGATTTTCTATAGAAAATATTGTTATCGACAGGATTTTCTATAGAAAATATTGTTATCGACAGGATTTTCTATAGAAAATATTATAATCGGCAAGATTTTGTATAGAAAATATTGTTATCGGTGGGATTTTCTATGATAACTATTGTTATCGATAAGATTTTCTATAGAAAATGCTGTTATCGATAAGATTTTCTATAGAAAATATCGTTATCTATAAGATTCTGTATAGACTATATAGTAATCGACAAGATTTTTTCAAAGAAGATATCATTTTCTGCAAAATTTTCTATTAAAAATGTTATCGACAACAATTTTTATAGAAAATATTGTTATCGATATCAAGTTCTATAGTTCTATATTTTCTTGGTGAGATTTCATGGACAACTAGAAACAAAACAACGAAAACAATTCTGTAACGTAACTTCCGGCATTCTAGTATCACTAATGGGTCAGACGTGACCACACACATAAAAATGTGCATCAAAATTATAGAGTGCATTGACACGTGCTACGTGCAATAGCCTTTTGGTAGTAACATTTAAGAAAATGAGTAACAAACAGTTTGAAAATTTATTTTAAGTTCCATTTTGAAGTTGAATAGACAAATTTCTTTTATCGCGGCGACAACTTTCAATGATCATCATCTATGAAAAATATGGTTAACTTGCTTGACATTCGGTTATCGAAATACTGAATCATTCATTGTGCGTCTCCACATGCCGGTATGTTTTATGCATTTAATATCGGTCATCACCGTCGAATACCGTTCCAAGACACGCCGTTCTTGTTTTTGTTGGTCAATAAAACAGTTGGCGATTGTTTCTGTTTTTTTTTTTTTTTTTCGATGTTTTCTTTCCCTCTGCACACCCACATTCAATGGGTGTTGTCGAAAATAATGTGTGATTGGAATATTAATTCGCCCGTAAAAACACCTCATTAAAATTTTGTAATGTTGTGAGTTTTTTGCTGCTTAAAAAAAGAGTTAGATAATCAAATCATAATCTGTCCAGTGAGACAAAAAAAAAACAAAAAATTTAAACAAATTAAAAATTCGCCACAATGTGCCAAATTTATTTAGACGCATTAAAACATTGCGGTGTTGGCGTAGGTGTTTAGCGAGTTGCAAATAGGGATTTGTTGAAAATTTGGAAATCGATACAATGCAAATGGAAGACTTGTGACACAACCTTAATGTGTTTATAATGGCACGTAATTTAAGGAAATGCTTAAAACCCACATTTGGAAAGTAGTCGAAGATTGGTCATTCTTTGGAAAATATTATGACCCATAATGCAATAATTTAGAGAGACGGGAAGTTTATTGCATCATCTTTCAATGTGAGATAATTAATGAAGACTAATAAGTCGAGAGCAACATTTTATGTTGAAAATGCTGTCGATAATAGTATTGCCATCAAAACAATTCTCTATAGGAAATACTGTTAATATCCATTTAAAAAGCGGACTTATAATATTTTGCATTCGATAACAATATTTTCTATAGGAATCATAACGATAACAAAATGATAACAAAATGTCTATAGAAAATCTTGTCGATAACAATATTTTCAATGGAAAAACCAATCGATAACAATATTATCAGAGTAAAATCTTATCAATAACAAGAAATTCTATAGACATTTTATCGATTACAACATTTTGTATGTTAAATCGTAAATATTCTGTAGAATATCTCATCGATAACACAATTTCTTACAGAACATCTTAACGACAACAAAGTTTTTCATAGATAATGGTGTCGATAGCAATAATTTCTATAGAAAATCATGTCGATAACAATATTTTCTAGAAAAAATCTGTTTGATAACACTATTTTCTATGAAAATCTCGACAATAACAATATTTTCTATAGAAAATCTTGTTGATAATATTTTCTATTTGAAATTTTGTCGATAACAAAATTTACTATAGACAACCCGATCAATAACAATATTTTCTATGGAGCATCTAGTCGAAAACAATATTTTCTATATAGAAAATCGTGTCGATAACAATGTCTTCAATAGAAAATCTTGTCGATAACAAATTTTCTATAGAAAATCCTGTCGGTAACAATATTTATTATGGAAAATCATGTCGATAAACATATTTTCTACATAGAAAAATCTTGTCGATAAAAATGTCTTCAATAGAAAATCTTGTCGATAACAATATTTTCTATAGAAAATACTGTCGATAACAATGTTTTCTATGGTAAATCATGTCGATAAGAATATTTTCTATGGAAATTCATGTCGATAACAATATTTTCTATGGAAAATCATGTCGATAACAATATTTTCTATAAAAAAATTAGTCGATAATAATACTCTCTAGAGAAAATCATGGCAATAACAATATTTTCTATAAAATTATGTCGATAAAATTATATTGATAACAATATTTTCACTATTATTTGTATTTTCGTTATTCAAAAATCTTTACAATAACAATATTTTCTACAGAAAATCTTATTGACAACAAAGAAAATTAACTCAAAAGTATTTTTCATTTAAGAGAATTTAATATTTAAATATCATTATCTCTTAATAAAAGTTCAATAACGTTGGAATTGCCTTGCAAGTAAGCCAGTGCCTCAATATGCTTTTATATTTCTTTGTCAATTAAACTTTTCAGCAGCTAATTATCAGCACATCAGATTTTGAAAAAAAAACCTCTCACACAAGTTTATTTTTAAGATTTTTTGTTTGTTGTTTTGTTTTTTTTTTTTTTTTTTCTCTCGACAACTAAATAAATCGTAAGTAGTTGTTTGTAATTAATATTTTTTTATTTGGCGCTGAAAGAAATTAGGTTTATCTATCACAGTGAGGGTATGACTGATTACAGCAGCAAACAACGGTGCTGTAAAATTTATCTCAAGGTCAACCCCAACAATATTTATAAATACAGTTTTTTGTTTCTTTGAAAACTTTCAAATCTTTTTTTGTTTTTGCTTGGCAATTTCAATTTCATTTCCAACGTTCGCATTGTAGGACAACTAACCAAAGTTGGCAGTCAATATAGCCATCTAATTATGGTTCATGAACATAATTGGGGATTCGTTGAATGTTTCCAAGGGCCTAATTA